GCTATTGCTACGACTAGTTCTGGGGTTAGCTCCGAACTGTCGGTGATGACGACATCGTCATTGTGGCCGGCGTCGTCGCCCGTTTGGCCGACAATTTCTTCGGTAGTGGCTACGACGGTGACAACTTCGTTGACCTATTCCGCGCCAGCGACTATGTCCTTGGGGTCGCAGCCCCGGGACAGTCGCGTGGGTTGGATCTATGACCTCTCGAAAGGGGAGCTCATGAGAACAATGGACCAGTATGGTTTGGTGACCACTGGTACTTCTGCGGAATTACGGCAGCGATTCTCGTCGTTTTGGAAGCAGCGGAATGCCCGTCGGTATAGCGATGATAGGCTGTGTACAGCTGGGGCTGCTGCACCGACATATTTACCGCCGGCTACTACAACTGTGGAGCTTCCTGACCCCCCGAGAACCGTACCTCAGGTACTGGGTAATACGGAATCTGACCAAGCCGAGGTAGTGAGAATTAGCAGGGAGTTAGAGGCGGTCAAAGAGATTCTTGGGTTGTCTTTGGAGACTGATACCCGGACTCTTCGAGAATATCTGGCATCGGTTGTGCGACAGGCGAGAGGCTCGCCGAGTAATGAGGTCGGCTATGGGTTCGAAAGACCCGCCAACCCTATGTCCCCTGTTGTGGCTGCTCCCATGCCTACCTTTGGGTTACCAAGTAGACCCGAGGGATGGCAGCGATCTAGTGATAATTTGGAGAGACCAGTCCGTCCTTCTAGTGTGGAGGTGCCACGTGGATCGGGTATGCTCTCGAATGAGGCCAGCAGGGTGGAGCCAAAGGATTGCTCCAAAGTATGCAACACGGTACGGAAGTGGGGGTTAAGGTTTGATGGCCGACGAGACCCTGTGTCGTTCCTGGAGCGCCTTGAAGAGCTGATGGTCTCGTACTCTATAACATCAGAGGACCTGCTCAGAGCGCTGCCGGAGCTGTTGCAAGGCTCAGCGCTTCTATGGTACAGGAATTGCAAGGAGCTCCTGTATTCATTCGAAGCTTTTCGGCATCAATTTGAGATCCAGTTCCTTCCACCTGGTTATCAGAGGAATTTGGATGAGGAGATCCGGAAAAGGACGCAGGGTGAGACCGAACACTTCCGAGATTATGTCGTGGCCATAAGTACCTTGCTTAGGCGTAGCGGTACGTTGTCAGAGCATGGTAGATTGGACTTGATCTACAACAATATGCGTCCTGAGTACAAGCTGATGGTACGCCGGCGTGACTTCAGCAACCTGGCCGAGATGGTGGAGTTGGCTGAAGATTACGAGGCCTATCTGCGAGAGAAGGCAGCCTTCCGACCTCCTCCTTCACCAAACGTAGCGCTGGTTTTGGAAACCGCCTACGTTCCCAAGAAGAAGGCTGGGAAGTGTTTTGAAACGGCCGCGGTCGAAAGACATAATTTTCAGAGACCATCCCTTGAGGCAAAGTCGATTGGGCAGAGAGTATATTTTGACTCTAACCGGGTCCGTGAACAAAGGCCCGTAATGACTAGGGAAGTTGCAGATGGTGCAAAGGATGTGCGTTGTTTTAGGTGCCAGGAGATTGGTCACTTTGCCAGAGGCTGTGGCAAACTGAGGACCGTCTCCTGTTTTGGATGTGGGAAACCTGGTTTTACTGTGAACCAGTGTGGATGTCGTGCGGGAAACGGCAGGCCAGCTCAGACATCAGGAGGTCAACTGAGCGAGGCCACCCGAAACGAACGACCTCAGAAGAGTGGTCCGAGTGGCTCGGAAAACTGAACAGCTTGGTTGGTGGAGTGGAGGAGGACCAGCTGATTTCGGAGTCAAGGCCCTTTGTGGAAGTTGTGCTGATGGGCAGCGTTTTTAAGGCATTATTGGACACTGGCTCCGTAATTAGCTTGGTTGGGCGAGGAGTCGCCAACCATCTTCAGCACCAGGGTGTAGAGCCGTGTAAGCAAATCACTCCTCTGTGGATGGCAGATGGGACACGGTCAACGGCCGAATATTCGTTTTGGCTAGCAGGAGAAGCTGCGGGAAGACGGTGGATGGGAGATGCCTTGTACGTCCCCACTCTCACCACAGACATGATTCTGGGTATGGATGTCATCCGAGACCTCGGATTGGTGACATGTGGGACAGAGGTAGTTAGAATGGGCGTGGGTGATGACTGTTCTGGCCAAGGTGGCCGCATAGACAGTGTCAAAATTGGTGACGTAGACCCCGAAGGCCCTTGCAATGGAAATCCCCGTCTGGTTCCTGATGCCAAATCATTCAGCACCATGTTGGCTGGTAGTGGCAAGTAGAAGAGTTTTTTTTTTTGTTTTAAGTTTGAGACCTGTGGTGTAGGATTCACCATTGGGTTAGGGGTTGGAGTATTTTGTTTTGGCCGGAGTTCGAATATTTTTTTTCTTTTTGGCCGTTTTCTTTTTTTTCATCCCGATGTAAGTGGGGGATGTAACGAGTTATTTTTCCTAGGGGGGTAAATTTTCGTTATTTGGCCGTGCAATTGTTGAGGTATGCAAGCGGCGGTGGCGAACCTGGCCAGCGCCCTTTGACCCGGCTTATCAGTTCGGATAAGCTTGGGTATCCTGGGACTACTGGATAGCCAAGAAGGACATTCTAGTCGTGGATCCCGTGCAGTGAAGAGCGAGCGTGTGTCTAGTGAGACGTCCAGTGGTGTACGTGACAGTGGTGTCGGAGTACGTTGGTGGTGTGATCGCGCCGAGTAATTGGTGTAAGTTGGGTACAGACCCACTATTGGTGAGTGGACGACGTTCCTTACATTTTGGTTTAAGAGTTGATAATATTAATATCTGATTTGAATGCGAGAGTTAGAGTTGTAACCGTGCTGGTCAAAGCCTGACGGTAGTTAGGATTTATATTAGTCAGGAATAATAATAAAGTGTATTCCTGACGGTTCTGGGCAGGTGCTAGAGCGCAAATAATATAATTTATTGACTGTAGTAGTTATTATTTTGCGTTGTACCAAGAGTTAGTTATATTACTAATAACTCTGAGGCCCGACAAACCTAGGCTGCACGATTTAGCGTGCGTAGTTGGAAGCACGCGGCCAATAGGCTAGTAGCTAATTTTATTAGTCTAGTGACAGAAGCCCAGCTAAGTAAAAGTAATATAACGTGGACATCGTAGCAGTAGTGGTAGTAGCAGTAGGGTTGGTATTGATTAATCAGTTGATTATTTCAATTTAACCTGAACAGCTTGCTTAGTAATCCAACACGTTAGCTTGGTAGCTTGGATAGCGGAGTACCGGCTATCAGATAATATATTTATCTAGTGTTTGGAACTATTTAATATTTATTTATCTGCTACTAAGTAACTCAATAATTTGGTAGTAGTGCAATTGACATTTAGCTTTGCTTGTTTGGCTTGGTATTTATTGAGACCAGCTACTAGTGGTGTAGTCACTCTACCTATAGTGCACTTGTATTGTTATCTGGTATTATTATTGAGTGAACTGTTTGATTGTTAGCTTGGGCAATAGAGTTGTGTATTGGATTATAGTGGCCTAGTAGACCCCGCCTGGTGATAACACGCGTTGTGGTTTTTATTGGCAAGTCGTCGTGTAACTCACCGTGTTTTAGGCTCTCTGGGCTTGACTATTGGATAGTTAGGACGAAGCCCGAGTTGCGTAGTCAGCAACGACCCCCTAGGAGTGTGGAGAATCGGCGTAGGTCTGGTAGTGATTATTGCACGTTTGTTGTGGTGACTTGTTTTTGACTTGTTCACAGTGCCCGTGTATGAGCCAGTCCTATACCGGTTAGACCCGGCTATTGGCCTAGTGGTTTCCCTGACCTTATCGCAGACCCTGGAACTTTACCCAGCCATTGTAGGCTGAGCTATCCCCGGCAAACGTTTGCGACTGCACTTTTAATATATTTTTCCAGTGCAGAAAAGCTCGTCGCACGGCGAGCGGTGTCGGGTTACAACACCTGCAGCTGCTCTGGCGAGCGGTGTCGGGTGACAGTGCCGTATGCATTCGGCAAAGATAAGCGCTAAGCTACGCAAATATTTGGCCGAGGAAACACAACAGTTGCCAACATTTTACTGTACAGTAGTTTTAACGCATTGCAGGCTAGCGTGCGTATTGCAATAAAAGGAGCACCCAAACGCTCATTACTGTACGTAGTTTGTGCGTGTTTCTTTTGCTTTTTAAATAAAAAAAATCGTCCGAGGACGGCCTCGGTTAACCCGGAGTCTCGGTTAAGCGAGGCTCGGTTAACCGAGGTTCTACTGTATCGCCTAATGAGGTAAAGCCATGTTTCAAAATCAGGGATTCTATTTTATTTATTTTTATTTTTCTCGGTAGTGTCATTAGAATTTACCGACAACTTTTATCCACTAATATCTAGCTGTCTTATACCAAACCTATTCTCCCAACAGGTTCATTGCCATGTTTGCATTGGTTTTTAAATTCAATTGCTTTGTCTTTTCCCACTTAATGGGCCACCTAGTGATCTCATTTGAGAGAACCATATAAATAATGCCTTACATGTCTTTTTGTACTCAAACTTTGTCATAGTCTTCTGACTTGAAATTTTATCGAAACTGCTGCTCTGAGAAGTCCATGCTTCAAGTTAAGATATTTTACAACGCCAATCTCCCACAGTCACTTCAACAACACCTAGCTACTTTCTTAATAGACTCTCCATTGTCAAGATGTTTGATTGCAGTCTATTTAAACAACTGTACGTTTTTGTTTACCACTCATCAGGTTAAAAAATAACACACTACACACCTCACAACATACCAGTAGCTTCAAAGCCACTACAGTATTGACAACTAAGCAAACAAGCTACAAAATGGCAATAATCAACCACAAACGCTCACGACTTCGGCCGAACACCTCGACTTTTTTAGTTTTTTCAAGCCCCGAAGCAAGGATAATCGGGACTGGGATAGTTGGTACTCAACTGTACTGTTTCTGGTCTACCCATACAAAAAGGTTATTCACAAACAGTAAACAGCTTGATTCACAGCTTTAAACTCCACCTGATATGAGAAGCTGGCATTACCCTGGTAGATTGCAACATCCTCCTTAGTAATATACGCCATCGGTGCGAGCAGCACAGCCCGGTGTAAATTGTCAGGGTGCAGCGCCGCCAAGATGATGGCTGTGATGGCTCCATCACTCCATCCCAACACAGAGTACTGCCGTCGGTCCAGTTTCTAAGTATAAATAGAATATTTTATTTCAGTTGTTTAGCTTTAAGTGTTTTCTAACCCATTGTAACATTGTTTTAGCTTAAATAAATCACTGGGTTATATATCATTGACTATATAGTCAATGGTTATAAAGTCATTGTCTTAAATTCATTTTAGCGAATTTTCCAAATAGGGAATAAGCTATTACCGTAGTACTCATGGTAAAACCTGGACCCGGGACCGATTTAGTTTTGAGGTCCCCAGAGGACAAAAACACCCTACGTTCAAATTCATATATATATATATATATATATATATATATATGAAATGAAATGAAAATGATTTATTTAGTCAGGCAAAGTTAGGGCCACATGGCCCTCTCTTACACTTAACCTGTTTATACAAATCTAAACATACAAATAAAACAAAACAATGTACAATACAAATAAAATACTATAATCTATTTACAATATTTAATGTAAAAAGAAACAATACACTTTTAAAACATACCACCTTACATAAACACCCACACACACACACACCTACACACGTACACGCACACACACAACACACACTCGCAAGAACTAGCACACTCACACGCACACCTGTCAGTGATCAACCAAGCGCACGCCTAGGATATACCTGTCCGTTAGCGCGACAACTCGAGCAAAAATGATCCGATTTTGATTAAATTTGGTAGAAGCATGTAAACCTACATTTATTCAAACGAGTTTGCGAACCAGCATGATTGGACTATGGGAACGGGGGTTTTTGTATGGGATAAAAATTGGTTTTTCCCATTTTTGACTCTAAAAACCTAAAATTTCACAATTTCTTTCCAAACCATTTTGTTGAGCTTAGAAAATGAAAAAAATTGTATATTGAAGCATTGTTGTATGCCTAACGGTTACGGAAATAATTAAAAAAAACTAAATTTAAAATTTCCATGTTATTCTTATGGAGAATAAATAAATTGTTGTAGTTTGCTTGTTTAATTTATTATTTACTTTTGGATCCTATAGTACACATCTCTTCTATATAGTCCAGCCAACCAGATAGTAGGTCCAGCTGTAGCCATATTATTAGTAAAATGATGAAATTTTGCTTGTAATATACGAGGGCTATCCAGAAAGTGACAAACGTTTTGGCCTGGCGCGGCTGTGAGCGTGGCTAGGACTGCCATCTTAGCGTCAGAGTATTCCTACACCCAGTACGCAACCAGCCGTGGTAGCTAGAGCTTCGGGACTTCTGTACTTTGTATGCAGTTTGCAGAATAGAGTTTTGAAATGAGCGCTACAATTGTAAATACCGCCAGTTGAAGTGTGTGGTGTGATTAGGATTGTATTGGCAAAAAATTACAAACCCATTGAAATTTATCGCCAGATTTGTGAAGTGTACGGCCTAGGAATAATGAGTGAAAGCCGAGTGAGGCAGTGGTGCATTGATTTTAAAGTAGGCCAAACCAATGTTCATGATATGGGTCGCAACAGTAGGCCTAGTCTTGTAAGCTGAACTTCGATTGGTGGCGAAAATCGATGAAAAAATCCGTGGAAATCGTCGTTTCACGATCAAGGAACTCTTGGAACTTTTTCCTCAAATTTCACGAAGTTTTGTCGTTAATATTCTTGGATACCACAAATTTTGTTCCAGGTGGGCTCAAAAACTGCTAACGGAAGACCACAAAATAACAAAAAGTTGCTGCAGCACTAACATTAATTAGAAGAGTATGACGAAATTGGAAACCATATAAATGGTCGTATCGTAACTGATGACGAGACTTCCGGGTAAAGCACGTCAACTGTGAAACAAAATGCAGTCGATGGAATTGGGTCACACGCATTCCCCCAAGAAAGCGATAAAGTGTTTGCACACACTATCAGCAAGAAAAATCATGGCTAAGGTATTTTGGGACGCTCAGGGGGTGATTTTGTTAGGTAGACTTTCTTGAAAGTGGCCAAAAATTAACTCAGAGAGGTATTGCAAAACATGCCGAAAATTAAGACGTGCGACCCAAAACAACAAAAGGATCCAAAATTAGCGGAAATGTTTTGTTTTTTCATGACAACGCCGGTCCACACACGGGCAATCGTACCCGAGAGTTATTGGATGGGAAGTTTTCAATCATCTGCTGTATAAAGTCCGGATTTGGCGCCGAGTGACTACCATCTGTTCCCCAGCGATGAAGACGTTGCTCGCTACGCAACGCTTTGACACTGCCGCTGAACTCCACACCAGTGTAATCCAGTGGTTAAACTCACAGGTGGTAGATTTCTTTAAAGAGAGCATTGAAAAGCTAGTACCACGCTATGATAAATGCCTTAATTTAAATGGCGTCTATGTAGAAAAATAGCCTAAGGTTTGGCTTCAAAATTTATACCGTACAGTAATAATTGTTTTTATTTTTATTTTGTATGTGGTTTATTTCAAATTGTCTGCTACTTCCTAGATAGCCCTCATACATAGAATGTTTAGAGTCAAAATCATAAAAGAAGTCTTACAACATCAGTAGAAAGGCATTTACAATTCTAGCACTGCTTAAACAGAGTCTATGTGTTCTATAGATAAAAAATAAAAGATCAAAGTGTGTTATAGCACATAATAGCACTAGAATGTAGAAAAACAATTGGCGATGTTTGGAAATTTGCTAGTCTTGTTTAACATTATTGTATAGCTTTCAGTGGAGTGAATTCTTCAATACAGAGAAAGCTCTCCTCGACATAGAGACCTATTCTTACGTTATGTTTCCTAGGTATGCAGACCTTCAGCTAAGAGTGGGCTACGGTACTCTGTCCAGTGTCCACTAGACGACACAATACACAATTCTTTACACTGTAGTACAAGTCTTGAGTAACAACAAGATAACGGCTTTCAAGAGATCTAAAGTCTGATATCTGGAGTAAAGTTGGTAAAAAGATTTTTGTTTCTAAATAATTTTTTAATCCAAATATTATAAATGGCCTAGTCAAAATTGAAATAACAAAATCTTAATGAGCGTGCAAAGAACCAAAAGTATTTACATTCATTAGAGCTCCTACGACTTTGGCGTCGTTCACATAAAAATCTGGCATGAATTCTCGTTGAGGAGGTCTGCTTTTTCCATACCCAATTGGATCCCATGATATCAAGGTATACTTTTCTTGATCTAAACCACTGAACTGTGGAGCAAAATCACTTTGCATTGTACCTGTAAACAGAAAAATTTTGATATAAAAAAAAATTGTAGTTTTCATCCCTAGGAACGAAAGTGGCTCTTTTTGGTATGCAATCGTGATGTACGATTAGGTACCAAAAAGACACTTTTGCTCCGTGTGATATAGGCCTACAACTATTTTAATCATACTTTGGGAATAACCTTCTATTCATGACAATACCCCCGCCGCAGCAAACCTGCCGATTAAGCGAATTTCCATTTGTCTGAATTCATTTTCAAATCTATTTAAATAACATTAGGCTTAACGAGTACCTAGGTTTGCTGCTACAAGGAAACTAATAAGGTGTTTTCTTTTTAGTAAAATATTAATACGTTAGTATAAAATAAATAAATTTGCCAAGTTTGACCAAAATATATCCATAAACAAGAAAACTACAACATTTTACAATATCCTCCATAAGAATAAAATGGGAATTTAAAATTTACAGTTTTTTGAATTTTCTCCATTACTAATAACCGTAAAAAAACACTTTGATATAGGCCTACTAAATTATTTGTTTTTTTTATGCTCTTTAAAAAGATATAAAGAGAAATTGGGAAATTTTGTGTTTTGAGGGTCAAAAATGAGAAAAACTATTTTTTACCCCATAAAACCCACCGTAAAACCCCATTCTCATGGTCTGATCATGCTGGTTCCCTGACTCATTCAAGTTTATCCCGCCTTACACCTTTAAACCAAATTTCATCAAAAATGGACAAAAATTACTTAAGTTATCGCGTTTACGGACGTATTCATATCTATACTGTATATACATAATATATGTAAATGGCAACCTATAGGCCTACTCACAAAAAAATTTATAAACAATAAAAAAAAGTTTATCTTTGCGATCAAATGGCGAGTATAGGTCGCCGGGCACCATTTTCCTGACTGCTCGAATGAAGTTATCTTCTAGACAAATTTTTGCTTAGTGTTGGTTTTTTAACACAAAATAAGACAATGTTATTGTTGGTTATCTTAAAATTAGGCTAGACAGATTTTGCCTACCATAGTTTTTCCATCTGTGATTTAACTTATGTTAGCCTATTTACTTACCAAAAATATAATATTGTACACCATTTCAATTAATTTGATTTACCTACCCATTGCTCCTGGTAAGAGAAGTAAATTATGTTTTCCATTTCCGACAACAGTATAGTTGATTGTATAGTTGTTTATAGTTGTAATGTATTCCTAAAAAGTTAAAATTCTCACTTAGTTGAACAGTATTAACAAGAGTTTTGGGCAGACTTCCATATCTGTTGGCACTAATATCGAATGAGTACTTTTTATCGATATATCTAACAATCGATATATCGATAAAAAGTACTCATTCGATATGTTTGGTTAGTTAGGTTAGGTTATATATCGATTAATCGATATATCGATAAAAAGTACTCATTCGATATAAAAAGTACTCATTCGATATTAGTGCCAACAGATATGGAAGTGTCCCCAGAGTTTTTGATAAATCAGTTCTTACAAATAAAAAATTCCAAAAAGAAAAAGGTTTTTAATCATTAAACAGTAGTCATCAAAGCTTCCATAAGTAGCCTAGCCTATTTTTGATCCAAGATCAAATCGCGGAACATCTATCTATTTTGTTATTTTAGTCCTTTGATTAACTTAACTTGGTTACTGTTACTTAACAAATTTGTCATCAATTAACTTATTTAGGCCTACAGCACATAAAAGCACTTCATTTAACATGACTAACTGCAGTATATAGCCTAAATGTTGGAATTCAGCCCCCTAATAAGAAAAAAAGAGGGTCGTAGGGGGAACGGCGATTGTTCCATTGAATTTCTGGCCCAGAAAATAGGGGGTAAGTTATACTTTCGGTCTCCATGTAGCATTGCAACATTGTCACTTTCCCCAGATCCCTAAGTATACATGTAACCTTACTGGTAGGTAAATAAATAAATAAATAAATAAAATTTTCCCGTTAAGGGGCAAAAAAGATAAGTGTTGCAATCGGGGTATATTTGGATTCATTAAATAAAAGGAATCCATCTAAGGCAAAATTTGTTTTTGTTAGAGGGGAATTTACCCCCTTAAAAAGTAAAAAGGGGGGTCGAAGGGGGACGGTGATGGTTCCATTGAATTTCTAACCCAGAAAATGGAGGGTAAACTTAATTTCAGTCTCCTTGCAGCATTGAAGAGTTTACGGGTAAATACTGTACAAGGTTTGAGGGAAAAAATACCTGGGCAAATTTCCACTCCCCAGAGCCAGAAGCCTAAGTTAAGCCATTTCGGGTTGAATTTGAGTGAGTGAAATAGAATGTTATCTGTAGCTAAGGGTTCCCAGGGACCCTCCATCAAAAAAGAGGACAAAATTACCCACCAAGGGTGGTCCTAGACATATATTTGGGGGGGGGCCTGGGGGGTATGGAATACCCCCCAGCAAAGAAAGGGGGTCCGGGTTCCCCCCCGGGAAAAATTTGGAAATAACGTGCTAAAATTAGTACTTTTTAAGCTATTTTGAGGACCTAGTTTAATGTGTTCAAGCTACCCAGTTTATTTTTCAAAGGTCAAGAAATGTTAAAAAATAAACTTGAGACTTGTGGTTTTAATATCAAAGGAATACCGCAACATTACAACACATTCAAGCATGTTTGATTTACAAAAACACCCTGGTGCCAATGTGCATGCTAAACAGAACTTGTCCAAAATCAGACCATGATTTTGAACCAGAGAACTTATTTTATCTAAGAAGTGTTTAAGAACTAGCACCCAACACGACTGCATTATACCTGCCCAGCAAGCAACAGTTCATGTCGACCACGCTTAAAACAAGTAAACTTTTCTGAAAATACACATTTTCTTTTCGGCATTAGGGTAGGCCCTAGGGACGATCAACATGGACAAATTAAAAAGTAAGATAATTATTTTTTAATTAGGCATGTAACATGTAACGTAAAGTAAGCAAGTAAGGAGACAAAGAGCTAGTCACTGGTCGACGGCCGACGGTCGCTAGTATGCTACTGGCCTGGCAAACTGGCTACTAGTGAGCAGAGTTATTCAGTTTCGCATTCCGTTCTTTTTAGCGAATTTCCCTATAGGGAAGTAGCTTACCGTAAGTCTCATGGTAAGACTTAGGCCCGGGACCGATTTACTTTTTCATTTTGATGTCCCCAGAGGCCAAAAACACCATTCGTTCAAATTTTTATATATGTATATATATATATATATATGTGTGTCCGTGAACACGATAACTTGAGTAATTTTTATCCGATTTTGATGAAATTTGGTTTGAAGGTGTAAGGCGGGATAAACTTGAATGAGTTCGCGATCCAGCATGATCGGACCATGGGAACAGGGTTTTATAGGGGGTTTTATGGGGTAAAAATTGGCTTTTCTCACTTTTGACCCTCAAAACACAAAATTTCCCATTTTTCTCTAAACCTTCTTAAAGAGCTTAAAAAAATAAACAATTCAGTATATCAAAGTGTTTTTGTACGGTTATTGGTTACGGAGAAAACTAAAAAAATTGTAAATTTAAAATTCCCATGTTATTCTTATGGAGAATATTGTAAAATGTTGTAGTTTGCTTGTTTATGGATATCTTTTGATCAAACTTGGCAAATATATTCATTTTCTACTAAGCAATAATTATTTTACTTAAAATACACACTTTATTAGTTTCCTTGTAGCAGCAAACCTAGGTACTCGTTAAACCTAATGTGATCTAAATAGATCGATTGAAAATCAATTCAGCCAAATGGAAATTCGCTTAGACGGCAGGTTTGCTGCGGCGGGGGTATTTGTTCTACAGTCTATTTCCAATGGATTCTAGCGTACGTTATACACGAAATTTGACCTAAAGAAAGAGGAAATGACACTTTTATACGTAAGATATTATTAAAGTGCCTAGTATTTTAACTTAGTTTAATGTTATGATGACGATTAATTATAAAAGCTGATTGCTAATATTAATACTTGCAGAAATATTTTTTTTATTTTCTCTCAAAGTCAAAATCCCGGACATTTGAAAGTATTGCCAAAAATCTCCCCGGACGTTTTTTTTGTACCCAAAAAGAGGACGTGTCCGGGAAAAAGAGGACGTCTGGGATCCCTATCTGTAGCCTAACTTACTTGTTATGAAATAAACTTACTACTTAGATAAATAAATCAAACAATAGGCCCTATGTACTTAGGCCTTTGGTTGTAAAGGCTACATATTCTTATGCTATGTATGGTAACTTGCGAAATTACAAATTTAATCAACCAAACCTACAAAAATATAATTTGACTAACCTTTAAATCAAAGGATAAATTTCTTTGAGTCATCATGGCTGTTTGTACATTCAAAATCTGCCTTTTAAATTGAAATGACTTCTTCAAACATATTGTTCTGATCAAACACATCCTCAGTATTTAGAAATACAGACCTACAGGCCTAACTTATATTGCTAATAAAAAGTTTAAAATATCAATAGGCGTAGCTAATAATCCAAGAAGATGTAAACAAAACAATACACTACACAGTTGACAATTCTTTTCGATCCCCTACCATCTCATTTTGTTTACTTTACTTACTGTACCAACCAACCAGCTGTGACTGCTGTGCTCTAGCGGCTCTAGCTCTTGTTCTGCTCCTTCTGATATGGAGTTAGCTGTTCCAGTTCCATCCTCATCGTCCAACGTTCAACCATAGATTTAAAATCATACTCTAGGGGGGTCGCTGTCAAGGCGCCACCACGTCAAACCGCCACCTCAGTGTTTTGGTCAGAGGCGTCAACCTGCTACCACAAAAAAAACAGAGTTGGCGGGTTGACGTGTACATACATGTCTACTTGCCACCACGACAACGTGCCATCACGACAACCCGCCACCACCAGTTTTTATTATAGGTGGTGGGTTGTCTTGAAGCTCCATGTTTGATGACGGCAACCCACCACCTCGCATGTATGCGACAACGTGCAACGTGCCACCCCGTCAACCCGCCACCACTCTATTACGAGGTGGTGGGTTGACGTGTACGCTCAATGTTCGGTGCCGTCAACCTGTCACCACGCACGTATGCGACAACTGATAGTTGACCTGTATGTATAAGCTATTTATGTTATATCAAATCGATATATTAGTTTAACCAAATGAATGTTTTATTAATTCCATTTTCGTTTGAAAAATAAATAATGTGTGGACTGCCAATGATGATAACGTACTAAGCTACTTCAGTACTATAAACACTTCAGTCACAACTAAACTAAGTCTTTTCTAAAAACTAACTTTTTCATTAAAGGCGAACATTTGTCAGATAGCAACAATAGTTCCAATACGTCTTGCGGGTAAGCACAGTTTGCCAATTTTGACTAAACTGACTCCTACAACCGAGGAAATTTGATGAGCGTTATAAATGTGCCCCTTGTATCGTAACAACCACCGCCGCTTACGTGCAGCTTAGGTTTCCGCTCGTATCGTACCCGAGGCAATTAGATGGGGGGGGGGGCGCAATTAATAGCCAATGGCTACCCACTTTACTACAGCCCAAAAACACCTGTCACCACATACAAACCGAGTTACTACTCACTGCAACATAATACCACCTTTGCAATAATTGAGTACAACACAAAACTCATGTAGTTTGTTAAGTTAGTGTCACCTTCATCAATCCGCTGTACTTGCACATTTGCAAATGAGCTTACCCATTCTGTGGAAAACTCACACCAGAAACTATACCTATACCGTCCATATCGATCAGAAACTGGATGGGGAAGAAATTAACTTTTCCTTGTGAGCGGAGTATCCAAGTTTCTAACCATCTGAAGAGTCCCCATGTTAACTCTTATCCATTGGCGTCATTTCATCAAATCCTTGGGGGGGGGGGGCAAACACTGGGGGGTACGGAAAACCCCCCAGTAAACCGAGGGGTGGTCGGGGGTCCTCCCCTGGAAAATGTTACAGTTTTTAAACAAAAAAGAGGGGTTTAAGCTTATTTTAACTGTCAAAAGCACTTCGAATAAAAACAAAATTATGAGTCAAATTTATTTGAATTTAGGCAGAAAATTAATGAAACTAACAATTATTGATAACAGACAGAAACATAATAATATGTTGGTAGGTTAGTCATCTAAGAAACGTGATCAATAGTTTCATGGTGTATTAATATTATTTTTGTTATTATATTTATGACCAAATTCTCTTGTACAACATTTAGACCTATATAGCAATGAATACGGTTGTATTCATAGCCTATAGTTCATAACAGTTTAATTTGGTTTTTAAATAAAACCATTGACTATATATACCTACAGGTAGGTATATATAGTCAATGATAAAACATAAGTGTTTAAGTACTTAAAAGCAAATCAAATTTTATTATCAATAAAATAATTTGACACAATCAATTTGAATGTGCTACTGAGACACTAAAAAATAATATTTTTGTTTCAAATTACTGTAGAAGAATAGGCAAGATTTTGTCTGCCGTGCTTTTTAGGATTTGACAGGAGAAAATATTTGTATATTAGCTAGTACAGCATATTTTTTTCTCTAGCCCAGGAACCAGGGGGGCAAATGCCCCCCCTGCCCCCCCCCCCCCAAATGACGCCACTGCTCTTATCCCATCAACACCATAAAGTGAAAATTATTTAATTTTCTTCCATTTTATCAGCCTCTGTCTATAAACATTATGCCCATATACTAGTATTGAGATGTATTGATATTATCCAGCATGCAGCATGGTTGCATCGAAGTGAAATAACCACAATTTTAGGGTCTTCTTAACATATTTTAAAAGAGGAGAATCACGTATGTGAATAACACAACACAGCTACTGAATGGGATTTATTTACAAAAGAAAATCCTCGGCATAAAAATACTAGATGACATAGGCTAACATCTATGAAGCATACATAATACAAATGCGGCAGCGGGGTGACCGCTTACAGTCTACAACACTTGGTTGTTTGTTCCAAGAGTTCAGTCAACATATTGCACAAAGTTAACAGCATAACACTATTGTTTCCTTTGTGACCTTAGTAATATAGGATTAATTTAGCCTTTTTTAAGACAACTACATCAACAAATTTACGTTGTATTTTAGGGATTTTTGTTGGGATATTAGACTTACCCAAATGAGAAAGAGTTATTGGTACAATAAAATAAACGCAAAATACTTTCACTGTACACAAAAAATTGAATTATTTCACTGTCACTGAGTGTTTTTAACAAAGAAAAGTTTGAATTGGAAAAAAATATTTCTTAAGATCCAATGTTAAATTAAATGCTCTAAGTAACAGCAAATTCTTTTCTTTTTTTTTGTAAATAGAAGTTTTTGTGTTTAGCCCCTTCAGATAAGACTAATATCCCAACAACAATCCGAAACACCTAGGTTCTTTTGTCTTATGTCTCATGATTTAACGATTTGACTCAAATTTATCTTGTAGTATGTATTCATTAGAAGAAAGGCGATTTAAAATTTGAACTTTAAGATTTCTTTTAAAATTAGAATGGACACAGATGACAAGAAACCAAGAGATTAGATTTAAGTGAACACTCACTGATTGTTTGGTTTTCCTATGATTAGTTATGTAAGAAATTACAACAAACAATACAAATATTGTTATAGAATGTATTGCAAAATCTATTCCTCTTCATTGCACAAGGAAAAAACTATTAGGTATTGGTACACAATCATTCAGAAGAAAATTGAAATAATTATGAATTGATATTACTATTACAATAGTTAAAGGCACAAACTATTATTGAATATCGATGAATAGGTAGGGTGACATTTAACACAATATTTAAAACAAAATCTTAAGTAACTGCTTGGTACTACAACCATGAATTTATATATACAGTCTTTTAAAGTAGTCACCTCAATCAACAAGTTGCTGACATCACAGAAAAAGAGGAACAAAACAAATCCATAAAAAATTTCACAGATTTTAGAGCAAAAAAGGTTTTATTTACAACGTTAACTAACCAATTCAGCACCACTATGAAATGGGGTCTCAATAGTAATTAAAATTTAATTAGGAGCTGAAAAATATTAAGGTTAACTTAAATGAAAATCAAGAACCTATTACTACCACATTTGTGGGTTTTACAAAATATTGAAATTGTAGTATTAGTTATTTACTAATGAACTAATAATTTGTCCTTGTTAAGTGATAAAAGTGATAAAAAGTTACTGTATGAAATATTTCATATAACTTAATTTGTAATAGTAAAACCATAGATAAATCATACTCCCTTAAAACCTAAGTACATATATTTGTGTTTGCTTAGTTTACAAATTTTTAGAGATAGCACTTTGTGAGGTTCGATGCTTATTGTTTACAAGTTATCAGCGTAACACTTTAAATGGATAATTTGAAGAAAATGTCAGACTCTGGCATCTGAATGGGGTGAAGATCCCAGGTATAAGCAATGTCCCAACAAAATTATAAATTTTTTCCAAAAAAATTTGATTGCAGCTTCCAATTTATTCAAAGGTTAACGAGTTAGAGATATATAAATAAATTTAGACCAAGATGGACTTAATATTTTGAACCAAAAGTATATATAAAAAGACATTGGATTTAAAATAGAGATGTGTATGTCAGTGGTTTTTTAATGTTATAAAGACAATATTTCCCGTTGGGTACTCGAGGAATACCTACAGCACACAATTGAGGGCAAAATGCAAGCCAAAAATAATGATAGTACAGTAGAGAGTCGAAAATCCGAACGTCAAAAATCTGAAACGTAAAAAATCCGAACCACCCCTGAGAGTTTTAAAATATTGAATTAGCACAGAGACAACAGATGTTTTACAATTTCGCGGGCCAAAAAGTCGGCGCCTGGCAGGGCAATGAGTGAGCACACCGAGCCAGTCTGTGTTTTGTTCGTTTCCAATGTATAAGCTCTTCATATTTTTTTCAAGAAACGAATTACAGTTATATAACAAAAATACCTAAGTACAAAAATCATTATTTTGATTTCATTCAATGTATCCTAGAACTGTATTTTTAATACTATAGGCCTAATTATGTGTCTATTAGGCATTTCTAGGCTATGTTTGAAAATCCGAACAAATCGGTAATCTGAACTACTTACGGTCCCAATTGGTTCGTATTTTTGACTCTCTACTAATATAAATTCCAGAAGTGCTAAAGGCCACATGATGATCGGCAGGTTACATGTTAAAATCTACTAGATGCAAAACAATCACTGTTAACAATAAGTGTTTATGGATATCAAGTCTTCGGATAAAACTAAATTAATGAAAAATCAGTGTATAAAAACTCAAAGAACACTAAATGTTTAATATAACACACACAATTATTTACAAAATATTTATTTTATCTGATCCAAAACTTAAGTCTGCACACCTCTAATTCATGGATACAATATTTAGCCTTGCCAGATAAGTTTGTTCACACTCTCAATTATAAGAAACACAAAAAGTATACAAAATACGTTACAAAATCTAAACCCAAAATATACAGTTACTGACTAACAATAACTAAGCAGAAATGCTAAAATTTCTAATAATACTTTAACTATACCAGACCACACGTTGACAGTAAGTACATTTTTAATTGGAATATTGTAAATATATTATAAATACTTTTTTGAGATATAGTTTACATCAGTCAATTTACAAACAAGTTTGGTTATACATTTTTGGCAACCATTTTTGGTTTAAAGAAGAGCTTAATGGCTAGAAAATATTTACATTTTTGGTAAAGAAAATGAGAGACATTCACACTTTGATTCACTTCTGAACCGTGTCTGCATTTAATCTAATAATGTGGGTTGTGCTATGTATTTTACTACAAGTGATATATAACAAGTTAGTATAGTTAATATTGCAAATGGTTTTCAGCAAAAAAATGTATACAAAAAAGTTGTAGAATACACCAGAAAGTTGTTTTGAACAGTCAAAGTTAAATACCAAACAAATTTACAAATATTTACCTTCATGTAAAAGATGCTTTCTATAAAATGTTTTACACAAGAAAATTGTTGGGTTTACGCAAAAACATGTTATATGCATGATTTATTTTTTATGTTACATTTCAAAACTCGTATAAAAGTACAAACTTTATTTCCAAGCTTTTGATTAGAATTATTCTCCAAGACTTATTGACTTCACTCATACAAGTTTCAATCATATACTGATGGTGTATCATCAATGGCAATAATTTTTGTTTTCATTTTTATGTGATATATTTGTTACTAATAAATATATAATTTTCAATTTATCCTTTTTAGTTTATTTTTATTACTTAAGGTTCCAAGCAACACGTTTTACCTCTACCAATAGATTTTCAATAGTTAATTTCTTTACTGTAGCTTGACAAATTTAACATTAAGATAACTTAATAGGTTTTGTCAGCGATTACAACTTTCTGGTAGATTTATAGATTTTGTCATTTTACAAAGACGAATCAATGACTAGAGAGAAGGGGAGGTAACAAGCAGAAATAAATTAGTTTTATCATAGTTAGAACATTTTCCTATTAAAAGATCGTTTTATATAAATAGCATAAAATTTACAGAGAGCCTTGTTTATAACTGTTATTAGCCAGAAGCTAGATATTTAATACATAAATTGTTATTAGCCTAACATTATTCATGGATAAAATGGTCAGGTATGTAGAGCTAAAAAATATCCTAACTCACAGTCAGTGTTACACACTTTTTTGTAGTAATGTGGACTACATCTTACACTTATTTTACATGGTATTTATCTTCCACAAAAAATACTATCAGGGTTGGAAAGTTATTAAACAAAAAATTTAAATTTTGATGAAAAGGTTATTATAAAAATTGTCTTTAGAGAAAAAAGGTTATCCTCACATTTCAACATTCCAAAATACACGACAAAAGTTTTTTTATTTGACACATTCTAAATTGAAACCAATAAAAACTGACGAACAGTAAAAATATTTTATAAAAATCAACTGTATAAGCGAGCCAACAATAACACTTACAGAAGGCAATCTATGTTTTGCTAAGCTAAGTCTTAGGCCTTGACATAACAACAAGTCGACATAACAACACATTAATAATGGGCACATGAATGTGGTATTTACAGCCATTACGAATAAAATTATACCTTTTTACAATATATTATAACTATGTTCTTATACTGTAATCCTAAATTAATAGATATTTAATTATTTAAGAAATCATCAAAGAGCTACTGGTACTTAATTAGCTATCTCTTGTCAACAATTTCCATTAAGAACCAAAATCGCAAATTAAATATTTATAAAAAATATGATGTTGCAAAAAGTTTTATTAGTGAAAATGAAGCAAATGAGAAAATACAATAACTCGCAATTGCAATACAAGAAGAGTCTCAAAACAATTTGGTTGTATTGCAGTTTTATTATAACTTAAACATTGTTATGGGATAGAAAATAGAAAATACGTAAAGTTAATACCCTTAAAAAATTTCTTTTTCACTAAAATAGCTTTTAACAATATAAATTAAAATATTTTAAAGGTTCTAATCCTAAAAAGTGCATTCTGTTCTATTATTTTTTTAAAGTTTATTTTTATGTTTGTGGACATTATAAGAAAGCTTTGTTTTTTTTTCAATTACTAACATATCTATAAAAATGTAAATGCAGCCAATAGTTTCTGTTATACTGTATGCACAACAATTCTTTAACCCTGTATGCCACATAAATACCAAACTAATAGCCCTCCACAATTAATCACAATTCTTCAAGTTAAACTGTGAAATTAAAATCCATCTTTAGACTGTTTACTATTTGGAGGAAGACAGGAGGAGGAGGAGGAGGAGAAGGATGAGGAGGGTGAGAAGATGGACGATTTCCGAATTTCGGAAAAATTGGGGAAAAATATTCTTGATCATCGGGACGGAATTTACATTAGATTTGATTCAATCGCCGGCAATTTTGCCGCATCGGAACTGACAATGATGCCGTTTCCGCGATCGTGGGAGAAATCGATCGGTATGCCGGGTGACGATGTCTATGTCTACACTGTTGCGAGAGATGTTCACAATGGTTCCGAGAACCCAGGAAGTGATGACGATGTCTCCGTGATTGCAGGAGATGTTTATGATGAACCAGTGACTGCGCAACATGTCGATGATGGCTCTCCGTGACCGCGAGTAATGTCAATGATCACGCTGTGGCTTTGAATCATGTTAACGATGGCGCCGTGACCTCGAGTCATTCTTACAATGGAGCCGTGACCGCGGAACAAGTTCACAAGGTCAAATAGATTTTGTTTGCTATTTTTTATATCTAAAATAATGTTTATTAAAGATTTTTGAAACAAACCTTTTTTTGTACAGAGAAAAAAATCCCGCCCGTCCCAAAAAAAGGGAAGGAAATAAGAATCATGTCCGAACTAAAAATTAAATCCTGTCCTGTTTTTACATTTCAGCCGTTGCAAGGTAGTTTTCATGATCAAATCAAAATCACTTACCAACAAAACAAAAGTCTTTTAAATCAGGTGTTAGGCGCAACAGTCTCAAATACATACTATGACCTATAAAAATACACTTCTAAATAAGTTTTAATGTTAAGGCAATTTTTCTCAATTACTTGTTGATTAATTATTCATTTAACACCAACTGAAAATAACCACATCCACTACCTTCCGTAGGAAAAAGTCCAGGAATATCAAACCCTTTTTTAGTATATCTAACTCTTAAACTAAGAAAAATCATAGTTGTAGTAAAATACCATTGGCTATTATAAGATAGGACTAACATGTACAAATTACATACACAGAGATTATGTTATTAGGATGCTCATAATACTCTCAATAAATTAACACTATTTACAGACTACCACTTACCATACAGATAGACAGGCCCCAATCTATTAAAGTAGAAGAGGGCTAACATATCTGTCTTGTACTGTATTGCAAAGTCCTCATGGATTGGATATGGTATGTGGGAATGTAAGAAATGTTAACCTGCACTAACAATTTTTTCATACAGGCTTGATACTTCTATTTGTGTTTTCAAAAAATTAAAGACAATAAAATGACTATTAAAACATTTAACAAACAGTTTAAATATTTATTTGCAAACACTTTTTAAAATCTAACAAAGCACCAGTGTAAAACTACTAATATTTTTATATCTTACTCAAAATCTTAAAGGTGACAATACCTGTATAACAATGGGCTGCGACAACAGACTTAGGGTTACTGACGTATGAGATTCGTATGATTGGCGCCGACGGGTAACTTTATGACGTAGGGCACGCGGGCAGTCTAGGCCGTCATCATAACTCAGCCGCACGGTCGTTGTTGTAGTCGATGGGGGCAGCGTAGGAGTATGAAAACCCTACAAAGTGTTCGTCTGCTTCCCTCACACTGGCCGTGAGCGCTCCGCTCGTCTGGGACAGTCCGATGGAGCCTAGGGACTCTCGGATAAACGCGGGATCTATGTGCTGCATATCCAGCTCTCCTTTCTGTAATGCAATTAAAGTTATACTGTAAATCTAATTATTTTTTAAAATTATTTTTTAGCTTTAGCATAGAAGTGTTTTAAATGTTAGTAAAATAATGGAAAAACAACTGTCAAGAGAGAAGAAAAGGTGTAAAAGGTCTTCCAAGTCCTGTGTACTGAAGGTGGATTTTAAGCACCAGAAGCTTAAGATAGTTAAGATCAATCTATAGCTTAAGGTCAATCATAATACATTATCCTATATATTGTCGTATTGTGCCTAACTGACTATTATTTTTAAAACTTAAATATCCATTTAAATTAACCTTTGCTGAAGGACTGGTTTTATTTATTTCTAAAAGACTGTTTTGTCTTGATATTTAAATTTATAGTCATATGTTGAATTGTTTGAAAGGTAAATAAAGTTTAGTTTGTTGTTTTGTTTTGCATTGAACACAAGCTCAGTTTTATTCTGCTAAAATTAATCTAGCATTTTGTCATTTCCTTATTTAATATCGTCCGTGATATCACTGTTAATTGTGAATCACGTATCAGTGACGACATCAATTGGCGACCGTGACAGGACTGACATAAGAAATGACAAAACTAGAAGATCAACTAGTAGATTTGATGCAGGGCAATGCAGGGGAAAGCTCTGGAAGGACGTAGGCTAACGGCTTCGGGAGGCGGAGGTGACTTGGAGAGGCGCCTTCGTCTGGACCTTAAAGAAGAAGGTGAAGACCGTGACACCTGCGAGTTGCCACAACTGGTAGGAGGAACTACGCAGTTGGTACAGCAACCACGAGCAGCGGACCCGGTGAGTTTTTTTCTAGAGAAGATTTTAACACAAGTACAGACTCAGTCAGAAAAAATGGATACTTATTTGGCAGATATTGACAATAAAATTACGTCCTCAATAAGAAAATTTACTCAAAAAGATTCAAAATTAAATACAAGAGTTGGACCATTAGAGTCAGATGCTGTCATTGAAACTATCAAAGATCCTAAGCTGGAAGATGGAGTGACTGATGAATCAAGTGGTTTGGAGATCAGAATCGATGTCATTGGAACGATGCTGAGCAGCAGGCAGGATGACGTGGAGAAGGACAGTATGGTCTTGGACCACTTGGCGGATCACCGAATGGATTCCACGGAGCAAACCGTGTTGGACATTGGGCCAATCTCTGGCTCTACGCCCTTCAACGAGAAAGTGAGTGCGATGTACAGATTTAGGACTGAAAAACTATTCATAGACGAGAAGAATACTAGCGAGGAGACGACATGTGATGTGGCCAAGGGGGATACTGACGAGGAGATGACCTGTGGTGTGGACGAAGGGGATGTTGACGAGGAGACGACCTGTGGTGTGGACGAAGTGGATGCTGACGAGGAGACGACCTGTGGTGTGAACGAAGGGGATACCGATGAGGAGACGACTTGTGGTGTGGACGAAGGGGATGATGACGAGGAGACGATATGTGATCTGGACGAGATCCCGCGTCGTTTGGAGACTTCTGGGAAAACGACAACCACCGCTTGTGAGGAACTGTTTCCTGCAATCAATGTTGCGTGCTATGATTGCTTCAAGAATGTCAAGGACAGGCAAGGTGGGAAGGAACAGGAGGAGAAGATCACGCGCAGGAGCAAGATGATTCCTGACCACAACGGACAAAATGTAAGAGATGAAGAGAAGGCCAAAGAAACTGAAGACATTTTCAGACAGCTCAGAAGTTGGAAGATAGAGCAGCAGATCAACCAATCTGATAGAAATGAGAAAGGTAGTGGGAGAGGAAGGAAAAAAACTTTCGCAGAGAAATACACAAGTCCCCAGAAGAAAAAGAAGAAGGAGAAGAAGACCAAGTGTAAAAACGGTCTAGGTTAAAGATTTTTCAAATCGATATTGAAGGTTTTAGGGGGGATAGTTGTCGTATTGTGCCTAACTGACTATTATTTTTAAAACTTCAATATCCATTTAAATTAACCTTTGCTGAAGGACTGGTTTTATTTATTTCTAAAAGACTGTTTTGTCTTGATATTTAAATTTATAGTCATATGTTGAATTGTTTGAAAGGTAAATAAAGTTTAGTTTGTTGTTTTGTTTTGCATTGAACACAAGCTCAGTTTTATTCTGCTAAAATTAATCTAGCATTTTGTCATTTCCTTATTTAATATCGTCCGTGATATCACTGTTAATTGTGAATCACGTATCAGTGACAACATCAATATAATACGAGTAAAGTTTGAATACTTGTTACTTCAATCTGGGAATCGGCACTAACAAAAACGTTTATATTTACGGAATAACTAAGTTCTGTGTCAAAAATAAGTTCTAGACCAGTGGTATAGCCAGGAAAAAACTATTTTCGCCATAATATGAGTACAAACTTTTGAAAATTTAACATGGGCCTTATGAGAAAACATTCCGCCATTCTTGTCTTTTGTTTACATTTCATTTTTACAGCTTCATTGCTGTTTATTTAATACTTTTGCCAATATAAACGAGTGATATATCTTATTTTTTATATTTTTAATGGTTTAAATTAGAGTTTTGTCTGTACATTGCTCAGAATCATAAACTTTTATTAAGGTTATTTTTACGTTTTATACATTAAAGAAACCGAAACAAGTCTCATCTAAATTTCTGTCTGTCTTCCTGTCTGTCACGGCCCAAGAGCCATTTTACGCGGCCTTCTCCTGAAAAACGAGAGTACCTATCAAGTTCCAAATCATTTTAATGTATTCACTGGATTGGCGAGATTGTCTTTAGCCATTAAAATATGGCGTCACTACTTTGTAAATAAAATGACGGATGTTTAAAAACCCAATTTTGTGTGATTTTTTGTAAAGTTTTCTCCCAATGTTTATCACATATTCATCTATGGAATAACGAACAGCTGTTCGAATCAAGATTATTTCTTCTAGCTGTCACTGATATGTTTACATTGAATGTTGTTTACAAATACCGCAACCATTTCCGATCACGTTTTGAAAGCATATCCAAACCAAGTAAGATTAAAAACGAGTTTCCTTACATACCGGTAACGGATTTAATTAATCGCAAGTGCAATAACCGTGAATGAAAATAGAGATTCTTTGTGTATGAAATTGTTCTTGAGTTTTGATAACCGGGAAAAAGACCTTGAATCAGTGTTGTATATGGCTGGGAAACTTTAATTTTTTAAATGAGCGTTTTCAGTCGAGACTCGGCACACTACCGACGCGCGTCTACATGTCCATAATAAAAATAAAAGTAGGCCTACCGTGTATTTATGTTTTATTCGCCATGTGTATAAGTGTACAGTTCGTGTATGTGTTTTAAAAACTTCAAGACGCACCTAATGGGGAAGCTCGCTCCATTTAAAAACAAATATACATAGGCTTAAGCCTTAATTTTTGTATTAAATACTGGGTACACCATTAAGATAACTTGGTTACTTAGGATGCTTAATATAAATGGATAATTTCATTAATCACTAATACCCTCATCTAGGTGTGTTCAGTACATAATGACACTCTCAAAATGTATTAATCCTAACCCAAATAAAATATAGGTGGGTAGCTTTAGGCAAGGCCACACTGAAAAAACCTTTAGGCCTACAGAGGATGAGTGTTTATGTTTAAATTACTTCTCTGTGGTTAGGTTTTAGTTATGTTAGCCTTTAGATGGCTATAAGTTTAGGACTAGATATCAAATGAACTCCCAATTAACTTATAGGGCAGCCTAGCCTATCATTTGTAAGTGCCAATAAAATAGTGCAATTATATCGAGGACAACCAAACTTGGATATACTACCATGTTTATACATAAGTTTCCTTTTTGGTACTCACCAACAAGGATCAACCCGGCAAACGTTTACCCCTTAGTCGAGCTAAACCTAGCCTGTGTGGCTTAGCTACCCAACTTTTTTAGGCATATGCCTTTTCTAAGAGGGGGCTATGCTCAGGCTCTACGTTTAGCTATGTACAATTTGTAAGATATAGGCCTACTTAAATAGGTTATATGTTTTCTAACTGAGCTAATTTTGACAAATTGATAGGCTACGATATTACATATCACAAGTTAAAGCATATCACATATCACAAGTTAAAGCAATGTTTTAAAATAGTGGCGTATAAAAGTCGCCTGTCATAAAAGTTGCAAACCGACAAATGTCACAGCTCGAAATTTCTCTGGAGGCTATCTATTTATAAGCATGATAGCCTATGTTATCTGTACCCAAGAGTGTGATGATTTTGAAAAGTGTGTAGGGATTTTTTTCCTAAACTGCCTAAACAGTTTTAAAAGGTTTGCGTTGCAGCGTGTCATGTGTCGACAAATGTCAAAACTTGAATTTGCTCTGAAAGCTATCTATCCTTAAGCATTATAGCCTATATTATCTGTAGGCATACACAAGAGTGTGATGACTTTAAGTGTCAAGGGTTTTCCTCCTAAACTAAGCTAGGCTACCTACATTTTTGTGTGAATAGGCCTAAGTAATATAACTAAACCAAGCCAAAACAAAAACTAAATATCCAGGAAATAGTTTTCAATGGATACCCCAATCAAGGGCTGCAAAAGATTCTTCAAGGTTAAAACTACTCATTCCTAAAGTTAGTGTCTTTTGTATAAATAAAATAAATACTTAACTCTTGATTGGATGTCAATCAATATTTTCATTAATTATGCCATATGCACCATAACAGTGTTGTTATTAGGACAATTTGTTCTATGAAAGCGTGTAACATAAGGTATTTTAAATTAAAGCTTAAATTATTATTCATTATTTAAGGTTTATACTGTGACTAATTAACAGAGTCATTTTTGTACATATTATCATTAAGTTTGAATTTACCACAGATTTTAACTGCAGTTTCCGCAGAAACCTTATTTTTTACCATGCCTATTCGTGGCTTTATCCAAGGAAGCCAAGCTTATGTACAATGGCAAATTCATTTGATAGGTTATGAATTGCAGCTAAGTTGGTTAAAGGTTGGATCAGCATGCCGTAGCGTGTCGCCTGTCGCAAAACCAACAAATGCCAATGCCTAAACTTGCTTTAGAAGCTAATCCATCAATATACTTCAGCATTGTACATACTTTAGTGTAGGCCTACATTAGATGATGATTTATAAAATGTCAAGCGATTTTGGTCTTAAAATAGCCAACACCTAAAACATAAAATACCAACATTTGCTAGTAAATATTGTTTATGGAAAAAGTTGAATATACTAATAAAAATTTGACTATAATTTGTCTCCTTATTGAGATCTTCTTGCCAAATAAAAAAATGTAATCGTTTTCAGTCGGAAACGACTCAGGAAAGAGTCCTGAGTTTCCGGAAAATTATAACTTATTACATTTAAAAAATTTAGGATAAATTAAGGGTTCCGGTTGTGGTTTCGGAACGAGTTCAAGTTCTTGTAGTGACTAATACTTCAAAGGCAAAGGAAGGAAGGTGAGAAGATTTTCTTACTGCTGATGGCCTTTTTCGAATTCAGCGTGAAAAATAATGGGTATTTTCTACAGTTCGGGCCGTTTAGGGGAACCAAACAAATTGTTAAAAACTCTTCTATCTCATTATTTCAGCAAACTATGATATTATTATTTTAATAGAAGTTAAATAGATGTCAAGAAAAAATAGACCGCAAGTTAATATTTTTGGGATAGATTTACATTGACCAAAGAATACTCTTATAATATAGTGTAATGATAAAGGTTCCAGAGCAAAGCTCGGTCCCCAGGTACTATTAGATTTATACGGCTATGCATCGACCAAAAACCTTTAGAGTATTTTTTGTCTTTTAGACCATTAGAGTAGGTTAGATTCATAGGACGCAACACATCAGTGTGAATGTTTTAACCCTTTAGAGACAGACTTTATAGTATACTAGCAGAGTACCCGTCCTTCGTACGGGGTTGGCATATAAGTATAAAATGCTTATTGTAGATATACTCGAGCTTTGCGTTTGCAATGGGGGAGGAGACAGTTTGATAAAGTTTGCTACTTTAAATTTACGGTATACTATAAAATTACACATCTACCATAGCGATAATGTTCTATCACTTCACATATACAAAAGAGAAACAAATTATTAAAAATTTGCAAAATATCACAAATTATTCATGAAATTAAAAACATAAACATAACAGCAAACAATCCTACTTTGACAGTTCTCATTGTGTATCACAGTTTTTTGTTGCTGCTTAGTTCAAATTAGTTTTCATAAATGCAGAAAAAAATAATAGTGCTGCACCCTGTTGGTAAATCATATAACTTTTTAATGCTTTTGCATATCATAGCACCAACTTTTTTAGTTGAAACAGCTGACTAAATTCTTTAATTCCCTTTAAATATGAACTAGAGGTCGTAACTCGACCAAAAATATGAAATGTACAGACTTCTCTATTTTCACCCCACGCTGTAAATAAAATATGTGATAGGGATTTCTTTTGAAAGTGTCTTGAAAAAAAGCATTTTGTATCAAGGGCTGTAAAACAGTTTTGTCTATGTGGCAACATGATGTGAATGCCGTCGTATCATGATGTGTGGCTTCGGACCGGAAGTGTTTCCCATAGCAAAAGCTGCATTCCAAGTTCATAAGTCCAATGTCTGAACCACAAAACTCCCGAGGCACTTCTCTTAACGCACAATTAAAACCATCTATCAAATTCGGTATAATAACTACATCTTGTTGATTAACTCTCATATTATAGAGACGGTTACGGTTTCTTCTTTCTACCCGGGCAGTTAATGTTCACCGTAGTGGTATCTCAGAATGGTACTTGAATGTCACTCAAGTTTATAATAAACAAATACAGTAAAATTATCAAAATTTCACTAAACAAAAAGTGAGTATGTAATAATCGGACATAACACACAACAAACAATCATGCAAAATCGGACTCACCACCACCGAGAACTAAATTTGTTTATGTTATTATTTTGATGTTATGTTTAAGATGATGAAAATACTTTACAGCTGGTGAAAATACCACACAAAAAAATTATTAATGTACACATGCCAACGTGGTTTGCAGTGCATTTAATACAGTACACATTTTATAAGTGTGATTGGAATTTCTTTGATTTGTTTTGATTTTCTGTTTATATTGCGTTGTTATTTTGTCACCAGCATGGTAACCCATAAGGCCCATGTTAATTTTTTGAAATTTAAAATTCATTTTTGTGCTATTTTTGAGCTTATATTAATTTTTAAAGGGATTCTGCAGATCTACAGGAAAATATATTTCTAACAGTATGCGTAGATTTTCCCTGCGATGCACACGAGCTGAGAAAAAAGGTTTTAAAGAAACATGCTTGCCTTTTAATATATAGAAGATACTCATAAGGTTAACATGGGATCTGTAGAGCCACTGGGGCGGAGCCCAAAAGGACTTTTGAGATAAGAATATGCCTATATGTTAATCGGGAATGTGAGCTATCATCATGCCAAATTTCAGCCCAATCCGTCCAATAGTTAATGCGTGATTGAACTCAGCCCAATCCGTCCAATAGTTAATGCGTGATTGAACTTCAAACAAACAAACTTTCACATTTATAATATTAGTAAGATAAGATGACGCGCTGCGTAGGACCGGGGTACTTTGAACAGTTTCTGCAATGTTTTAGAAAAAATGCTATAACTTTTGAATAGCAGCCCTCATTAACATTTCTTGCATGCTCTTGTTGATTTTTTGATTTTTTTCTAAAAATTTTTAATGGTTTATTTAAACTGCCAATATATATGAGAAGTTTATCTTTTTAGCAAAAAATATTAACTACCGAAAAATCGGAAGTTGGTCTCCTAAGGGTTAGGCCCCGTTTATGCACCAAGAGCGGGAGCGGTAGCGACAGCGGGAGCGATTTCTAACACCATTGAGTTAAATGGGGCTGTTTATGCACCAAGAGCGATAGCGATAGCGGTTGACCTCCCGCTGCGGTTTCTAATTCGCCCGCTGTGTAGTTAGAAATCGCAGCGGTTGCTTGGGATAGAGCGGTTTTCAACTACATTGAGTCAAATGGGACTGTTTATGCACGGTGGGAGCGGGAGCGGCTGAAGCCAGGGTTGCCAACTTGACCCGAGCGCACGTGCACTTAGGACAAATAGTTGTGTTAATTATTTGGCAGAGTTTGAGTTGGCAAGGCTGTGTCCCCCTTCCATTCTCCTTTAACCAACCGCTACCGCTATCGCTCTTCGTGCATAAACAGTCCCATTCACAGCGGGAGCGGGCCCGCTATCGCCCCGCTCCCGCTCTTGGTGCATAAACGGGGCCTTAAGGGTAAGAAAAGTGAGAGCTGAGAGACTATGATAGCTTCGAAACTGACAGACGGACTTTTCTCGACATATAGCTGGCAGCCTTCTCATTATCAAGATCAAGTGAGCACTAAATTCACACAGCTAACCAGATATTTTATTAAGTTTGAAAAGATATCCATATTAACACCCAGACTTACCACTTTAGGGTTGAAGGGAGGTTTGATCTTTCGTGCCAGAAGATCTGACCAGTTGATGGATCGAAAGAATTCATGGCTTGCAACATCATCAAAATCCCCATAACCTGACCCCAGACGTTGTGATGCGTCTTTCTCCAGAAGCTTTCATAGAACAGAACATTAACATTTGTGATTTTTAAAAGTAACTACAAATGATTCCCCAAATAACAAAACGAGCCTTTTGAAATGTATTTAAGCTGTGTTTTAAAATTATTTCAAAGCAGAGGTATATTTTTATAAAAAAAAACTAGCAGAGTACCCGTCCTTCCTACGGGGTTGGCGGTATAAGTCTAATGTTTATTGCAATACTCGTGCTTTGTGTTTGCAATGGGTTCTTTTTAGGGATGGACGATTGGACGGGTACAGAAATTTCGGAAAATTTTTGGAAAAAAAATATTCTTGATTTTTGGGACGGGATTACATTTGATTCGGGAATTTTTCGGGATGGGATTTGATCCGATCGTCGGTGATTTTGCCGCTTCGCGAGTGACGATGACGCCGCTATCGCAAGAGATGTTTACGATAGTTCCGCGAACGCAGGAGGCGAAGTGGTTTCGACGATCGCGACATGACCGTGAGTGATTTCGCCGAGACCGCGAGTCACAAGTTTCTTTACCTGTGAATTTTTACCCAATTTTTTGGTTTTTATAGATCAGTGCCACAAATGGTAAAAATAGATTTTGTTTGTCTTTTTTTGTAACTGCAATACTCAAGACTTTCTTTTTATGCACAGGAAGAAATCCCGTCCTATCCCGTCCTGAAAATTTGGAAGGAAATAAAAATCCCGTTCCGTCCTAAACTAAAAATTCAATCCCGTCCATCCCTAGTTCTTTTAATTTACAGTATGCTGTAGCATAACACATCTACCATAGCCCTAATGTTCTTCTACCACTGCATTTAAAAAAAAATAAAAAAGTATATTATCAAACATTCGCACAATATCACAAATTCGTTATTAAATTAAAAACATCAACATATATGTATACATACAATCCTACTTGACAGTGTGTATCACAGCTTTTTATTGCTGCTTAGTTCAAATTAGCTGTTGTCATAAATGCAAAAAAGACTAATAGTAGTGCACCCTGTTGGTAAACCTTGTATATCATAGAACCAAACTTGTTTAGTTGACACGGCTAACAAAATTCTTTAATTCCTTTTAAATATGAATAATTATAAGGTTAACATGGGAAACTACAAAGACATTGGGGCGGAGCCCGAAAGGATTTTTGAGATAAGAATAGGCCTATATGTTAATCAGGAATGTGAGCTATCATCATGCCAAATTTCAGCCCAGTCCGACCAGTAGTTAATGCGTGATTGAACCCTAAACAAAGAAACACACAAACTTTCATATTTATAATTTTATTATGATATTTAGTGTTGTTAAGCAGTTTATTCTTTGGGCCATTTATAAAGGGATGGATAATATTCCTTTAAAAATGAAAATCTGTAAGACACTACTTGCTGGTTTGAGATCCTAACCGAATGGTTTATTCTTTTCATACAGATGAGCCCTCATTGTGTTTTGTACTCATAGACTTTCTTCAATGCGGCTGACATGAATTATTGGTATAGGCGTAGGCGAGTAGTGGATTTTTCGGTTGAGTTATATCATGTTATACAATGACTTTATAGTCATGTTCTACAATTGTGACAATATCGTGACAACTTCACAGACAACTCATGACATTATCATAACTTTATTTTTGTCTATTGGTATTTTATCATTTGGTGTGAAATTATAAGTAATCTTATCTGGAATTTAGAAAAAAAGTAAAAATCTTAGTATTGGAACCAGAAAAAAAATTGTGAAATCAGCTAACCATTACAATTATTTGATTTTAAACGTTGTTCAGCTGTCTGTACGTCAGGAACATTAGCCTACCTCTGTCAGTATCCTTTTGGCAGCCTCTGTTGGCCCGACCCTCAGTCTTAGAGGCTGGTAAAGTATCTGGTCATACATCTCAGTTATGTTGCGACTGTAGAATGGAGGTAGACCATACAACATCTCGTACAACACTGCGCCCAGACACCACCAGTCTACACTGCGGTCATACGGCTGTACAACAAGAGCAGATGTGAGTAACACCAAACAAAAGACAATGTTCAGAATTACAATAAACTGATTTACAGTAAGATAAATACAACATTTTCCATTTTGTTTATTTATTCTAGTACAAAAAATAACTTACGTTTGAAATTGAAATAGGAATTTGTGAATTGAAGTCAAGTTTATTGGGAGGACAAGCAGGGTGTCCACAAAATCAGGATACAAAAATTACGCCGAAATCACGTTTTTCACGCCTGTCTTATCTAAAGTCTAAACTAGGTTAAATCGTCACATAAATATTGCATATATAATATAATAGATAATTTCAACCACTTTACTATGTAGGAAAATGTTATATACTTAACAAATATTTTCAGGAGTAAATAATTGTAATATCGCTTTTCGAAAACAAATAGGCCATAGTTGAGTACCATGAGCAGTCACTAAAGTCATGGGCCACACCAGCCAGCACAGAAAGAATATAACATTTCCATTCTGTGCTTGCTAGTCCACACAATTAAGACTATAAAAATTGGTTATTTATTACTTAAATGGTGGGAACAAAAAGCTAAACAAAATGTCACGATGTTCTTCTTATTGATAGGTTTAAGACCACCTTAATGACGCAATGTTCCCACAGAAATTGAATTGTAAAATTTGCGGCTATTTCACAGTTTTACAGTCTGAAATTAAGAAATTTACAGTCTATGAGAATAAGAAAACATTTTTCCTGCCGCACAGTTAAATAGAGAATAGCAAGGCAGGAGAGGTGATAAGAGAAAACTCTGCAGACAATTTCCCCCTAAAAAGTGCATAGTAGGCATAATAAGAACGTTCAGCCAATGTTAAAATAAACACAACATTATTCTAATATGTTAATCTTGGTTTGTTGGCTACTCATCACATAAATAAAATTATACACAATTTACTAAAAAAAATGTGAAGGTATATTTCGAGTTTGCATCGAAACCCATCTTCAGCCTCTGGTAACAACATATCAAGTAAACAAACTATTGATTATTGTTTACTTGATATGTTGTTACCAGAGGCTGAAGATGGGCTTTGATGTAAACTCAAAATATACCTCCACATTTTTTTAGTAAATTGTGTATTATTTTATTTATGTGATGAGTAGCCAACAAACCAAGATTAACATTGATAATGCCATCACAAAAAAACATACCGCAATGAATTATTCTAATATGTTAAAGAACATTCCGAATTGTCAAGACATTAAAGAGTTGTTTATCAGGATAAGAACTGAACTGAACTAAGTTAAGATGCAAGAAATGAATGATATCGATCGAAGGCCTGACGAGATACACAACGTGAGATTTATCATGTTGTCTTTCATTACACAGCTGTGCGTTGAAGAACAGCGCAGTGCTTGATTTGGTCGTTGCTATAACTACAGTTGGTTGCCATGGAAACCTATATTATATTGCACACTTGAAACTGCGCCTTATGTGGGCGGGGAGAAAGGGGAAAGGCGGAAAGGAAGGAAGAATCACGACGCGACCTTGAATGACTACAAAAAAACTAGGGTGATAATGACAAAGACAGCATAACAATTCTAGAATAATCTGAAATGCACCCATTGTTAATAAAACTAAATTAACTGTAAAAAAAATTCACTTAAAAGAAATTGAAATAAATGAGATGCTTTAAGACTAGAAAGAATGGTAAGAATCGACGAATTATTGGAAAAATGATAGGCAGGGTGAGACGGACAGATATTTATCTACTTCCCATACTGTTATACTGTTAACTGAGTTGTTCATATTTTCAACCTACCTCTTTCCTGACAACCTCGGGCGCCAGATACTCAGGTGTTCCACAGAATGTGTTGGTTGTGTCTGTTGCTAACAGACCCTCCTTGCTGAGGCCAAAGTCAGTCAGCACGACATGACCCGTGCAGTCCAACAGTAAATTCTCTGGCTTGAGGTCGCGATAAACGATGCCCTGACTGTGCAAGTAGCCAAGTGCCGACGCCACCTCTGCAGCGTAGAACCTGGCACGGGGCTCTGTGAATGTCCTCTCCCGCTGCAGGTGGAAAAAGAGCTGAAATAAACAAAAAACTTTTGGTGCGCTTGAACGGTTAAATATTTGATTAGTTTGGAAGAGGTGATGCAGACTAGCTAATATATCTCTAAACGTTGTCTTTAAACTCAAACGTTTTAAGAAATTAGCATTTAGCTAGCGAATTGGTTTGTGTCTAGGAGTACAATGTAAAAAGATAGATTCAATGTTCATAAAATTTTGATATAATTAAACTATTTCCTCTAGCAAGCATATTATATCTGAGTGAATGGATGATAACAGAAATACATTGCTTAGGATTTTTGTCTCTGGGTTGTTTCAAAGAATTTTAAGAAAACCATCTTGTCCAAAGAACCCAGATGATCTTTGTCTTAAAATAGTTTTCACCCCTTTCATACGACACTTGTTTTTAACTTGTTGTTGCCTTAAACAACACATCCTGGTGTATTTTCAGCATAAATAGATCAAATCAAACCAAGTTCAAACATGTCAGTTAACTAGGCAGTTATTATTTTTTGTATAATTTTAAAGACACCCTTTTAGAGAATTTCTCATATAGGGAATAACCTATTACCGTAGTACTCATGGTAAGACCTGGAGATAACCTATTCTCCTTTCTCTATTCCATTTCCTTTTCTCCCTCCTTCAAAATGAATTTACATATTTTTTGGCTAAAACAACTGAAAAGTGCAGCTTTTAAATTGGAAAAAGTGAATTCTTTTTTTTTCTCCAGTGGTTGAAGAAAATTTCTACTTTTGAGTTGTATATTTTTTGTGTCTCTATGGACTTATTTAAAGGTAAGCCTGCTTTCCTGTCAATTTCCTTAATAATTAACTGTAGTAAGTTATTTGAGCTGAGTGTAACTTTGCTAAGTAGATTTAGTGCTTGTCTATAGTTCGGCCGCTTAGAAAGCGACCTCCTCCAGCATTGGTTTAGCATTAGCGCGCAGGTCGTTTTCTAAGCGGCCGAACTATAGTAATCAGAACGTTGCCAGTGTGATCTTGAGGTAATGTTTTAGCCTAGGTTTTTGATGGTTGAAACTGGACCCAGCTATGATTCTGGATATAAAACCAGCTGATCTTAGTTCAAACAAAGCTATGATTCTAATTTCCTCAATATTCATCCTTAACTTATCTTCCCCTTCAAGTACACACCCTAATGTGATGGCACCGCATGGATGAAATACAATCTAAACAATCTAGAGGTATGATCAGAGGTATGACTTCAGTTATAGAGTTACAGATGGTTGGACCGGCAAAATCTCTTGCATTTGGAAGTAAATTTTTTTTTTCGATCAACAAAATTGTTCAAAAGGTTTTTATATTCTAAGATGAGGCTAACATCTTAGAATATAACCTGAACTTTCGAAAGAGTCCTATTCATTCCAACACTCACCTCGCCTCCGTTGACATAGTCCAGGACAAAGAACAGCTTGTCCTTTGTCTGGAAGCTGAAGTGCAGCCCCACCAAGAACGGGTGATGGAGATTCTTCATCAGTACATTCCTCTCTGACATGATATGCTGAGCCTCGTTCCGCCTCAAAATCAGCCTCTTGGACAAAACCTACACAAGTGAAGGAAGGCTTAAAGGTCTTTCAGCTCAGTAATTAAATTTTGACTTTTTTCCTACTCACCAAACATGTTAAAACTCAACCTACACACCAGAAATAACTTATAGCATTTCTTTTACTCTAAAAACTAATAAAAAGTATTCTTCAAAACACTAAAACAAAAAATACCCAGACCGTATTTTGTTAAGTAAAAAGTACCATTACTTGAAAGCCAAATTACAAATGGCAAATGGCTCTGGAAACATCTTGCTGGGAATAGAACCAACAACCTTTAGATCTTAAGCAAAGCACTATAAACACTCGGCTACCCAGACAAAATGTACACATTTACCCTTAACAATAAGTTTTGATGTTATGTACCAAGTAGTATAATTAATCATTAAACTAATACTTGTAAAATTTGTTTCATAAGGCTCACATGGAAGTTTGGGAGAGAATGGCCACTTTTTACCATTACACTGTCACAGGAATGATAGCAGCTAACATAACACGTAGCTAAAGTATATTTAAGGAGTCGCAGATACCAACCAACTTGTTCACAGTTTGTAACTGAGCAAGGAACATTTTTTGTCGCAGATGGAAATAATGTCTTCAGAAGTTTAACTTGCAGATTGTACCTGGAGGCATCTTATCTCCCTACTAAAATTGTTCTGGTTTAAAATAATGCTTTAAACGTAAACGTTTGTTTAGTATACAAATTCTAAAAGAATTCACAAATACAGGTTTTTACAAATACTCCAATCATTTGTGTACAGTGTTAAGTTTTTGTTTCTGGTATTCATGTGCAAATATTTGACTATTTCCCATGCAGGTAAGCTTGCTAATGCAACACAAATGTTCAAAACCTAAGTTCTTATGCCCTTTTACATATTCCAAAATTTGATTGGCAACAAGTAAATGTTTTCAGAAAATTGAGTTATAATAGTGATTCAAGTTTGTTACCTTAACTGCGTAGTATTTAGAATCACATCGATGTCTTGCCAACAACACCTTGCCGAAACTACCTTTGCCAATCACATGGAGAAACTCAAAATCACTTGGTCTTGCGCTGTAAAGCATGAAAATTCAATACATATTAAAGTGGAGCTGGATATTTCATCATCAAGGGACTACATTCAACTTTTTTTATTGTTCGGGTAGGCCTACAAAAGTCTAGAATTGTTGTCCCATATAGGAAGATTTTTTAAACAAATTTAAGTCGGTGTGGGAGGATTATCTCACTCAGTTTTGTTGCATGAGGTTTGTAGTGACTCTACACAAAAATTTGTATAAAGTATGAATTATGGAATGACAAAGATATGTGCAGTATTCAGCCGGTTAAATTAAAAAAGGATAACACAACAGCCACCAATCATTATTTATTACCCAATCATTGATACTAGTGATTTGATTAATCTGGAAAGTTTAACAACAATGTTGATAGGTTGGACTTACTAGGTTCTTTCGGTTGGCCCTAAGTTCAAATTCTCGTCCTCCTCCGCCTTCTCACAACTTTCTTCAGTGCTGGATTCCTCCGCAGTTGGTCTGTGTCCATCCAGTTGTAGGAACGTCCTCACTTCACCACTACAAGCAAAAATACAACTTATATATTTTTTTTCACGTACACTGTGGCGTACCCTCGTGGATAAATACAAAATTAATTAACAACATTTGTTTACAACTAAACATGTACAATCTAATAATTTTATTATAATGAGATGTCTGTATACTACTGTATAAGGGTGTGTTCACAAAGAAAGCTGGTTACAAGTAACTTACTTTCAGCACTTGTTCCAAGCGCTTGAGAATGCTGTTGTGTGTTCACAACAAACGCTTGCATTTCAAGCTCAGTGTAGTCTCAGCTCTGGTTGAGACAATATCTTCCTCAAGTGATGAACAGTTATTTTTTATTGAAAATGTAGAATTAAAAGGATGTAGAATTAGGAAGGTGCTCATGCAATTAACAGCGGAAGTTAATCACGTTTAATTACATCCTCAAGAAAATTTAATGTGTTTTAGTGAAGTTTTGGGGGGATTGGCAAAAGCAACCTATCCATGCACCAGAACGAATTTTGGGTCAATAATAAAACCTAAAAAATACTTGAAGGGAGTTTTAAACACCCTATGTAGCTGATTAATTATGATGCAAATAATATTGTGAGATATATTCAAATGTTTTAATTTTCTAGGTAAATAAAGTAAAAGTACAAGTTTCATCTATAAAAAATCCAACACAACACTTAATTAATATTGAATTAAATGTGTTTGTCTATCGTATTAATACATATATGTTATATTTGTCCTATTGGTTACGTTATTGAACATTCTAGGGACAACCCACAATATGTGGGTAGTATATTTTTTTGGAAATTGGAAGCTCTAAACTTTGAGCTATCAACTCATCGACATCCATACTACACTGTTGTAGTTTGTAACTGATTGGTTCGGTCAACAAGCGCCGGAAAACAAGTACGAAACGTTCTTGCGTGCTTGTCAGAACTTGTAACAAGCGCTTGCTAGCCGGCACAAGCTTTGTCTGTGAACACACACGCTTGATACTATGTTAACTTTTCTCACGCCAGTTCGAGCTTGTAAGCGCTTGTAACCAGCTTTCTTTGTGAACGCACCCTAATATATGTCTATCTTTACATAACCACTTGACCAAATTAGCTGCAACAATCACAAAACCTATTACTGTTCTGTCCCTTTGGAAGAACATCATAGTCCACAATGTTTACATCAATCACATTATTGATACTGGCAAGTACAACATCCTAGCTAGGGATCTCAATCCCGGAGCTATAATCCAGTACCGGGATTTCAGGATTTATCCAAGCCAATATCGGGATATTATTTTATGATTTTGTCTTTCCTAGCCATTTAAAATGAGTGAGGAGTAATCTTAAAAGTCCTCTAATGAATGTTTTAAACTGGTCTTTACAAATTTTAGGTTGTTTAATTTCACCGTCTTTCAAAGTAAAAAAAAGGAATTACCACATGATAACCACCTGTCATTCTTATACAGTGTATAGGTCATTCTAGATTATATGAAATACATAGGTACAAAATAAAACACGAGCAACTGCATGTAAAACGTAACATGCTTCACTCAACTTTAAACTCGCTAATTTGCACATCTGAATACTTCAGACTACTGGGAAAATATTAGGCTAATATAGAAACTAAAACACATCTCATATTTACTATAGTTCAGAACTTGACCTCCGAACCCCATTTAGTTTTGGACTAAATCTTGCGTTAAGTTCAGAACTAGAGATAGCTCTTTCATAGCTCCAAAGCCAGCTCTCAGCTAGCTCCCATATTGCTACTCAGTTCAATAAATCAAAATATAAGGATAAATACACCCACCGCAGCAAACCTGCAGACTAAGCGAATTTGCATTTACCTGGCTGGATTTCTACTAAAATATTCACTAACAAATTTCAGATTTATTTCCTATTAAAATAACATTAATTTTAATGAGTACTTAAGTTTGCTGCAACAGAAAACATATTGAGGTGTGTTGTTTTATTGCAATGTTGATAGCTTAGTATTAAATAAACAAAATTTCCAAAATTGGTAAATATATCCATAAAGAAGCAAACTACAACAGTTTATTTATCTTACTAATATTATAAATGTGAAAGTTTGTGTGTTTGTTTGAAGTTCAATCACGCATTAACTACTGGTTGGAATGGGCTGAAATTTGGTATAATGATAGCTCACATTCTCGATTAACATATAGACATATTCTTATTTCGAAAATCCTTTCGGGCTCCACCCCAGTGGCTCTGGAGTTTCCCATGTTAACCTGATGAGTATTCATATTATTTTAAACGAGTTATACAATTTTGTCAGCTGTTTCAACTACACAAGTTGGTTCTAAATTATATTAAATTATAAATAACATGGGGATTTTAAGTTTACAATTTTTTTATTATCTCCGTAACCGTTGGGCCTTCATAAATTGATAACAAAAATAAAAATAAAGGTTTTTTAATCCTGTTGATTTTGGGATTGAGACCCCTAATCCTTGCGTTGTAGTACTAAGCTTGCCTCCAAGATTGGAGTCCATATCAGGTACAACATTCAGCTATTTTTCAAGTTCTGCTTGAATAAAATACTTGTCTTAGTGAGGGATTTGTTATGTTTTTCATAAATACCAATACCATCCTTTAGGTTAGGGGTTATACAGGGTGATTGGTACTCAGTGTGACAAAAAATTGTTGGTGTAAGTACAAAGTAGAAGTGTGATGATGCATATAAAAGGTTTCAAGTCTAAAAATTAGCTTCCCAAAAAAATATTTTATGTTTTTCAAAAATAACTATGTTTTTAAACTTAATACAGCTATTTCTCAATTACATGTATATGGATTTGAGTAGATAATGTCATTTTCGTGTTCTACATTAAATTCTGAATAAGAATGATAGAAAATTATAGTGGATCAGTTGTAAAAACCCCATTGTGAATAGATTCAAAGATAAAAATTAAGATGTTTGATAAAAATTTAATAACATGGGTCCATTGCAATTTTTTCACACCCTATACAAGAAAGTGTTCGAATATGTTAAAAACTGCGCCATTTTATAAGCTTTCCAACCATATGCTACACTATTGAGGTTTAGATGTTCCTTTGTTTGTTTTAGTGGTTTGAATACCAGAAAACAGGGAACATTTTTACTGTTTTTACTGTTCAAGCTGAAACAAAAATACAATTTTTGCTTAGCCGACTTTCTATGTTTGAAATTTTAAAGACACCATGTTTTGTAGTCTTTAAACCACTAAAGCGTACATAAGCAGACATAAAGCTCAATGGTGTAGCATATGGTTGGAAAGCTTGTAAAATGGCGCAGTTTTTACCATATTCGGACACTTTCTTGTATACAGGGTGTGAACAAATGCAATAGACCAATGTTTTTTACATTTTTATCAAACATCTTAATTTTATATATGAATCTATTTACAATGGAGTTTTTACAACAGATCCCCCGTAATTTTATATTATTCTTATTCAAAATTTAATGTAGAGCACAAAAATGACATTATCTACTCAAATCCATTTACAGGTAATTGAGAAATAGCTCTATTAAGTTTAAAAACATAGTTATTTTTGAAAAACAAAAAATAATTCTTTGGGAAGCTAATTTTTAGACTTGGACCCTTTTATATGCATCATCAAATTGCATTTACTTTGTAATTGCACCAAAAAATTTTTTCCACACTGAGTACCAATCACCCTGTATAGTCAGTTAGAATAAAAGCAAGCTTGTCTAGTGGTAAAGTGCGGGACTTTGGTCTGTGATGTCTCAGGTTTGAATCCCGTCAATCACCAACAAATATTACCTATATAACAATGTGACCCTCGCGGCCTATCCTCAAATAATAAGAAAAAGGTTCCAGGCTAGAGCCCAGTGCCCTAGAATGTAAGTGGGCAAACAAGTTAGATAGTAAGAAATAAAATTATACTGACATGTTGAGCAGTTTGGGGTCCTGCATGAGTTGTTGGACAAAGGTGTTGAGCCCTTCTCGTCTCTGAGCCACAAACTGAGGGTCCAGGTTGTTGCCAAATAGCTTCTTGCCTGGGAACTTGAGCTGCAAGTTAGGCACCTGCAAAAAACAGACTATGACAGCTAACATATCTAAACACAAAAGTTTATATATTAATCTGAGTGTGAGCATAGACTTGACATACCCTCTAGCATCATTGTTGAACATATTTGCAAATTTTTTATATTTTCTGACTAACTATTTGAACATTTACGCCGTAATACTAATTTATGTACATATTTTAAATATTTCTTTTAAAATTCATGGTAGGAACAGAAAGTGACACATTGGAAAATCACAACAAAACAAAACTTGTCAGATTTGGAAGGGGAGCAGAGAACGAGGAGAACATGACAGAAATAGAACAACAGTATGAACAAGTTGAGTCTTTTAAATATTTAGGAGTTATTGTCAGCTCACAAAGTGAGGAACACATAGAAATAAAGAATAGAATAAACCTAGCCAGTAGAAGTATGTATGCTCTAAACAAATTATTATCATCAAGATTATTGTCTCATCACACTAAACTTAAAATCTACAAAACTATCATAAGACCTGTCCTTCTCTATGGAGCTGAAACCTGGATTATCAATAAAAACACAGAGAAAAAACTTATTACTTTTGAAAATAAAGTCCTGCGCAAAATCTTTGACCCTACTAAAGAAGGAGATGTGTGGAGAATTAAACATAATCAGGAACTAAGAGACCTGTTCAAGGAGACAGATATAATTGCAGAGGCTAAAAGCAGGAGGCTTCGCTGGACGGGCCACATCATTAGAAGAGAGGAAGCTAGCACACTTTATCAAATATGGAAAAGTGACCCACTGGGGAGTAGACCACGAGGGAGACCGAGGAAACGCTGGACGGATGAAGTAAAGAAAGATATGATCAGGATGGAAGTTAATGAAGATACCGCAAGAGACAGGGCGACGTGGAGGCAGTGTGTTGGTGAGGCCAAGTACCACTTGGGGTACAAATGGCCATGGGAGTAAGTAAGTAAGTAAGTAAAATTCATGGAAGTCATGCATATTTTGTTTTTCAAACTGCTTTAATATAAAACTAATCATTCATGTTCTGCGAACATGCCAAGATTGATATTGTGTACAGCCAAGATTTTGATTAGTGTTTTTGTAAGGGACTAGTCCATGGACTCAGAACTTTCTGATGTAAAAGAACTGAACTCTGTCTTTTACCTCAGAAAGTTCTGAGTCCATGGGCTAGAGATACAAAATTCGAGGGTCGTTTCTTAAGTAAGGGCCATTTGTGTATAATATAGCTTTTTAGTTTTCGTGTACACCGCAATGAGGATCCTTACTGTTTACTGGCATAATCTGTGAACAACGGCGCCATTTGCGGCTCTGTAGCTGACGTGTATAATTTGATGTGAGTGTAGAAAATATTTAAATTATTGAATGTCCCGGCGTAAGCGACTACTCACCCTGAAACAATCACCTTAATTAGACCAGCTAAATGTTTTAACTTGATGAATGGCGGCCATTAAAAAAGGCGGATTTCATATTAATTAATTTCCTAAGAAAATAGTTGAATTTTCAATTTTCCCATTTCATGTTTTCTGTAAATCTAATAGTTTCTGAGATACCAATAGTGGCACAGTTAGGTTGTTCACTCTGTATATGTTACAACTGCACCTTTTGGCTACAACTTTGCCAAAGAAAAAACCTTTCTGACCAAAAAATAAAAGCTATCCTCGCTTGCTAACTTTTCCATGTCACAAATTGCAATGAAACCATGCTCCAATTAAATTGCTTGTTTGCCATGTGTATAAATTTGTATTAATACAGTTAATAAATTATTTTCGATTCCAACCTAACAGTCAGCAAGTAGCACTAACCAAGAAGCTCTGTGCCACTTTATAACATTTTTGGATCATCCTAAGTACGCCAAAACACGATATAATTGAAGATTGGGAATTGGGAGGATTACGTTGTTTTTAACATACTCAAAGTTTGACCCAATGGGGTTTTGACTTAATGACAGCGAAATAGAAGATTGTTTAATACAATCTCTGTTATTTGTAGGAGTTTTTCTTAAGTCAAAATCCCATTACACGAAGCTCATATACGTTTTTACTAGACTACGTTTTTAGTAGAGACTTTAATTTTTGAGCAAATGTATCATGGAATACCTAATGTGACAAATTTAAATTATTTGACCTAATGGGAATTTGAATTAATGAAACTGATCCTTGAATGACTCACATGAGTAGATAGTGTGGCTGATACTGCCTGGTACCAGAGTGACACATTATCTACGAGATAAGAGGAATGATCCTATGGCTGGGCTGTGTCACAAGGGAAATTCAACGCTTACTGTAGCAATTTTTCTATTTACCAAATTTGAAATTTCTAAATGGAAAATGCAGTATTTTTATTTCTACACTAGCTAATATCTAGTTATTTTCCCCCTGTAGGGTTTGTTTGGAACATTGTGCCACTACTTTAAGAATCCAAAAATAAAAATCCTCTATTTCAGCAGGCAAAGTTGGAGTCGCGTGGCTCTTTCCTACACTTAGGTACTTGTCATGTAAACAAATCAGTATTACCCTTTTAAAGTGATCAATCACGCGAGCACAACACAAAATCCTAGGTCACTGATTTTTGTTACAGTGTATCCAGTGTGATACGTGCTTTGGAGACTTATAATAATTCTTACAATATACTTTTAGTCTAATATAACACTTAGAAATAAATAGAACAAAAATTGAACAAAAGATAGATTTTTTATTTAAAATGAAGATAAAAGAACAAAGATGGAGGTATAAATGAGTAGGACAACCTAACAACACAACAATGAGTAACTGACCTGTTTCTTGAGGATATGATGCAGTTCGTAGAACTCATTGTAGCGTCGGAACACGAACCAGCACTCGGTGGATGAAACAACTACGACTTTGTACACCTACAAACACTCTTATGAGAACTGGATGGAACCTGTTAACTAATATAATCTATACAAGATTTGGCTATGGATAGAACTAGACATTATACCTCCATGATAAAGTTGTAGCAAGATTTGGAATAAAAAAGAATATTTAGTTTAATTGAACCACCAATAGAGTGTGGCAATGTAAAAAAACTCATTTCTGTCGAATACACCGACTTTTCTACAAGCCCAACTGAAAGGACAACTTATTAGGACATTTTATGTTACAACTACCACAGGGACAAAAACTAAAGGAGAAGATTGAATTTTCGAGTGTAGTACTCTCTGGGAAAGGCTAATTCAACAATGATCTTTTTTAATGGAGAATCAACTAAAAAAGCAAGTCTATGTGACTGACTCGAGGAAATTATATTCAGTAGTTTAAAACCAAATTTAAGATGTTTAGGTTGGATTATGAATTTTTGTTTGATCATGAGAGATGAGTAAAAACAATTTGATTACAGTTAATATTATAGATGGAATACAAACATCATAATAGTTAGTTCTTGATTTTTGCTGCCCTCTAAACAAATTCTTACAAATAATTTTGTATGGAACTCAGTCTGCACACAGGCCCAGCCCATGTAAACCAATTTCTTCTTCTGTTTGACATTATTACTTATTTCTTTTTGAAGTTATTATTTTTATTTTTATAATTATTCTTTCTGTCAGTTAGAAATTTTAAATACTTATTTCAGTTGGACTACATAAAAATACCATGTAAATATGTTTTCAACATTCATGTGAAAAAAATTCAATTATAATACTTTCTCAACTTATCTAAATTCTAGCCACTATGCAATGAAATTTGTTGCTCACCGTGAATTTCTTGTTCAGGTGCCAAGTTTCGGTTTTCTGAACGCTGGCCTCGATGTCAACGGAGGCGGACTGTCGCGAGCTCTCAGGTTTGGCCGTCATTCGCTGACACGTCAATGCTGCCACTGCGACAGACACCCACTCTATGAGCGTACCACAGCTTATTAACATGTCTACCAACTGTCACAACTTGTAATCGTGGTTATCAACTGTCCCTTGTCACTAACAACGGTCCTGTACTTGAGCGGTTAAAAAACACACTTAGTTTTAAAAACCATACATGAAGATTGAGACATTTTAGTTTTGTAACGCACACTGCACCTGTCTACCCTGTTTGAGGCTAAAGAGGACTACAGCTTTGGAACACTTACTAAAACCTCACAGTAATTTGATAAAGACATCCAATCATGAGTGTACAGTACAACAGGTTATTATAACAAGTCTACCGACTGTTATAGCTTGTTATCATTAGTTAAAAACTGTCCCTTGTAACTGTAGGTCTACTTGGCAGTTAAAAGATCACTCAGTATTCATAATCATATGACGTTTTACAAGTCAGCATTTGATAGTACACAACCTATGTTTTGTCACACACACAGCACCAAAGCTCCTACACTATTCAATGCCGAAGAGGAAGTCCTAGAACCCTCTAAATCCAAGTGGTAGACTCACCCACTGAAATTTTTGATTGTGTTACATCAGAGAATTGATATACACACAAAATAGTATGTAACAATTTTCAGTTTATTAAGCAAAATCCTTCCTAATTTACAACCATGTTCCATTCCTAGATTCTAGCGTGATGCTCTTAATGCTCACATTTTTCACTAATTGACTTGTTAGTTGAATCACCATTCGTCATCAGACATTATTTGACAGCAGTTTAACAAAACTATCAGTTCTTATGAGATGACAGCTACCAATAGCTACCAGTTTTATCAAATAAATTATTGTTAATTAAAAAATATTTTTAAAACAATGGCGTTAGTATTCACACGATTGTTAACCATAAATTTAGTGAAGGTATATCTGTAAACTAAAACAAAAATTTATAAAATAAGTATAAAAATGTATGAAAACAAAATACAGCAATATTTATATTCAATTAAACTACCAAATAAATTTAAATAAATTAAAGTCACAGCTTCCTATACAATATAGCTTTCTAATAGTTGAAACGTATATCAGATAGGTAGTTGAAAACTTGCATAACAAAATCTTAATCTTTTGAAAGCAATCTTTTAAGATGCATTCCAATATATGCTGTGCAAAGTACCAAGTACAAGAGGTTCATATAAGAAAAACAATCGTAATTGAGATCAATTTCATTTTGTAGAGCTACGGCAAAGAAGTGTTAATTTTTTATACAAAAGTTAGTTAATAGTTAAATTTCGTACTCTCGTACGGTACCTACCGGTACTACTAGTAAAGTAAAGTTGTTCATTTTGCTAACCCCATTTCTCCGACCCTCAGCCCAACGGAACTATCTGAGCTCTATAAAAATCAAGCTATTCTTAACATATATTGCAAAGATGGCAATAGGCTTGTGTAAAAAAACCAAATAAATTAGTCAGTAAACTTTCTAAAATAAAAGAGCTAGGTTTAAAATTGTTGTTTATATTTATTTAGATAACGGAAATGAAAACCTCAATTTAATTAACTTTACTAAAAGTATTAAACTGTTTGGAAAACAAGGTTAGCAAACAGCAATCTCTTGACACTTAAACTTGTTATAAATAAACCACTACCATTGGCAAAGACTAACTTTACTATTATTAACGAGACAATATTCCTACATAAAAGGGTAACCTAATTTAATAGTTATGACAAATAAAAAAACCACAGACCGTTATGAAAATTACAAAAAATGCATATATAAAACAATTAAAGTACAAAATTGGTTTATAGTGAAATAAATACACAACTAAAACGTCCTTGCCTACATAAACATTTTATAAGTGATCGTAGGGCAAAATAAGAACACAATAAGTTGACTTCAACGGTTATTTGCACTGCACAGCTAATTACACTATGAGAACACATGGAATGTGAGAGAGAAAGACTAACACTGAGGTAACCACCTGACTCAGCTCCAGCTGATTATATCATAGGAGAGAATAGCAAAACAGCTGATTTGTGTTGAATTTATTCTCTTCCTAGACATTCTTAGTAGATACAGACAGATTTTTCAAAGAAGTGTTAGGACAGTTTTGTTTTTACTGCTAAAAAAGAATAGAATATTATTTTGGTCATTGGTACTTAAAATGTTTTATTATAGACTACACAAGAAGAGTTCTTATTCCGTTGTAAAATCTGAAGCTCATTTTTTTGTCTAGTTTGTGTTGATGACACTAAACGCTAGTCTTTGTTTCTATAATTTTAGGCTAGAGTTAATTTTATAGTTTGTAACTTTTAGCTATAAAATCAGAGAACAATTTATAATTGGATCTCTTGCAACTGTCTGCCGTGAGTTTAAAGCCCCAAACTCCTGACTTAAATTTTGAACAGATATGGTGCTTGCTGAGGCCTTCCCTTTATCAACACTTTTGGCACTCTCACTAAACTAGTATTAAAATAACTGAAATAACACAAAACAAATTGTAAACAAAAACATGTCCCTAGAAGCACTGGACAAAACTAACATTAAAATTGTCTTCATTGATCCATAAGAATGACAAAGTGAATAATCTATGGTTTTAACTTGGGAAAATTAATGACGTTTTATGAAATGATTCACATTTATCATCACTATTTATTTGAGACTTCCTCTTATTCCCATTAATCTTTGCTGAAACTTGTTTGGTAGCAGTGTACATAAAATATTGTAAACAATTGTATTAGGTAAATAAGTAATTTGATACAGTGAAATTAAAGGTCATTAATAAATAATTTGACCATGTAAAGATATACGGCAATGTATTCCTACATATAATCTGAATTATTTAGAAACTAAAAACAGTCATAAGGCTAGCTCATTTTACTTGATTGCTTTTTATAATAATTAACAACTACCTTTTTCTGATTATTGTGGTTATTTTTCAATGTTTGTACATGGGTTTTTCTAAACTGGAGTGTTAAAAATAAGGAAAGCAAACTATTTTTCTCTTTGTACTTTTATTTTAGCTTTCTTTTGATTAAAGGTAAATCAAGGGAAAGAAATCCAAAATTGAAGTTAAGAATTATAAAGTTCACATTAAAGTCAGATTTAAAAAAAGATCAAAACAAAACCAATTTTTTGAAGAAACTAAAATCATTCTTGGCTCCTTAAACTAAAAACTAATTTGGCTCCCTATAGTATAGATGAGTTTCTAAATAAAAAATGAATCCAGCTAAATCAAATTACCTATCCATTCTAAAATAATTGTCAAATTGTATAGTTAAGTCTTTTAGATTAAATTGTATAACCAATTGTGTATGCTTTGACACTATTTATGTATATAAAATGTATAATGTAAATAAAGATAACTAGTGGCTTATAGGGACATAAGTCCCTAAAAAGCTCAAATGTAAAACAATTTATTGCAATTCCGGTATTTAAACAAACGCAGAATAACATTATCTATGTGTCAGGATAGGTATCCCTGGTACACCATATCTTTTGTGTAAAAAACAGATATGGTGTTTTGTTTGCTTTATTTGTTGATGTTATTTTCAATAAATAATTTGAATCACTCCAGAGGTTTAACATGAAAAGGCAGCAAACATATCATTGTTTGTGAATAAATACTGGTTTACTAAAGGTAGCTTTGGTCTTGTGGTTAAAAATGAGGATAAGTAAAAGCTTCCCTGATTGGAATTTTAGAAATTGTCTTCGTCAAATAAATATGAAAAGGCAAATATAATAGGTTTAAAAATAGGTTTAAAATAGGTTTTGAGATAAGCTTATTTCTTGGTCAAAACCGCTGAATTATCCCAGTTTATTTCTAAGTGTATACTCCTTTTGTTAAGGTGTAACAAAATTAGTGTAAAGTAAAGGCATCCCATTGACCAAACTTAACCCTAGATTTGTTTCTGATCAACATAAAAAACTACTAAAAGTTTACTTGGTGGTATTCCTTCTAAAGGTACGATTGACTTTACATATTCTATCAAAATATGCCTAATCATCGGCTGATTCCAACTTATTTTGCGACTTAATGCCTTCAGTAAAATTTGTAATGTTTTGTTTAACATAGACTAAATTATTAAAAATATAAATACTTGGAATTGTCATTATATTATTATTTATAAAGAAAGGTTTGCAGTTGACTTTATTTGGTATATCAAACATGATCCGCAGGGCTTTTCTTTGCCAAGTAAACACCCTGCTGGCCCCACAGCTATTTCCCCAGAGAATATTTCCATATAATAAGTGTGTATGAAATAAACTATGGTAAACAGAAAGAAGTGTGTGATTAGATACACAGTTTTTTAGTTTTCGCAATAAAAAACAAACTCGTGACAACTTAGATATTACATTGTTGGTATGTTCTTCCCAAGTTAATTTTTTATCTAAGAAAATACCTAGCAATTTAACAAAATCTGGATTTTCAATTTGGTTTCTACGTAGTGTAAAACATATTTTCTCTGTCTTATCACTATTAATTTCAAGAAAATTACTCTTAAACCAATTATTACCAATATCGATCATGTTATCAATTCCACGGATTGCTGTGTTAAGATTGTCAGAAGGCCAAATAAACGATGTGTCGTCTGCATATAGAACTGTTTTACAAGGCATAGCATTTGGCAAATCATTAATATATAATATAAACAAGACTGGCCCAAGTACTGACCCCTGTGGCACCCCAGCAAGAACCTCTTTAAAAGCTGATGTTTGTTTACCGGAAGCTACATATTCAATTCAATTCAATTCAATTCAATTCAATTCGTTTATTCACGGCAGAAGCCATTGTACAATAATGCCATTACATACGGGAGATAACAAGCAATAACAAATACTAAATAATACCACAAGCAATAATAAATACTAAATAATACAATAGGTGAATACAAGATGCATAAGGATAGTAATACTACTGAATAGAACATACAAAATTAGTAACAGGTGGACTATGAACAAAAGAAGCTAGCATTACAAAAAGATATGCAAGAGGATATCAGGTGACGTGCGAAAGGCATAATAATAATACTGAAAGAGAAACAAGATGCATACAAATCATAATAGCAAGACATGTAATAATATTAATAAATAGTGTCATACAATAGTGAGTAAAAATCAGACTCTGGACAAACCAAAAAAGAAAGAAGCTAGCATTGCAAGTAAAAGTACAGATGGTTAACGAGCAAAGAGATACAACTGAGAATGAGACACAAGATGCATATTGTTGTCTGCCACAAAGGTAGGTTTAAAAAAAATTTAGTTCCTGGTGTTTTATACCATAAAAATCCAATTTCTGCAAAAGTATGGTGTGCAGAACTGAGTCAAAGGCCCTGCTGAGATCCACAAGGGCCAGACTCATATAGTTGCCAGATTCAAATGTATCCAGAATATCTGACACTATGGATTCAACGGCTAAAGTTGTGGAGTATCCGGGTCGAAAGCCAAATTGATTGCTATTCAGAATTTTGTTATTTGATAAAAAATCAAAAAGCTGTATTTTAACACAATTTTCAATTATTTTTGAAAAAACTGGAACCATTGAACTCACTCACTCACTCACTCCCATGGCCATTTATGCCCAAGGCGGGATTTGGCCGCACCAACAACTGCTTTCCATCTCTCTCGATCTTCTGCCTCTTCCACTTCTGCCCCCACTTCTCTGACGTCCTTGGAAACACTATCCCACCATCTCTTCTTGGGCCTTCCTAATGGTCGTTTCCCTTCTGGCTTTCCTATACTTGCTTCTTTTAGTAGTGAACCTCGTTCTCTCCGTAGTGCGTGTCCTGCCCACCTTATTCTCCTTGCTTTCACGTGTGCTACTACATCATAATCATTGTACATATTCCTTATCTCCCTATTATGTCTTTTTCTCCATTCTCCATTTTCTTGTATTGGTCCATATATCATTCTTAAAATTTTGTTTTCAAAAACAATCATTTTGTTTTCTTCTTTTTTATTTAAAACCATTGATTAGGAACCATTGAAATGGGACGATAATTGGAAACAGAAGATATATCTCCTTTCTTGAAAATTGGCACTGTTTTGCATATTTTCAGACAACTTGGAAATGTGGAATTTAATAAGGCAATATTAACTAAGTAAGTTAAGGGTTCTAGAATGTATGGAGCTATATATTTGACAATTTTGTTAGAAAAGCCATAAAAATCTTCAGAGTTAGAGGAACTAAGTGATCTTATAACTTTTAAAATTTCAATTGATGTTACCGGCTTCCACGAAAAATTGGTATTAGAAACATTTTCCTTATCTAAAAAGTCGTCAAAATTTGACCCGCTTCCCCCTCCATTAGAGAACTTGTCTAAAATTTGTTTTCCTAATGCAACAATTCATAACTCGAGTAATACGTCAGATAAATGAATGCCGATGCTTGATGGCAAATCTACGCGTGCATACCTTTAATTTAAGACCAAAATCATGAAACTCGGTCGGGTAGAAGAGGCGGACGGACTCGGAAAAGAAAAACCGATATTTTTTAATATAATAGATATATATATGTCCGTTAGCGCGATAACTTGAGCATAAATTATCCGATTTGGATGAAATTTGGTACAAACATGTAAAACTACGTTTATTCTTACGAGTTTGCAAACCAGCATAATCGGACCATGGGAACGGGGGTTTATGGGGGGTTTTATAGGGTAAAAATGAGGTTTTCCCATTTTGACCCTAAAAACCCAAAAAATGTGCAATTTCTTTTTAAACAGTTTTGTAGAGCTTAAAAAAATAAATAATTTAGTATGTTGAAGTGCTGTTGTATGCCTAATGGTCACAGAGAAAATTCAAAAATAGTGTAATTTAAAATTCCCATGTTATTTTTATGGATAAAATAAAAACTGTTGTAGTTTACTTGTTTATGGATATATATATTGATAAAATTTGGCAAATTTATTTATTTCATCTTTTAGTATTGACGTATGGTCAAAAAACACATTTTACCTTCCCCGTAGCAGCAAACCAAAGCACCCGTTAAATCTAATGTTTTTTAAATTGGGAACAAATTTTATGTCTTATTTATGGAAATATTTTAGTAAAAATGTAATCAGACAAGTTGAAAATCGCTTAGTCTGCAGGTTTGCTGCGGCGGGGGTATTGTTTAAATATGCTATATCTGCAAAGCAAACTGATATTCATGTTTTAAACTACCTTTTTTTAACGATTTAGGTTCACTAAAATTGTAAACTTCATTTATTAGAATATAAAAAAAAACTTAAAATGTTAACTTGAAACAGTTAAAAGTATTAAAGTAAGTTAGAATCATAAGCTTATTAAATACAAATATTTTGGTTTGTTAACAAATCCACCAACCCCAATACCCTTTTTTTAAACTATAGGGGAGAGTACAAACAGTTAACCCATGCACGGCTATATGTGGCTCAACAAACATTGTGATGCAATTGACAACTCAGCAGTTAAACAACAATGCAGCCTTTGTCAAACCTTCAGAGTCCAAGGAAAATATCAACAAAGTTACAAATGTGATTCATCAACATTGACTGATCCAACAATTACCGTAGTGCTAGTTAAATCTACACAGATCTGGTTTTATGGTTACACACGGTTTAGTTTGAATGTTGAAAATTACGTTTTCCTCGTTTTGCTTTTTGAGTTAGCAAAAGAATTTGTCTATCCTTCTATCGGGACGCATCACGGATGTTACCTCTGGTTCACTACATTTTTTGTTATAAAAACTGTTGTTTTTGTTCGGCAGGTTTGTCTCCTGCCTTACCTTTTGCAGAAACGGTTTTGGCTACTCTTACCCCTCTCCCAGTTGTCAGTCGACCTTGGGGAGTGTTCCAGTAAAACAGCAGCGCCCTGTGATGTAACGGGTTTCCAGGAGCCTAGTTCCGTGTGTGCCCGGTTGTGTTTGAGCTTATTTTGCTATATTATCAAATGGATGAAGAAGAACGAATTGCGTGATTGTTGGCTAGTGTTGAAAGGGAGGACAGGGAACAACATTTAGTGGAAAGAACTAAGTTACCGGTGCGTTTGTTCTGGAACTTTTTTTGGGGAAAAAGAGCTTTGACAAAATGAGTAGTCCTTCTAACAAATGATCAACATTGGTTAATAATATAACCTAAAAATTACCTGACTAATATAGCCTAACCTAACTTCAAACATCTGCAATATCTATCTACTTGTTCTAAGTTCTCTTGTAAATGCCATCTTAGGCCCATGCATTATATTCCTCATAGTTATACTTGTCTGTAAACCATCCTTGCATGTTGTATAGTTTGTAAATTGGCTTCTTGCCGTTGAAATAAATAAATAAAACACATAATGTCACGAATCCGCATTAGTTTACAACTTAATCCAGGCCTATGCTCAGTGGCACTAATAATTGGAATTACCCGCTTTGTTTTATTGGTTAGTTCTTTTCTTGGATTCTTTTTCTAGAACCCTATCTATAAGAAGGGTGACCACCAGAGGCTTGGTAGCTATCGGCCCATCTCCATAACACCTGTCTTCGGAAAGTTGGTTTAAGCCACCATAAAACCTCAGCTTGAAGCATTTTTTGAGGGACTTAACCTCTTCTCGAACATGCAGTTTGGCTTCCATAAGGGCAGGTCAACTGTTGATGCTGTTGCAAAAGTTGCTGCAAGCGTGAAAAATGCATTTGAAAATCATCAAGCTCTCTCTCTGACTCTCTGTGATATCAGTAGAGTGTTTGATTGTGTCTCCCACTCCATCTTGAAAAGGAAACTCCACTTCTATGGGATCAGGGATGCCGCTCTTGCCATCCTAACTACGGGAATGTTGCTGAAAGTCAACAGTCCCGGAAGATCATATAATTTATACCTGTGCCACTAGGTCAAAAACTACAATGTTTGCAGTGTCTGTAGATCAAAAGTCCCAGTAAGTCAAATAGTACAGTCCGAGCTAAAAACGTGGTCTATGTTAAAGCAATTGACTTATTGGGAATTTGACCTAATGCAACAGCAGTTTTAATATAACGAAATACGGTAAAATACAAGTTCAGTTTCGCTGAGTCAACAGTGCCGGAAGATCAAAAGCAATAAAAGTGAACGTCGATTCAGTGTAAAGTAGACCTCCTGCAACGCTTACTACACCAACAAAACTCGCTTTTAGTTACTTCGTGTTTTGTCATAATTAGAATAAAGCTAAAATTATCATATTTGGTACATAGCTTATCTATTAATGCTTCTTGCCAACTGTTTGGTCAACACTGTAAATAGGTATAGTTTATGTAATGAAAAGCCTTTCGTCAAAATTTGTGGCATAAAATACACGCAAGGACGATCTGAAAATTTCTGGTTATTATATACGTTTGTAAAAGGAGATCCATTTAATTGTAGAACTATTTTATGAGTTATAATGTAGTCTACACATAAAATTATGCCTCGGAAGGGTTGAAACCTGTCCAAACTATCATATATATTATTAAAACGTAAATGAGGTTTTTCACATTCTGAATCAACCAGTCGACGGATTTTCATTATTTTTATGTTGAAAGAAAGATAATTTTGAGAACTAGGGAATGTCAAAGCCATAATTATAATTAAGGGTCCCAGTTTTTTAGAAATTAAGTTTCAATTTTTAAAAAGTCTAGCAGCCGACGCTTACCTTCTAAGCTAGCTTTTAGTACAATATAATTTGCTTAACATAACAGCTGTAAACATTCAGCATTTGGATTCAAATTTAAAGACATATTTAGAGTTGACTTATTTATACTATGTGTAATGCTGACCATTGATCCATTCAATTCTTAGGTATGAGGATGGCAGATTAATTAAATATGCATAGTAAAATTGTAGGATGTTCAAATTATTTTTAAAGGAATCTTTATAATCATTGATTTGTTTTAGTCCCATATAATTTGTTTTAACTAACAGCTGGTTGAATGTACTATTGTTCTATATAACTATTACGTTTTTGGCGAATATCCCATATAGGGAATAAGCTATTACCGTAGTACTTATGGTAACACCTGGACCCGCGGGACCGATTTAATTTTTCGTTTTGAGGTCCCTAGAGGCCAAAAACACCATCCGTTCAAATTCATATATACAGGGTGATCAACTCAAGGAGTCCACCATTGGGAAATCGGAAACGGTAAGAATTAGAGAAAACTTTAAATGGGGCACATACCTTTAATTTTTGTGGCAGTTAAAATATGATTTTAGTTTTTTATCATGTTTTCGGATAGAATATGCAATTTAAAAACTTTGTTAACTTTGACATTTTTTTGATAAACCCACTCGTTTAGGATTACAGCCTATGGAAAAATGACTTCCGGTTTACATTTTACATCATGTAGCTCCTAAACGAGTAAGTTTAGAGCAAAATTGCAAAAAGTAAATCAGTCTTAGAATTGCATCTACATTCCTTTAAGACTATAAAATAAAAAGTTTTCCACTTTTCAAGTTTGCCGCCATTTTTTTAAATAATATAATTCATATTTTTAATGAATTTTATGGTCTTTTAGGAATGTGGATGCAATTGTAAGACTTTTTTACTCTTCCCATTTTTGCTATAAACTTACTTGTTTAGGAGCTACATGATGTAAAATGTACACCGGAAGTCATTTTTCCATAGGCTATAACTCCTAAACGAGTCGGTTTATCGAAAAAATGTCAATTATAGAAAAGTTTTTAAATTGCATATTCTATCCGAAAACATGATAAAATATAGGGTGTTCCATAAGAAATTTCAAATTTGGCCGCCATTTTGGAAAATGGCGGCTGAATTTCAAAAAACTAAAATCATATTTTTAACTGCCACAAGAAATAAAGGAATGTCCCCCATTTAAAGTTTTCTCTAATTCTTACCGTATCCGATATCCCAATTACAATTGAAATTGTAATTGGACACTAGTAAGTACCAGTGCACTTGTTGCTACCTCCCCCCTTCGGTTTCATGTATTCCTCTCAATCACTTCAAACCTAGGAGGATTAAACATTAATGTTAATTAATGTTAAATCCTCCTAGGTTCAAACCTTTAACACCCAGATCGAAACTCGCCTGTCGTTATTTTAACATCGCTTAATTTTTTTTACTATATTTTTCAAAAAAGGAAGATTAAATTGATTTACTTTGGATTTTAAAAAGAGGACGTTTTATTTTATTAAAGATTTATGGTGATACGTAAATATTGTGGTATAGTAAAGTATGTAGTTAAGTGTTAAATTTCGAAATTTTAGGGTGAATCGAGATGAATCTTTTTTTTAACATGGGTCTCTCCTACCTTAACGTACATACCAAGTTTCATAAACATCGGTTGGAAAAGTGTAAAGATAAATATTTGTATGTAAAAAATACAAAATGGCGGATATCTGGTAAACGAAACGATTTTGGAAAAAATGTTATCGTTCATTTTCTGTTTATTTTGACCCAAGGAATTACTAGGTAAAGTGTCTCTTCGCTTATTTTTAATACCTTGTTTGTGATGTATTCTTATTAATATAAGTGAAAAATGTAAGCTGGTAATACAGAAAGATGTTTTATAAATAATATGAATGTACTGGTAATCTGTATATTCATCTTTTTCTTGTCCTTAGAACTGTAAATTAAAAGTCCACTCACTCAGCAGTCGCATCGTACGATGTAGTTCTTTCCATGCGTTGCGAAATGCTAAATTTGCCGTCCTCTTCAACCCAAATTATCTATTGAACCACTGATTGTAAAAAATTCAAAAAAATATATTTTACGCATCACACTTTTGGCTACAACTTTGCCACAGACAAAACCTCTCTAACCCAAAAACAAACAAAAATCTCGCATGCTAACTTTTTCATGTTAGAAATCACGATTTAAAACTATTTCACCATACATATCAATTTTTATTAATTATATCGGTAAATAGTTTAAAGTTCCAACAAAATAGTCATTGAGTAGGACTAACCAAGAAGCTCTGTGCCAATTTTCAAAATCTTAGCACAACTTTAAGTACACCAAAACACGAAATTATTGAAGTCATGCGTCGAGAGGACTATCGTTGTTTTTAACAGATTATACTTTTGACCTTCCGGCACTGTTGACTCAGCGAAACTGAACTTATATTTTATCTTATTTCGTTTTATTAAAACTGCTGTTGCATTAGGTCAAATTCCCAATAAGTCAATTGCTTTAACATAGACTACGTTTTTAGCCCGGACTGTACTATTTGACTTACTGGGATTTTTGATCTACAGACACTGCAAACATTGTAGTTTTTGACCTAGTGGCACAGGTATAAATTATTTGACCTTCCGGGACTGTTGACTTTCTGCAACGCGTCCCTAACTACTTACCTCGAACGACGCTCGCAGGTCGTACCAGTTGGTGGAGCTGTCTCCGGCACTCTGCCCGTTGATTTTGGTGTTCCCCAGGGTTCAGTGCTTGGGCCTACCCTTTTTCTCATCATGATAATTGATCTTGACGACCTTGGAACTACCCTCATGTTTGCGGACAACACTTCTCTCCTGTCAGCTGGTATGAACATCGATCAAGCTTTAGTCATCTCCAGACAGCGTCTTAAAGATACAACTGCCTAGTTTTTGGCAAACCGTTTTCAACTAAACGAGGATAAGACGTAGCACATCATCTGCAGCCATTCCAGAGATCAGCCTGGTGTTCAGGATCCAGTAAAATTGCTTGGATTTGTTCTTGATGGGAAGTTCAGCTGGACCCATCACATAGACCAGACGACCAACAGACTCTCTCAGATCTGTTTCCTCCTCTTAAAACTAAAATTCTGTGAAATGGAGGCATATTTGGTGATTGTGTACCATGCCCTCTTTCACTGCCATGTCAGCTATGGCCTTCTTCTCTGGGGACACTCACCAAAGGTTGTTGAAGTGCTTAAGCTCCAGAAGCGTGCAGTAAGGATTATTACTGGGAGTGAGTATTGTGCTCATTGCAAACCCCTTTTTGCACGACTTGGTTTGCTTACTGTAGTTGGCCACTACATACTTCTCTGTCTGGTGCATGTTAGGGCCAATATAGGCTAACAACCTTCATCACTCGTGATGACGTCCACCAGCACAACACCAGGCAGCGCCATCAGCTTGATTTACCCAGGGTGTGATTATCTAGGAATTTAGTTACAGTATGTCAGCTATAAGTCTGTAATAAGCTGCCACAACATAATATCCAGTTTTTGGACTTAAAAACATTTGAGGCAGTGTCCATGTGCAGGCCCGAGGAGCGGCCCACCGAAAAATAACAAACAAAGTGAGAACCATGGATGGAGGTTCAAGAACATCGCTATATCTGAGAGAAACGAGCTGTAACTAACCAATTAAATAAACAACAACAAACATTAACAACAATACATGAATTAGGTACCTTTAAAAAAACTTTAAATAATTTAGCTACCCATCTAGCCTACTAACTTACAAGCATTTCTTTAATCATCAAAATAGGCTAATTTATAGATAAGATTTTACTAGGCTAGCTATTACTTTTCAAAAATTCCTTTTTAAATTAACAAATAAATAACAATTTCATCAAGAGCCGGGCCTATTACGACATCTCAGAGTATCTAAGGGATGACTTAAGAAACCTGTAAGTTAGCCTGCCGAAGGTACTGTAAATAGTTGTAAATATTGTTTTTCGATTAGTAACCGTGTTAAGTGACGCTATCAATCCCACATTGTGGGTAAAAGAGGAAGAAGGAGGTATAAGGTAGACGATCCATTAATCCTTTATTTAAGATGCACATAACAGTGAGTTAAAGGCAACAGAGACAAGCAGACAAGAATTACAACAAAATAATAAAATTCAAACTATCATAGAGTAGGTTATTTAGTTTTTGTGAGCAAAAATTGTTTGCACCATTGTTTTCAGGTAAAAATTTAAACTTAGTTTCTGGTGAATTACTAGCCTATTAATTAATATAGGCTAGGTTCCCACAGTCACTTTATTTTGCATGATTTCCAAGGATTGCTTTTAGGCCTAGACAACTTAAAGAGCATAAACTAAGGGTACAGTTTCTTAACTGGGCTACGCTAATATCGATTGAAACTATCGATTCGATTAGTAAACTTTTGTGCGGTTTTTTCACCATCAGCAAGTTTGGTTGGTTAGTTTAGGTTATGATAGTTTAATTTTATAATAGATATATTTAAAAATATTGATTACAGTAGACCCCCTCTTAACCGAGCAACAAGTAGGGCACACGCTCTACTTATTGCTGACTTTACCCCCCCTTTCTTATCCCCCAGGTACATGATATTGATACTGTCGTGTCCGTTAAAGTGTCCTCTATCTGGTGACATCATCGGTAATATGTTACGCGGCCGTATTTTCCCGCAAATCGGCCAGCAATAGATTTTTTCGGGCGTGCGCACTACTTATGGCTGGAGTTATTGCCAGGTTCACACCAATACCACTCGCTTCACAGATAAGTTGGCTTAGGTAAGCCTAATTAAAAATTGTATCCAGTAAACTCTGGCAGGTGATTAAAGAATTAAACTTTTAGCCTATGAGAAAAAGTTGCAATTGAGGGCCTCTTTAAAAAAAATTGTTGAACTGCTTATATTGTGAACAATAACCATATTCTTGACTTGTGAAAATCGCTTAAAAGCTTGAGAAGTTGTGGAGTGGAGGTGTTATGAAATCCACCCTTTTTACATGTTATCCAAAAGGGAAGAATAAACAATTATCTATGAAATTTTGCTTACCTGAAGAGAACTTGAATGAGAGATTACACTCTGAAATATTTAATAACAAATGTCAATTGAAGCTAGAGCTTCAAGACGCATAATAATCACTCTTTCAAAACTCAAACAGACGATTGAAACTAGAAACTAGAAAGAAGAAACACAACAAATTTGGCAATCAATTATGACTAAACTGTAATGTCAAACAAACAGAAACAAACAGCACAGAGAGAAGAAGAGAAGAGGTGGTGGTGAGGGAGTACCAACATTAACATTCCAAATTTGAAATAAGTCACTTTACCAAACAGCGATGAATATAATAATACGTCAATACGTGTCATTCAAACTTAATACCAGTAATACTGTATGTACAGCTGAATCCAGCCATTGATCAATCTATATACTGTAGTATAATATAAAGAGGGTACTCTATTACCAGATGAGGGTCTAGTATTACATTTAACGATTACTTATATTAGTAGATTTGTCATCCTTATGGATCAGCTGAAGCGCTGAAGACTGATTAATAAGTTTTATTTTTTCCGGTACCACTAGGTGCGTGTTTTGGTTAATATTTTCTTTTTGTCATTTTAGTTATTTAAAACATGGTTTTAGCAAATAAAACTATCTAATCATAAACAGTAAACATGACATTAAAACCAAGCTTTAAAATGTACAATGGGATAGGAAGTTGACTTGTCTTGTGTTGGCATGTCTAGTCTACGGTATTTACGTATCAGATAAATTTACCAGGGACCACAGGGGTCACAGAACTTTTCCCGAGCTTCAAATGACGATGAATAAATATCTACTTAATACTGTTCTATGAAATGGCGACCATACAAAGTAGGTATTTTAAGCCATGTATGAATGGAGATGAGTGTAGGATGAGTGGCGATCTTGTAGTCTTGTTAGTGACTAAGATCGACATTCCTTAGACACAGCTGTTAATTAATAGCCCATACAGCTAAGGGACCTACAGTTTATAGTGGAATCCGAACCACATTTTTGCCTTGGTAATTACGAATTGGTCTAATTATCAGGATGGTACTGCGGATAGTCGTAGTACTCACCCGTGCGGACGTTAATCCACACTGGGGAGTATCACATCCACAGTGCATGCCAATAAATATCCACAATCCGTGACCTTCTAGTAGCTCGATTACAGGACGATGCCACCCGTCCCAGTCTTGGGGAGATGTATAATCAATTTTACAATCAATCAATAGGGATGACAAATCTACTAAGGGAGTATGTTAGTATGTTTAATCTATAATTTTAGGAGTATCTAGTATCTAATGGGGTAGAGACCTTGATTTTGGTCAGTATCAAAGTGGGAAATTCATAATCCTTAATACTTTTTAATACTTTACAGTGAAATGGCGACCAATCAAAGTAGGTATTTTAAGCCAAGTATGAATGGAGATGAGTGGCGCGATCTGGTAGTCTTGTTAGTGACTAAGGCCGTAGGCCGACATATTCCTTGAACACAGCTGTTAATTAATAGCCCATACAGCTAATGGCAACTAAGGGACCTACCATAGTCCTACATGGTCCTACTAAAGTGGAATCCGAAACCCTCACATTGCTTAGGGTGGTACGTTGGTAGTATAATCATAATTGAAAAAGAAACTAGCCTAGTCGGTTCAGTTATTGCTATGTGATCGAGTAAAACACACACACACAATCAGATTTTAGCGAATTTCCCATATAGGGAATAAGCTATTACCGTAGTACTCATGGTAAGACCTGGACCCGGGACCGATTTACTTTTTCGTTTTGAGGTTCCTAGAGGCCAAAAACACCATCCGTTCAAATTCACATATATATATATGTGTGTCCGTTAGCACGATAACTCGAGCAAAAATGATCCGATTTTGATTAAATTTGGTACAAACGTGTAAACCTACATTTATTCGAACGAGTTCGCGAACCAGCATGATCGGACTAAAAGGCGGCCGTGACTATAGGAATTTTATGGGGTAAAAATATGTTTTCCCCATTTTTGACCCAAAAAACACAAAATTTCACAATTTCTTTCCAAACCATTTTGTAGAGCTCAAAATAATAAATAATTTAGTATATTGAAGCGTTATTATGCGCCTAATGGTTACGGAGAAAATTCCAAAATATTTTAAATTTAAAATTCCCATGTTATTCTCGTGGAGAATAAATCAACTAACTGTCGTAGTTTGCTTGTTTATGAACATATTTTGATCGAATTTGGAAAATACATTAATTTTGTACAAAACTATTAACATTTTACAACAAAAAACACTTTTTACCCTCCCTGTTGCAGCAAATCTAAGCACTCGTTAAACTAATTCTATTTTGATATGTTTTAACATTCTTTAAATTGCAGCTGACTTTTAACTTGTTTTTGTTATTGTTTTTGTTTCTAGTTTTTTGACTCATGAATAAGTTCAGTTCTATTTGATTAAACTAATTTACCTATCAATTTATTAGTCCAGTCAATGAATGATCCAAAAGTAGGTGTAGAGTGCGTGAGCAGGTAACTAAGCGATTCCTTCAGAAACTTGTTCAGGGGGCTTAGGGTGTTAACATACCAAAAGTCCTGACTCCTAGGTGGTGAGCCAGGGGGTGGAGGGGGGAAAAAGGGGGGAAAAAGGGGGGAAAAAGGTACGAATTTTGGGTTTTTTGATTATATCTCGAAAACTATCAACTTTTTGTATACTATAGTAAATTATAAAATTGAAGAAGATTAAATTTTCTACAAGAAAAGTACATAATGTGTTTATTTTGGTTCAACAGATTATGATTTATAACTTATTTAATTGATATCTTATTAAAATACTCCTTCCATAAGAAATACATGTAAATTAGTATGCGAAATGGGGCGAATCCTATCCGCCCAAAGGAAATATAACTGATATTCTGGAAATCTTGACAAAATTTCCAGTAATTTGACACTTTAATCATGAAATTTGGTCAAAAATTAAAGCGAGGGTGAGCGTTTAAAAATGGGATGATTTAAGGTTTTTTTTTGTATTACCAATAAAAAAACACTAAAACTCGACATTTTGTTACCTCGCCCTCGCCTTAATTTTGGGTCAATTTTAATGATTGAAGTGTCAAATTACTGGAAATTTTGTCAAGATTTCCAGAATATCATTTATATTTCCTTTGGGCGGATAGGATTCGCCCCATTTCGCATACTAATTTACATGTATTTCTTATGGAAGAAGATTTTAATAAGATATCAATTAAATAAGTTATAACTCGTAATCTGTTGAACCAAAATAAACACATTATGTACTTTTCTTGTAGAAAATTTAATCTTCTTCAATTTTATGATTTACTATAGTATACAAAAAGTTGATAGTTTTCGAGATATAATCAAAAAACCCAAAATGCGTATCTTTCTCCCCCCCCTTTTCCCCCCCTCCACCCCCTGGCTCACCACCTAGGAGTCAGGACTTTTGGTATGTTAACACCCTAAGCCCCCTGAACAAGTTTCTGAAGGAATCGCTTAGTTACCTGCTCACGCACTCTACACCTCATTCCTTGACTGGACTATATGTATTTACTTCAAACATAAAACTGGCGACGAGGATGGGATTATGGAAAACTTGGAGTGCAAGATAGTTTATTCAATTCTACAGGCTAATTCATTATAATGTCTGAAGATACATTACCAGCAACTCTTAATAATCCTATGTTGGTAAGTCAACCTAGATGTGAAAAATTTAACCCTAATTTATGCGACATTGATGTTTGGAATATTAAATTCAAGGCAAATTTATGTTTGGGCAATATTACAAATGATGATATTAAAAGATGTTTATTCATTGACTGCCTGGATAGTACAGTTCTTAAAACATTGGTAACTATTTGCAAGCCAAAAGAAATTAGTGAATTCACTTATGAACAACTTTATGAACTTCTGGTAAAACATTTCAAACCAGTAAAGTTTAAAGTTGCCGAAAGAGTAAAATTCTTTTCACTGAAGCAAGGTGTTGAATCTTTGCCCACCTTTGCAAGTAACTTAAAAGAATTAGCCAGCAGTTGTGATTTCCCTGGTGACTTTTATCAAGATGCTCTCATTACATCCTTCATAATGGGTATTAATGAAGATTCTATTAGAGCTAATTTACTTCAGAAAGATTACACAGATTTCAATACTGTACTTGAATTTGCTAGAACATTAAGTTCAGTTTTTACCACTTCAGCAAAGAAAAATCTTATTTCATTTTCCGATAACGAGAGCAATGGAGAGGTTCTAAATACAAATTCAAACTATTTATGCTATTCTTGTGGTGGTAACCATTTTAGGAACCAATGTAGATTTAGAAATGCAATATGTAATAATTGTGATACAAAAGGTCACTTAGCAAAAGTTTGCAAAATTAAAAGGAGAACAGATTTTCAAAACAAAGAAATTGGTGGACATGGAAAAGGAACGTACAACCGACAAGTAAATTTCACTGACAATGAAAAAGGAAGAGATTCTAGGACCTTTATCGACTCTAACATACTTGATTGTTCACCTAAGTTGACAAATGAAGCTATTTTTTCTCTTGGTCTTCAGTGTCATAACGTCAGTGTATTTTCTCCAATTTGGGTTTCTATCTGTATCAATAGTATTTTAATTAATATGCAACTAGATACAGGAAGTTGTGTTTCTGTTATATGTCAACGAACTTGGGAAAGATTGGGAAAATTTCCTTTGTTACATTCAAATACAAAACTGACATCTTATAGTGGCCATTGCATAAACTTGATTGGTGAACGAACAGTTAAAGTGACATTCAAGAAAACTAAAAGAGAGCTAAAGCTGTACGTTGCTGAAGGTGGCACTCAGGATCTTTTAGGTAGAGACTGGATCGAGGAGCTTAAAATCAACGAATTGCCACTTAATTCATTACAAAGTGATTCTTTATGGGTTTCCAAGGAAGTTGATGACATTTCAAGGTCAGGGTTTCAAAGTTCACTTCCAAGAATGAGCTTAAGTAAATTAATTGATTCTAATAAGGAACTCTTTTGTAACAAAAGTGGCCATTGTACAAAATTCACGGCACACTTAATTTTAAAGGAAGACGCTTCTCCTATTTACAAGAAGGCAAGGCCAGTTCCATTTGCAATAAAGGACAAAGTGTGCGAGGAAATCGACAGGCTTGTAGAAGCTGATCTGATAGAACCAATTGACTATTCTGATTGGGCTGCACCTTGTGTAGTTGTTAAAAAACCTTCTGGTCAAATAAGAATTTGTGCAGATTTTTCAACAGGATTGAATCAGGCTTTAAAGATTCAGAAATTTCCTCTACCTACACCTGAGGAAATATTTGCTAAGTTGAATGGAGGAGAAAAATTCTCAGTCATAGATTTATCTGATGCCTACTTATCAATACCAGTAGATAGAGATTCACAAGACTTACTAGTGATTAATACCATCAAAGGACTTTACAAATACAAGCGACTTTGTTTTGGAATCGCATCCGCTCCAGCTATATTTTCTAAAGTTATGTACAACATGTTGAATGGGTTGCCAGGCGTAGCAAACTATCTAGATGATATAATTGTTACAGGGCACAATGATGAAGAACACTACAAAAATCTAGAGAATACTTTCAATAAAATTAAAGAGTTTGGATTCCAATTGAACAAAGATAAATGCAAGTTTATGCAGGAAACAGTGACATATCTTGGGTTTGTCATAACTAAAAATGGCATACAAGTTTCGGATTCTAAAGTTCAAGGCATTGTAGATATGCCACAGCCATCAAATGTCAAAGAGTTGGAGGCATTTTTAGGTATGGTTACATACTACTCCAAATTCATACCAGAATTTTCAAAAGTGTGTTATCCTTTAAATCAACTGCGGAAGAAAGGAGTAGACTGGTTGTGGACTGATCAGTGTAAACGCAGTTTCAACAAATTAAAAGACTTGTTAATGAATGCACCTATACTAACACATTACAATCCAGAGTTACCCATCATTCTTGCTGCGGATGCATCAGCTGTAGGAATCGGTGCTGCAATTTTTCATAGATTTTCTGACAACTCTGAAAAGCCTATTGCATATGCTTCAAAAACATTGACTTCCACTGAAGCGAACTATTCTCAAATAGAAAGAGAAGGGCTGGCCATCATTTTTGCGATAAAGAAATTTCGCCCATATCTACTGGGAAAACACTTCATTTTACAGACCGACCACAGACCCTTGCTTACAATTTTTGGATCTAAGAAAGGGGTACCTACCACAACTGCCAATAGACTTCAGCGTTGGGCACTAATACTGTCTAACTATACGTATGACATTGAATACATATCTACAAAAAATTTTGGTAAAGTCGATGGTTTGAGTAGATTACCGTCATTTCAACCTAACTCTTTTGATTCCAATGATGAGGGACACCATACAATAGTAGCGACAATTCAAACAGAAGTGCAGTCCGAGATTCCTATTACTTGTACTGAAATCGCTGAGGAATCGGTTAAGGACCCTGTTTTGAAGAAGGTGATGCACTATGTAAAAGTTGGTTGGCCTAATAAGTGTCCAGAGGAGAACTTGAAGCCTTATTTTTCTAAGAAAGATGCACTGACTCTACATAATAACTGTCTTCTGTGGGGAATAAGAACTGTTATTCCACCTAAATACCGAACTTACATCATGAACTACTTACATGAATCTCACAATGGCATGGTCAGAATGAAGTCAGAGGCTCGGGGTCATGTGTGGTGGCCAGGTATGGATGCTCTAATTGAACAGACTTGTCACCGTTGCCGTGAATGTAACTTGTTTGCAAAAGATTTACCAAGTAAAAAACATCTATTCAACTGGCCTAAAGAAAGTGAACCTTGGAGTCGAATCCATTTAGATTTTGCTGGACCATTTTACGGACAAATGTTTCTCTTAGTAATTGACGCTTTCTCGAAATGGCCAGAAATAGTACCTATGTCCTCTATTACCACAGAAAGGACAGTAGAAGCGCTCAAGAATTTGTTGTGTAAATATGGAATACCTAGAACAATCGTCTCAGACAACGGAACTTCATTTACTTCTCAAGGTTTTAAAGATTTCTGCTTGCGTAATAATATCAAACATATTACGACTCCAGTAGCTCACCCAAGTTCAAATGGACAAGTGGAGAAAAATGTAGATACCTTTAAAAGAGCTATGAACAAATTACAGTACAATAAAGAGCCTAGCTTGTTCACAGACAACTTGAGGACATATTTATTTCGCTATCGAGCTACACCTCACACTGCAACTGGACAAACATCTGCATCTTTGTTCTTGGGTCGTAATCTGCGAACTAAATTAGATTTTATCAAACCTTCACAAGAGATAAACTCAAGAGATGAACCTTCTGAAGTGCTGCGATATAAGAAAACCAGAGGCTTTTCTATTGGGAGTAAAGTGTACATTCGTACTTTTGTTGAAGGGAAAGTAAAATGGAAAATAGGAACCATACTTAGACAGTTAGGTAGGAACACATGGTTGATTGATTCTAATGGACACACTAAAAGACATACAAGTCAAATGCGGAAATTTTACCAAGACAATGAATCGGAAGAGGAAGACGACCCCTGCATTAAACAATTACCACAGCTACTGTCTTCTTCAGATTTCCAAGTACGAAATGCAGAAGTACATGTTCGGAATTCGGAAAACCATGGATCACCAGCTGTATTCCCTAGCCCTATAACATTCCCTACAGTAGCTTCACAACATCCGAATTCCACTCCTCAGCTACGACCTAGAACATCCCCTGCAGAAGCTTTACCACACCCGAATGTACCTCCTCAGCTGCGAAGATCAACAAGGACCTTCAGGCCACAGAGGAGGTTAATTGAAGAAGCCTAAACTTGGTGGGAAGAAGTGATATGTTTTAACATTCTTTAAATTGCAGCTGACTTTTAACTTGTTTTTGTTATTGTTTTTGTTTCTAGTTTTTTGACTCATGAATAAGTTCAGTTCTATTTGATTAAACTAATTTACCTATCAATTTATGTATTTACTTCAAACATAAAATATTTAAATAGGGAATACATGTGATATGGATATATTTAAGGAGGCATTTAAGCGTAAATCCAATCAGGAAAATATAAATTCGCTTAATCTGCAGGTTTGCTGTGGTGGGGGTATTTTTTATATAATATAGCATAGATCACGACCCTTCCTATGAAAAACTAAAATCATTGACTTTATATAGTCAATAATCAAGTGTAGATATAAAGTCAATGCTAAAATGCTATGATTACAAAACGATTGAAAAGCTTTGAAGCACATGACAAGGCGCTTGCTTTTTATGAAAGGTTCTAGCCATACTTTTGTTGTCGTCTGCCTTGTTATCGTGTCGCTGGTTTGCTTATATTGTTGTCATGGCAATGTCGGTCTAAACAAACCACTGAGCTAAAATTATAATGAAACAAACGAACTAAAGTACTTAAACTAAATGTATCATGGTGGCTAAACTAAGTGCTACTGCTAATACAGTAATTAATTAAATTTAATTTAGGTTAACTTGAAAACTTGTGAAGCAGATGAAGTGGTTACAAGTTTTACTTTTTGCTTTATTATGACATTCGTTCGGGAAATTGACAATGTGATAAAAAAATAACATCCTCCATTTATTACAACCTTTACTCAAACAAAGACTATATTAATGGGTTGTTTTAAGTCATTGCTGGGTAAAATACAACATAGCTAATTGCAAAATAGATCATTAAAAATATGATACTTACAGAGGTTAGTAGTTTTTGATAAGTTAACTAACTTATCTAAATCAAATTTGTTTAACAACCTAGGATCAAACATAACACTGCATGAAGAAGTAACTTGTAACTTATATTTTTAACATTTTAGTCTTATCAGTTAGCTTTTTAAACATTTTAGGCTTACATTGCTATACTGATAGATCAGCGGTTTCAAAACTTTTTAGTCTGGCAACCCACTTAGATTTTTTCCAAAAATCCTACCTTGGGATTTTTTGCAGCTCACCTATAAAATAATGATAGATGCTTTACCTATTTTTATTACAAGAAGTTAATTGTTAACATTTTAACTAAGCCTTCCTGTTGATAAAGTCATACAAAAACTCAAGTTTTAAAAAGCTAGGGGTATTTAAAAGTAAAACTAGCCTAAGTACCTTTCATACGTTTAAAATTTGGTAAAGATTTAGTAAATTTAGTGTATTACCTATATATTCCGAGAACGCGGCACATCTTCTCTACCGATCACAGTGTCGTTGCAATCGTCTCCCATGTTTGTGGTGACGTCAGGAAAAATTATCTGTAGCCTATCTGTCGTTAAGATTCTTCCAAAAACGAATGGGCTTTGGTTTGCCCTTTGCCTGTTGTGCCAAAATTGTAAATTTTTAGTCGGGATAACTCAACGAGGACATAATGTGCTTGTTGCGATTGCTTTGAAGACATTTTCTGTGAACAATGTTAGAGCGGTATTCATGCACGAAAAATCCTAAAACCACCCCTATAGGCTACATAAAAATTGAGAAGAAGAGAAAATTCCCAAACAATTAGTTTTTGAAATCCCTAGTTTCTAGCAAACATGTTAAAACTGAATATTCTGAAAATAAAATTTAAAGTTACAGCCCTGCCCCTTGCTACCTGCTCGGTGTCTATGGTAGCCTACTATCTTGGTGCCCGCCAGCTCTGGTAACGAAAAATTACGGGCCCCGATAAATAAATACATTTTTAATGTTTGGTCTCTCACCAGTGGGTCACTACTCATAGTTTGGGATCCGCTGTGATAGAGTGTTCATTCAATCTTCCACAAACATGACAGTGTAGGATGAGGTGTCAGGTATGAAACAATTAGAGAATCCAATCCTGGGTGATTTGGGAATATCAGGAATAGCTTAGACACAGTTTGATGTGATGTTAGGCTGTAAATTTATATTTTTTTCTTTCAACAGCATCTAAAACTACTTTGGTTTGGAGTGTTCCTTAAAAAATTATAAAATTCACAAGTAAAGAAGAGGTCAAAGTCAGGGCCCCGTTAAGGGTCAGTGGACCCCTGGGCAAACCCAAGAGCAGCGCCCCCCTATTTTCCTAGTGCTGGCGGGCCGGCGCCCCCGGGCATTTTCGCAGTCTGCCCGTTTATGAAAGCGGGCCTGGTATCGCTCCAGAAAGTTTATGGATATTGGAGCTTGATCGAGGCTAATTCTAAATTCCGTTTTACTTATTTAACATCTTTTAAATGAAGTTCTAAGAATGCAACTGGAAACCGGCTTAGTCTGCGGGTCTACTGCAACAGGGTATTTATAAATAGTTTTAAGTTAATACTAGGAGACAAAGGACAGGATAAGCAGGCTTACCTTAAAAATTGTAGGCATCCAACTTCACTAAAGTAACACAGTTTTTATATGATTCTTCATATAAGAGTAAAGTGACCCATATTTTTATATCGCTCAAAGGAAAGTTTTGTTTCCTTTGTGTTTTTTTTTTTTTACTTTAATAGTGAATTGGGATGCCTACAATGTTTAAGGTAGGTAAGTCTGCTTATCCTGTCCTTTGTCTCTTTAATTCTCAGGCAATAAGCCCTTTCACTTTATGCTTTTGTGAGATAATTTGAAATAATAAAAATATTTGGGGATTATAAATCAATTAGGAACTTCTAGATGTACACCTAACTATAGCCTAACTACAATCAGCTCATTTACTGTGTACAAAGTTAGTTAGCTGATTTTCTTTTATTAGAATGATGGAGGGTCTGAGAACATAAATTCAATTGTTTTCAACCAGTCAAAAAATGAACTATTCAAACTTGCGGAAAGCTACAAAATACTACAAAGGAAGCTCAAAGGGAACTGGAAAGTTTTGAGGTACTGTATGGTAAAATTATTTTAATAAATAATTTTTCTACTCGTTATGAATATTATTTTGTTTTGTATGAAACTAAACCAACATTGTATCTGTTTGAAACTGATAGAGGCCTGCTCAGAAAAGTTGCTTTTTTTATATGGATAAATTTTACGAAGCTGTATTTGATCTGGGCTTTTAATAAATGGTCCTGGTCTTTCCTGGGCTTTTAATAAAGAAAAAGCTGGTCCTAGCCAGTAACAAAGCTACACAAGGCATCTATCATTCAATCTGAATTTATCCTTCACTCATGTTTTGGTTTAAATATTCACCTAGATCTAGGTAGCAGCCCATCTCAATCGAAGAATATAGTAATAATCCTGACAAATGCCATATCCATAAAAACAATAAATATAAATTTTCAGCAACAAGGATGAGATAAGTGGGTCAGTGCTGAATGGTGTGAGTGTGTTTGTTGTCGCCGCTCCTCGTGAGAAGTTTACTGAGAGTGAGTTTAACGTGATGAAGAAATACTTGGACAGCGGAGGCAGCCTACTAGTGCTCATGACTGAGGGTGGAGAGAAGACTCTGCAGACCAACATCAACTTTCTCCTGGAGGAGTATGGCATAATGGTAAACAACGGTGAGTTTAAACAGCTAATAACTGCCAAAGTCATTCAACCCATGGGCTTTAAATTCATTGATTTATGTTTTTCTCTTCATCTTACTGACTCAAAAATTCAAATGAGTTTTAGATTAAGGTTATTAAAACAACTTTTAACCCATTTACATCGGGTGACGTACTAATACGTCAAGTCCGTGATGTACAGTATCACTACTGCCATGAAATTTGAAAATTTTATTTTTACAAAAAATGTACCATTTACATATAATTTTATAGGCCTATATATAATATTTAAATTTGTTCTCAAAATATTATATTCCTTGAATGATTTGATAATTACGTAATACAGGCAGGTATGTACCTATTTTTTTAGAAGTATAAAAATAGTTTAAACATATCCTAAATACATATAAATATATACAAAATGCATAAATGAATGATTCGCCTATTGGGTCTGATGATGATTGGAGTGTCCAATCGAAATCGATCACCACTTACCATCTTTTTTGTATATTTACCGTCTTGTGAGTAACAGTATAAGCGTAAATATATGTTTTAAGTGCTATAAGACGTTTCTTTTATTTACTTTCTGTAAAATTAATAAAATAAAAATATTGTTTTGAGAGAGGAAATCTGATTTTTGAGATTTGGCAACTCTTTCGAGTGCCTTGTAGTCCAGGACCTGACTAGGGTTCTGTGTGCATGTCGTGTATAGAGAATTTTGCTTTTGCATTTCAATATAGGTGTCTTAGGAAGTGTTTTCCACTCGGGTGTCAAGTTCGCACCTGGTACGTTTTCGAGCTATGACGTCATAAAGATGGCGGCTCGGCAATTTTTAAATGCGTATATTTCGCAAACCGTTTAACGGATCGGTATGATTCTTTTTTTGTTTGAAAGATATTTTTACAAACTATCTTTTTTGTATTTACACATTTGTTGTAAACTTAATATTCACCGCACAATATTGAAAAACGTCGTTTTTATTGTTATTATATTTATTGTTTTGCTTATAATTTCTTAACCCCTGATAAAATCAAATACCACCCGTGGCAAAAGTTTCAGATAATTCTATACCCTTTCCAATGATACCAAACAATATGTGATTGGACCTAAAAATAAAGCAAAGAGATTGAATAAACCGTAAAAAAACACTGAAAGTGGTGTACGGTCCGGGAAAGATTTAGTCCTGGACATGACTAGGGTTCTGTGTGCATGTCGTGTATAGAGAATTTTGCTTTTGCATTTCAATATAGGTGTCTTAGGAAGTGTTTTCCACTCGGGTGTCAAGTCCGCGCCTGTTTCGTTTTCGAGCTATGACGTCATCAAAATGGCGGCTTGGGCAATTTTTAAATGCGTATATTTCGCATACCGTTTAACGGATCGGGGTGATTCTTTTTTTGTTTGAAAGATAATTTTACAGGAAATGTTTTTTGTATTTACACTTTTGTTGTCAACTTAATATTTATCTCACAATATTAAAAAACGTGGTTTTTAATGTCATTGTTTTTGAAATTTACCTCATAACTTGTTAAACGCTTATAGAATGAAATAACTACCCATTACAAAAGTTGTAGATAATTTTATGCCCTTTCCAACGATACCAAACAATTAATATTTGAAACTAAAATTAAAGCCAAGAGATTAAATAAACCGTTAACAAACACTTAACATGTCAGAAAGTCCGGAAAATATTGCGGCTGGAACAATTCTTTAAATGCGTATATTTCGCATACTGGTTAAAGAACCGGGATGATTCTTTTTTTGTTTGTAAGATGTTTTTTAAGCCTATCATTTTTGTATTTACACCTTTGTTGTTAACCTACTATTTGTCAAAAAGTTATTAGCAAAAGTAAAATAAAAATAACAATTAAATGTACATTTATTAATATTGTGGGATAAATAGTAGGTTAACAACAAAAGTGTGAAGACAAAAAAGATAGGCTTAAAAAATATCTTACAAACAAAAAAAGAATCATCCCGGTTCGTTAACCAGTATGCGAAATATACGCATTTAAAGAATTGTTCAAGCCGCAATATTTTCCGGACTTTCTACCATGTTACGTGTTAGTTAATGGTTTATTTAATCTCTTGGCTTTATTTTTAGTTTTAAACATTAATTGTTTGGTATCGTTGGAAAGGGAATAAAATCATCTACAACTTTTGTGATGGGTAGTTATTTCATTCTATAAGCGTTTAACAAGTTATGAGGAAACAATAAAAAACAATGACATTAAAAACCACGTTTTTTAATATTGTGAGATAAATATTAAGTTGACAACAAAAGTGTAAATACAAAAAACATTTCCTGTAAAATTATCTTTCAAACAAAAAAAGAATCACCCCGATCCGTTAAACGGTATGCGAAATATACGCATTTAAAAATTGCCCAAGCCGCCATTTTGATGACGTCATAGCTCGAAAACGAAACAGGCGCGGACTTGACACCCGAGTGGAAAACACTTCCTAAGACACCTATATTGAAATGCAAAAGCAAAATTCTCTATACACGACATGCACACAGAACCCTAGTCATGTCCAGGACTAAATCTTTCCCGGACCGTACACCACTTTCAGTGTTTTTTTACGGTTTATTCAATCTCTTTGCTTTATTTTTAGGTCCAATCACATATTGTTTGGTATCATTGGAAAGGGTATAGAATTATCTGAAACTTTTGCCATGGGTGGTATTTGATTTTATCAGCGGTTAAGAAATTATAAGCAAAACAATAAATATAATAACAATAAAAACGACGTTTTTCAATATTGTGCGGTGAATATTAAGTTTACAACAAATTAGTAAATACAAAAAAGATAGTTTGTAAAAATATCTTTCAAACAAAAAAAGAATCATACCGATCCGTTAAACGGTTTGCGAAATATACGCATTTAAAAATTGCCGAGCCGCCATCTTTATGACGTCATAGCTCGAAAACGTACCAGGTGCGAACTTGACACCCGAGTGGAAAACACTTCCTAAGACACCTATATTGAAATGCAAAAGCAAAATTCTCTATACACGACATGCACACAGAACCCTAGTCAGGTCCTGGACTATTGGAGAGAGCGGGAAGAATGCTAATTGGCCTATAATCTTGAGGAAGTTTAGGGGATGAGATCTTATTCAAAGGACAGACTATAGCCGACTTCCATTTTTCTGGGAAAATACGTGTTCTTAGAGAAGAATTAAAAATTAAAGTTACCATAGGGAGAAGAGAAAACAAAACCCGTTTTATTAAAGAAATTGGGATATTGTCAGAACCAGTGGCATCAGACTTAATTCGTCTAATAGCTTTCAAGACATCAGATTGCAAAATTGTTCGGAAACAAAATTCGGGAAAAGCATTGTTAAAATTGCATTGCAGTTTTGATTCATCTAAATGGTTCTGAATAGCTGTGCTATTTGAATTAGTAGAGGCTGATAAAAAATAATCATTCAATACATATTTAACGGGACAGATACAGTGTTGACTGTTCTTGTTTTCCAAGACCAAACCTTTTTAAATTACGCCATAGCACAGAAGAAACCTTTTTTCTATCTGAAAACAGCCTATGGAAGTAATAATAATAATAATAATAAATCTTTATTTGTCGTAAAAATACAAAGGTATCATTGACAGAGTCATAAGATGCAGTGCAACTGCCAGGTCATACAAGTATTTTTTACCTTTACCTTAAAGGTAATAGCCCAATATTGAAAAAAAATATTGAAAAATTTACATAACAAGTTAAAAAGATACAATCACAAATTAAAAAGTGCAACTGCTAAAAAGAAAAAATAACAATGAATACTACACGTAAAACTGGACATCTTAACAACTGAAAAAAACTTCAAAAGGGGTGTCCTAACAACCACAAGTAAAGCTTATTTTTGAATTCTTTTAATGGCCTGTTTGAAATTAGCTTTTGAAAAACATTGTAGAGTTTTATAGATAAAATTATGTGGCTACTTGAGGTTTAATTTAATTAAATGATGTGATTCTAAAGCAGCATTTTTGTTTTGTGTATTATACCTGGGGTTGCTAAATTTCAGATTGTAATGTATCCCAAGGTTGTACATCATAATATCATATATACAGTAGACTCCCCCTTATCCGGACACCTTTTAACCGGACTATACTCGGCGGAAATGACATCTCTTTAACCGGGCAATTTTTATCAGCACATTGGTTTAACCGGACTAGATCGGCAGGAAGTGGGCAGTACTGAAACGGATGTTCTCGTGGCAAAGATTTGAGACCAGTGATCACGTGTCTAAATACAATGCTCTCCTAAATTTAAGTCGAATATCACACTAAACAGTGCGTTTTAACAAGTTTTTGGGGATGTCGGTTTAACCGGAAACCCTGTTATCCGGACTGGCCTCGGCCCCGAGGAGTCCGGATAAGAGGGAGTCTTCTGTAGCCTATATAAATTAACAACAGTCTGAATCTCCCATTCCATGAATAGTTGTTTACAATGCTCATTCCGATTTGATCTATTCATTACTCTTAAAGCCTTTTTTGTAATTTCAAAATATTTTAAATTTTGCTGCATCGACCCCTGAAAATCAAAAAACCAGAATCTTATAATGGATTGAAAGTAAGCAAAGTATGCGGTTTTTTTTAATAATTGCTTGGAATTTGGTGTATTAGACATCTCAAAAGAAAAATTATTCGGGATAATTTTGAAGACAGAGATAACTAATGATACGAGATAATTACAGGACAGGATAATTAATGAAGGCGAGAGTTGCGTAATCGTTGCTTAATTTGGTTTCTGAGCTGACGGTATTGGGCCATTAACGAAAGACGGTATCCAATATCAGGCGGTATCCTGGCTCTGCGAAAGACTGCGTCCCGCTGAGCCATAACCTGAGGATCTCATTTGTGATCCAAGGTACAAGTGGATCGTTTTTAACCCAGAAAAGAAACTAAGACTTTTTTTCAGTATCAAAATTATATAGGTTACTACATTCAAAATGGTAACAAAACCATAAAGATGAATTGATCTACACTTTTAATAATTTTGATTGATAGCGATAGTAATTTGTTACTCAATACGTTAATGTTTCCCCCTAATATGAAAATAATTTGATGTAGTTAGATAAATCAAGAACCTGCTTTAATGTAATCAAGCTTTATTATTTCTCTTCAAGTCTAAACTAATTTTCATGTGTGTTGTTCCAACCACAATTAATCCTAAACATTGTCAGTTCAATAACGTTTTAAGGAAGTAATTGTTGCTCCATTAAAATCTCTTTTTTATATCCTAGATTGTGTGGTGAGGACACATTACTACAAGTATTTTCATCCAAAAGAATGTTTGGTCGCAAATGGTGTGCTGAATCGAGGACTCATTAAAGACTCTGGGAAAAAAGTCGAGAACTTTGCTCAGTAAGTTAAGATTTATTTCTATGAGTATTTAAGGGTTGTTGTAGATTGAATGAATATACAAAATTACCTTCAGTTAGGCTTTATTGAGCATAGAATCTAGCATGATATAGAACTAACAAAATGAAACAACTAACATCATAGTAAACGAAAGAAATTTCAAACATATTTTTGAACAGATGTTACAATGTACAGATAGAAAGGAATTATATGACATTCTTCCCCTCCTAGCTGACATAGTCTTTTAAATACAAAGGCGGGTGTTTACTTCTGGACCTTCTCCTTAGAGCAATCTGGCCCTGATTCAGTCTTTCCTCGTCTTGGAAGACAGGCTCAGGTCCAACCTCAACTTCAGACCTTCTTTAATTTATTTGTAGATTGGACTTTGAATCTTCTTCATGTCGTAGATTGGAATTTGAGTCTTCTTCATGTCGTAGATTGGAGTTTGAGTCCTCTTCAGAACGTGCCACTATTCCTACAGGTGCTAATTTCCTGGAACTCACTGTAGTTTCACGGCCATCTGCATATCTTATGTGAGAATACTCAGGATTCCCCTCAAGGAGCAGTACTTCTTCAACGAGTGGTTTGTATTTAGAGCTCCTGACAGGCCGTTTCATGAGCACTGGGCCAGGAATCATGAGCCAAGATGGAGTTTTCTTACCATTACTAGATATTCTAGAAAAGAGCAATAGTCTTTCATGCGGTGTTGTATTCGTTAAAGTACACAATAACAACCTGATAGAGTGCAAAGCTTCTACATGTACTTTTTCCCAATCAGATATGCCCAGATTTTTACTTTTAAGTGATAGTTCGATTGTCTTCCATATAATACCAACATACCTCTCAGCTTGTCCGTTGCCCTGAGGATTGTAAGCTGTTGTACGGCTGGTAGCAAAAAAGACTTTAGTTCTTGAGACATAAAACATGAACCTCTGTCAGAACGAACATAAGCCGGTACTCCAAACATTGAGAAACGTTCCTTAGGTCTCAGAATAACAGTCCTACCAGTTGTGTCTTGAGTAGGGAATGCAAATGGAAATCGAGAGTAATCATCCACAACTATTAAAAGATAAGGATTTCTACTTGTGGATGGAAGTGGCCCATTAAAATCTATATTCAGTCCAGTGGCGGCTCGTTCATAAGGACTCTGGGACGGAGTCCTCCCATTTTCAACACAAAAGTAAAAAAAGATAATAACATACTAATAATTTGTAATCCTATATTCAATGTACATAAATGTCAGTAGGGTCAATGTTCTTAGGACGGGTAATAGAGGACGCTACATTTTTTGCAACAGATAGTACGCCGGGACTCAGTAGGTATGAGTCCAAACTCCCATATAAACTGCATGGAAATATTCTACCAATCACAGCGCTGCATCAGGCTCTAATGCAACAGATATAGGGCGTTTGGGACTCCGTCCAAACAGTAGTTTAAACTATTGCCACAACAATCGCTGGGTGCAGCGAGCGATCTCGATCTGTCAACGCAATTATTTAGAGATCAGTCAAATAGTGAATACTCACATTGATGGTATTTGTTTAAGAGCATCAAGGATGATGGGTTTGGTCTTTAGGCTGGGGAAATTCGGCCTCAACACCCGGACTATGACATTGTTATACAAGTCATTGGTTAGACCGATCCTGGAATATGCTTCCTCGATATGGTCTCCATACCAGCTGGGACAAATTGATAAGCTTCAGTCAATACAGAGAAGATTCATATGGGAGTGAAGAATGGATATGCCTACAGAGAGGTTCCTATTGCCAAGCTCGAAATCAACCTAAGTTTACCGCCTCTGTCTTCTAGACGCCTGATTGCTGATTTGGTATTTCTCTATAAGCTGATAAATGGAGATACTGATTGCCCCTACCTGCTTCATCTGGTCAACTTCAGGATCCCTTCACCTACCAGAGCACAATGCCTTTTTGAGCTGAAGCTCAGAAGCACTAACTACCTTCGTCATAGTCCTATTCCTAGAATGCTGAGAGCTGGTAACGAGGTCTGCAATCTGGTGGATTTCTTTTCGGACTCCTTGGTTACGTTTAGACGCTCAGTCCTCTACTTGGAGCAGTGATAGATGGAAAGTCTTCTTCAAGTATGAAGTGGCTAGGTCCGTTGGTGGTGGAATTGGGCTTCTGTGTAGTGCTGGGTGCTTGGTGGCTGCGTTAAAGGGCCACATTTGAGTGTTTGTGTTTTTCTGTAGTGGGGGCATGGTCTCCTCACTTTTCATAGTTTTTTTCAATATAATGTAGTGATTGTTATATTTTAGTAGCTGCGTTAAAGGGCTACACCAGTGTCTGTGAGGGCACTGTCTTCTCACTTTTCCTCCATCCCTCCTACTCTATTATTGTTGTCATCTGTTATGCTACCTGTATTTTTAATCATGTAATATAATGCTGTATATAATTATGTTATCTTTGAGTATTCTCTTTATTATCTGTTGCTATTGTATTGAATAACTATCAATGTTTTGTTGTAGTGCTTTGCTCATTAAACTTGTAATTTACTTGTAAATAATAAGTGATTCTCAACCAAAGTTATAACAGTAGGTTATAACAGTTTTACTTTATCCTTAAAACAAGTTTTGCTCATCCTGCACCCCCCCCCCCTCAAGTTCAATCTTTCCACCCCCATTCCCGCCGCACCGTGGAACCGGTCACTGATACCTGGCCGGCACTGGGCCAACCCTCAGGCTGTAAAATGACCCTCGTCAAAGTTGTAAGGCAATTGGCACTCGGCCCTGCACTCGTGCTTTGCAATGGGTCAAAAATATTTAAGAGAATAATGTGGGCCTCGATCTACTGAACAGTTACACACTTATCTTGCAATTTTCATGGAATTTGGCATGCAACGGTTTGTTTATTCATATTTTGTACAAAGAAAGCTGCCAGTAATATGAAAGTTTTTTTCAGATTCTCAATACTGTAGCTCATACCATTAAGGAGTTATGCATCTTTTTTGTAAAAAACACATACAGACATCAATAGACATGGTTTAGCCCCTGAGCTGAATTGATGACTAATATAATATAAATACCTCGTCACAGCTCTGTAGTTTCTGTAGATTACAGCTGTTTCGGCATTAAAATGCCATCATCAGATACACATACATCCACCTGAATTGGCGTCGTTAAACTGTACATATACACGAACACGATAAAAACACAAAAACACGTAAAACAAGAGACAGGCCTGTCGCGTACATGATTGCTACGAGTACGGAAGCTGACTCAGCTACAGGCCTGTCTCTAGTTTTACGTGTTTTTGTGTTTTTATCGTGTTCGTGTATATGTACAGTTTAACGACGCCAATTCAGGTGGATGTATGTGTATCTGATGATGGCATTTTAATGCCGAAACAGCTGTAATCTACAGAAACTACAGAGCTGTGACGAGGTATTTATATTATATTAGACATACAGACAGACAGACGCTAAATGGAACGAGATACGACATATGTTTCTGACAACCTTTTTGCTTATTTCGACCCAAACAATCACACGTAAATTTATACAGATAGATTAACATTTGTTTGCATAAAATGTTTGTTTGCACGTGTCTTTAAGTTGTTGAAGATAAAAGCAAACTTATTACATCTTTGAATTTATTTTGTCATTTTTATCATGCTTTATTTTTTTTATACTTAACTGTCCCTTGTTTCTCAGGGCACTCAGCTTCGTGTATCCCTTTGGAGCAACGTTGAACATTGCGCGGCCAGCTACAGCTGTGTTGTCAAGTGGTACAGTTGCCTTCCCTCTCAACCGGCCGGTGATGGCATTTTGTACTCTGCCCGCTCGGCCCCGCGCTACATCTAATATCTCAGGCATGTCGTCTGCACTCTCAGATTAGCATTGCACCAGTAGTTGCTTCACATCACTTGTAAGTCATCCGCTTTAAAGTTGTGTTTCTATGTAATATTCAATTAAGAGTTGTATGTCAAAAACATTACTACCGTATTATATTTAACCACATGTAGTTTGTTTAATGTTGGCGCATCCTAACTAATGTAATTTTGTATTTTTTTAAAACAAATATAGTAGATAGTCGCCATATTGTTATGTCATTTTCTTGTATGCAGTTTTACTGTTTCTCTATTCTAAACTTTTGCTTTTAATGTTTTACTACTTTGTAAGGCAGTAGTCAGATTAGGTGACTGCTCACATTTATTACTGACTTTCTCTTGGCAGGCTAGGCTATGAAACTATTTTCAATATTGGTAGAAAAGTACCTAACTATTGCCATCTCGTCACAAAAGTGATGCGGCATCATCGAACTATCACCTTCAATGTACACTGACGTCTCAGCTGTAGTCACGGTGATAACGGTGGGAGTAGTCGTGGTATGCGCTGGTGAGTCGTTGTTCTGGCGTTGTTGCTTCTTGCCTGTCTCGTCTGGCTTTAGCACGAACATCATCAGGAAGAGATGCATAAAGACTCGCAAAAATAATTCCCAAGGACTCATCTTGGATTTAGATTAAAAAATAAGCAATCGGCGGCAAAAGGTAGTACTATAAAATAATACGTTTAATAACAATAACACTGTTGTAGGAGCTTGTTGTTAATCGTAACAAAAGAATCATCGAAAATTAATGGGTTGCCGTGAAATATAGTAATATGTTAACCAACAATATTACCATATTATAAACAGCCTGCACGTAGATCTTCGTAAATAGGCCCAAATGAAATATAATAACTCGTGAGACAACAATGTTAATTAGGGGTATTGGAATTGTCGTTAAATACTAGGTCTATTTGAAATATAATAATATATGTTAATCAACAATATTATTATAAAACAAAGTTATGAATAAACTACAAGGAAACTCCAAACCTGTTATCAAGCATCTGATCGGGTCGCTCTTATCTCTTGCTCATTCATCCAGAGTACAAGACAAACTCAACGCCATGTGCACGTACAGGTCTAACACGTTCTAGCCTTTAAAAGTACTGTAGAACAATTCTTACAGTATATTCGGAATTAAATCGAAAGGCAATGTTAATTATTTCCTACTTAAATCGAATAACAATAATTTAGCAGAGAAAATGCATAAACACTGGTATAAATAAATGTGATGTAACTTCAATATAAATAAATATATAAATATATATATATATAAATATATAAATAAACATATATATATATATAAATATATATATATATATATAAATATATAAATAAATATATATATAAATAAATGGTTAACTTCAAAGTCAATAAAACTCCAATGAATATCCTATTGTTTTATTATACAAACATAGTACGTTTAACAACGGTACTGACGTTTAATCGTATTTAGTTCTACGGTAGATAACCAATATTCCACTGTAATATTACGTCTTGTATACAAACTGATTTTGTTAATATTCGTATGTGTAATATTTATTAAATTTTGAGCCACAACAATTAATTATCGACTATGCCTTCAGGCGCCATAAGATATTTTTGACATACAATGAATGTCCCTGTTCGGATCACCAAAAAGTATGACAAAATTTCGGGTAGAGAGACAAAATTAGATTTTAGAATCGGGACTTAGGGAAATAATACGTAATAGTCGTCTCACCTGAAATTAGTCACACCTTAAAATTTGTCCAGATAGCCTACAACGAGATAGTCCAGGATTCTAAATTATCGTTTTGAGTTTATTGGCTCAGAATAAACATTACAACAATGCTAACAATGTTTAGCTTACCTTTAAGTAGTGATCATCACAGCCACTTGAAATAAGCTTTAAGATCGAATTTGGAATTAGACAATAGACAATAGACAATTTTCTTTATTTGTGATTTCTTTAAGAAATACAATGGCGTCAGAAAGATTCAGAATGTTTAACATTTAGATTGTTTTAACAGTTTACATTTTCTTTTGTGTTGAAAGTTCATAATTGGTCAAAAAATTCCTTAAGGGAGTACACCGGTCGGTCCACAAGCCAGTCCCAGAGTTGCTGTTTGAATTGGTTTCCTGTTGCGTTCTTGAGGTTGTTTGGAAGAGAGTTGATGATTTTTCGGCCAATATAAGAGGGTTTTCTGCTGTATTGTGTAGTGTGGTGGATCGGAAGGTTGTAGTCGGCTGCTTTTCTGGTGTGGTAGGAGTGAAAATTCTCATTTCTGGGAAGGTTAAGTTTTTTTTGTGTACAGGACAACTCCATGGATGTAGAGTGCTGTCACTGTTAGGAGCTTAAGGGATTTAAATGCTTCCCTGCAGCTGTCTAAGCGCTCAAGGCCGGAGAGTGCCCTGACAGCTTTTTTCTGGAGTACCAACACTTTGTTGAGGTTTGCTTCTGATGTTCCTCCCCAAGATATTAAGCAATACCTTATATGCGATTCTATTACAGCATAGTATGCTGTCTTAGCTGTTTCCAGACCTCCTATCCATTTCATCCTCTTTATTACATGGACACTAGATGCAAGTTTTTTGGTCAGGTTGTGTATGTGGTCGTTCCAGGAGAAGTCTTCATCAATTGTCAGGCCCAGCAGTTTTGAGTTTTTTTCAACGGTTATTTCAGGAATTTCTTGGATTTGTTTATGTTTTCGGCTGAAGTTTAACTGGGTTGTTTTTGATGGATTAATGGCCAGGTCATTTTGAAGGCAGTACTGCAGTGCTTTGTCTGTTGAGGATAAGATGTTGGAGTGTAATTCTTGTGGTAAGTCATGCATAAATAGAAGAGTTGTGTCATCAGCGTACATTATTGTTTCACAATTGTCATTCCTAATAAAATCTGGAAAATCATTGGTGAAAAGGATGAACAAAAATGGGCCCATGACTGAGCCCTGGGGCACTCCCCTGTTAATCGAAAGTTGTGTGGACCTATGTACAGATTTTCTCCCATTTGTGTTTTGCTGGATTTCGACAATTTGTGTACGTCTTTTCAAATAGCTTGCCACCCAGTCTTTGGCCATTCCCTCTATTCCTAGGGCTGTGAGTTTGCTTAGGATGAGATTATGGCCCAGGCAGTCAAAAGCTTTGCTGTAGTCAAGTAAGACAGTTGATACATATCTGCGTGCTTCTAGGTGGTCAATGATTTGTTCGATTAAACTAGTTAGAGCTGTGGTGGTGGACCTCCCTTTGAGAAAACCATGTTGGTTTTTAGTGATTAGATCATTGCTTTCCAAGTGACTCAGCATTCTTGACAGAGCGACCTTTTCTATTACTTTTGAAAAGGTTGATATTAATGAGATAGGGCGGTAGTTTTCTTGTTTAGTGCGTGAGCCTTTTTTGTGCTTTGGGTATATTTTTGCTATTTTTAGGGCGGAGGGAAATTGTCCAAGGCTAAAAGATTTGTTTATTATGCTGACAAGTGGGGCTGCCAGTTGTTCGGCACAGTGTTTTACAACTTTTGATGGCACTTCATCTACTCCACATGACAGCTTTGATTTTAGTGAGGCTATTGTTGCTAAGACTTCTTGAATGGTTGTAGGAGTTAAAATTAGTGGCTGGACATTGTTTTGTGGTAGAAATAGTGGATGTGTAATTTTTTTGTTTTTGAATTGGCTTCTGTTTTTCTCTAAAGTGGAGTCTGCTATTTCTGCAAAATATTGGTTTAGGTGTTCAGCAATGTCAGTAGGGTTATCTAATATTTTTCCCTCTATTTCCAGCTGCAGATTTGGTTCTTCCTTCTGTTTACATTGTTTTTCTTTGTTGATGATCTCCCAGACAGCTTTGGATTTATTATCAGCACTTGTGATGTATTCTGCAGTGGCTTGTCGCTTGAGGGACCTGAGCTTTAAATCATATGTTTTCTTTTTTTCCGACATTGTTGTTTTATCATTTACATTTCCGGTAAGCTCGTATCGGTGTAAGGCATCTAGAAAATCTTCTTTTAGTATTTTGACTTCTTCATCATACTGAACCTTAATTTTCTGTCCTTTCTGCTTAGCTCTTATTTTTTTGATAGGGCAGGCATGGTCCAGTATGAGCCTTACAGTCCTTTGGAATGCAGAGTATGCCTCTTCAGCATCAGGGACATTGTGCACCTTTATCCAGTTTTCTTTGGAGAGTTCGTCTTTCATGCTATCCAGGTTTTTTCTTGAAAAAATTCTTTTTTGTGACATATCCGTTTTAGCAGTAACTTCACTCTGTATTTTGAGGGTACATGTTTGGCCTGTGTGATCTGCTATTCCAGCGTTAATTATAGCGAAATCTATAGCATTATCATGCGTGTTCGTACAGATACAGTCTATAGAGGTTCTTGAATGGTTAGTGATTCTTGTCGCTGGGAGTGGTAGTCTTCTAACTCCAAAAGTTGACAGTTCCTCTTCAAGATAGTTACTACTGGCATTTTCAGTTAGCCTGTCTATATTGATATCGCCCATTAATACAACGGTCTTGGTGTCAGCTTGAAGTGACTCCAGAACTTCTGATAGGATGTCAATGGCTAACCTAGCTTGTCCCCCTGGTGGTCTATACATACCAAGTAAGTAGCAGTTTTTGTTCTTTATCCTTATTTTCACTAATGCTGCTTCAAAAACTAACTCTAAACTTTGGTTGGAGATTTCTATTTCTTCTGCCTTGATAGCAGCAGTTTCCTGGATATAGATTGCAACTCCTCCCATTCTATGCTCTTCCCTGCAGGAATATGTGACTAGGTTGTACCCACTAATCTTAGTGAGTAATAACATATCTGAGCTGAGTCCATGTTCAGTAATCACCAAGATAGTGGGTTTGAGTTCACTCATTAGATGATTTATTCTTTCAATCTTTTTCCTAAGACCTTGAACATTTTGGTGAAAAATTGTGATGGAGGTTGTTTTATTTTGTGTAATAACTAAATGTCCCTGATTATCTCTTCTTTGTGCTTTGGGGTTTGTGTTTTGGTTGTTGTCATTCAGGGGGGAAGTTGATTCTATGTTTTGTCGTCTGTTTGTTTCTTCACACCTAAAAAATGGTTTAGGGTCTGATTTGAGTCTTTCAGTATTGATTGGTTATGTTGTTTACATTGTGGTAGCTTATGGTGTGAGATCCCATTTATGTACTCCATGTGTTGGTTTAAAAAGTCTTCAAGTGATTCATTTGGTTGAATTTAATACAGCGCGAATATGACAAAATAATTTAAAGAGGTTTAATAAAACCTGAATCGGTATTTGGTTTAAACACCAAATTAAAACGTTTCCTAATACTAACTCGGTCAATCGTCAGAGTCGTTTGTAACTAATTTTAATCGGTCATTATGTGGTGGTGTTTACAACACGAATTGTTATAATAGAACGTTTGTAGTGCTTGGTAACCACCACAGCCTCGTTTAAGACAGAATCGGCACTTAACTTACTCGTGCGCGCTGAATCCTGCTTTGCACATGTGTGATCGGCGAAATATATCTTAAAATATATTAAACGTAACTTTTTACTAACCGGTAGTGAAATTGAGCGTTGTCGTGTTGCTCTTCACTTACCGGTGTTCATATAGTTTCGGGGTTCCCAATATCGGCTATCACCAGATATCACTTCGTGGTGAACCGTGTAGTGAACGTTTTGTGGCTGAAGTACGACTGGACTGCCTCAGGGTGCTTCTTGAGCGGTTCTCCCACCGCCTCTGGCGTCGACTGAGAACTATAGTCATCCTTTCCATATGACGTCACTATGTCCAGCGTTCGTCGCGGCCTTTTCATGAAATAAATCATCGTAATTGGGATGACCGTGAAATATTACCCCTTCTTAATTTTTGACTGACGTCTAGCAGCCGACGCTAACATTCTACACTAGCTTTTGGTAACAGCTGTAAACATTCAGTGTATGCGACATAAATTTAGCATTTGGATAAAAATTACATACGAAGGTTTGACTTATTTATACATACTATAAATGTGTAATGCTATAATCATAGTTACGGTTATTATCATAGTTATAATCATAGTTATAATCATAGTTTATATTCATTTTATAAGTGAACCTCTGGCTTTTTGTATTAGTAAATGTTTGAAAATTGGTTATTTCTCTGACCTTCTCAAAATTTCTGTACAATCAGACAATGTATCTGATTGTTTTTTATTGACCTAAACACAGATGGCAGTGGTGGGAAGCTTGTGGTGCTGGGTTCCAGCCATCTCCTGTCAGACCAGTACATTGACAAAGAGGATAACGACAAGTTGAGAGAGATCATTTTCTCATACCTTACAACTGACCAAGTGCAGCTCAACCCCCTAGATGCTGATGATCCAGAGGTAAAAAAAAAAAAACACAATCTAAGCTAGAGCGGTTTCTTTGTGATATGTAATCTTAGGATGGCCTCTCAAAAGTTATTACTGTACCTATGTGTTACCTGTTATTACATTGTCCACTAGTAGTACGCTTATTCTGCACGTAACAGGATGAGTGAACATGAGCGCAATAATGAAAGATTTTACCCACACCTAGCACACTTACCGGTGTCACTGGTGTACACAATAATGTTATTTGTATGGGCAAATCGACCCATGAGTCGGGGCAAATAATGGTGAGTCGGTGACTCAAGTTGGTAGCGTCACGCGAACTTCGGGCCCAAGGCAGCGATGTCGTGAGTTCGGATCCTGGTCACTGCCACTAAATTTTATCAGTACAGTTCACCTTTGTACTGTACCGGCTCACCAATTGCTTTGCTGTAAACGATCCACGCATGGGCGAGGTTAAAAGAGGCTGGACCAACCTCTTAAAAAAAACAAATCTCAGTCAACAACAATCTTAACTCCTCGTCCATTAATTAACCAAAGTCATTGGTAATATACGTAACGTATTTCCTATTTCCCTCTCTTCTCATAGCATTTTATTATTGCAGATACGTTAAACTAACTGTCACAAAGAGTTCCCATACTTTGGACTGTTCACCTTGACTACTTCCTTTACCACTTCTACGTCGTGGACCTGTTTCCCTCTCTTCTCACAGCATTTTATTATTGCAGATACATTAATCTAACTGTCACAAAGGGTTCCCACACTCCGTACTCCTCGCCTCGACTACTCCCTTCACCACTTCCTACGTCGTGGACCTGTTTCCCTCCCATCCCATAGCATTTTTAGAATTGCAGATACTGTACATTATTCTAATTATCACAAAGGGTTTCTACACTCCGGAATGCTCGCCTCAACTATTACCTTCACCACTTCCTACGTCGTAGACCTGTTTCCCTCCCTTCCTATAGCATTTTAGAATTTCAAATAGATTAATTTAACTTTCACAAAGGGTTCCCACACTCCGGACTGTTCACCTTGACTACATCCTTCACCACTTCCTACGTCGTGGACCTATTTCCCTCCCTTCCTACAGCATTTTAGAATTTCAAATAGATTAATTTAACTTTCACAAAGGGTTCCCACACTCCGGACTGCTCACCTTGACTACATCCTTCACCGCTTCCTACGTCGTGGACCTGTTTCCCTCCCTTCCTATAGCATTTTAGTATTGCAGGTATATTAATCTAACTGTCACAAAGGGTTTCTACACTCCGGACTGCTCGCCTTGACTACTTCCATCACCGCTCCCTACGTCGTGGACCTGTTTCCTTCCCTTCCTATAGCATTTTAGTATTGCAGGTATATTAATCTAACTGTCACAAAGGGTTTCTACACTCCGGACTGCTCGCCTTGACTACTTCCTTTACCGCTTCCTACGTCGTGGACCTGTTTCCCTCCCTTCCTATAGCATTTCATTATGGCAGATACATTAATCTAACTGCCACAAAGGGTTCCCACACTCCGGAATGCTCGCCTTGACTACTTCCTTCACTACTTCCTAAGTGTCGTGAACCTGTTTCCCTCCCTTCCCATAGCATTTTTAGAATTGCAGATACATTATTCTAATTGTCACAAAGGCTTCCGACACTCCGGACTGCTCACATTGACTACTTCCTTCACCACTTCCTACGTCGTGGACCTGTTTCCCTCCCTTCCTATAGCATTTTAGTATTGCAGGTATATTAATTTAACTGTCACAAAGGGTTTCTACTCTCCGGACTGCTCGCCTTGACTACTTCCATCACCGCTTCCGTCGTCGTGGACCTGTTTCCCTCCCTTCCCATAGCATTTTCGAATTGCAGTTACACTAATCTAACTGTCACAAAGGGTTTCTACACTCCAGAATGCTCACCTCGACTACTTCCATTACCACTTCCAACGTCGTGGACCTGTTTCCCTCCCTTCCTATAGCATTTTAGTATTGCAGGTATATTAATCTAACTGTCACAAAGGGTTTCTACACTCCGGACTGCTCGCCTTGACTACTTCCATCACCGCTCCCTACGTCGTGGACCTGTTTCCTTCCCTTCCTATAGGATTTTAGTGTTGCAGGTATATTAATCTAACTGTCACAAAGGGTTTCTACACTGTTCCCCCCCCCTTCGCATAGCATTTTAGTATAAAAATATACCAACATTTTTGAATATTTAATATTCAATGCCAACATTAAATTGAATAATGTAAAAAGCTGCTTTGTTCTAAATACATACATACCTATATACTTTTAATTAAAAGGCGAAATTTTAATACTGAACATAAACGGTATATAACTGCCGACTAATATTGTTAAGTTCAATTTATTAATATGAAAGTTGTGAGATTTAATTAGCTTAAATAACATTATTCTGAAAGCTGTGAAATTATAATGATATATATTCATAGACGCCAAACTGTTTACTCCATGAATGAAAGAGCTTAGAGTAAAAGTCGTTCTCTCTGTCTTAAGTAGACAACAAAATTGTTGGTCGCAAAACGTAAACAAATAAAAAGAAGAAGAAGGTAGCTCCTAATGTTATTCTTATGGGACAAATTTAAAAATGTTTTTTAAGTATTTTATAATTACTACTGAGCGGAATCGTCTAGAATTTTAATGGTGTCTTTACACTGGTGTCATAACTATTTGTGCAAAATTTGAACGCTATAAGTGCAACGGTTCTTGAGTTTTAGGTGCGAACACACACACACACATACTCCAGCGGACAACTTTTCTCCGACTCCGCTATACACGATACATAGATTCGTTCACTTCGTTCACTCATCTATTAATATTGGAACACAACTGGATGTAATTGAACACTAATATGAGAATGGAGTGATAGGTTACACAAAGCTTTGTTACTTTCTAAGACAAGCAGTTTCTTTCGCCCAGACCGTTTATAGGGCTGTAAAATCCAAATGACCAAGGACATCTAGACCCAGTTTCAAACTGATTAAGGTACTGATTTTTCTCAGGACAAGTGACCTTTTTATATTAAGAAAATGAGTACAAACCACTCTAAATGGTCTAAGACATAAATTGGAAAATTTTATGTTTTGAGGCTCCAAAACGAGAAAAACCAATTTTTACCCCATAAATCCCTGTTCCTATGGTTCCCTTATAGAACTTTTATAGAGGGTAAAACAAAATTGTGTACTCTAAAACATAAACATTATCAAACAAAGTTAAAATGCTATATCTCTTTGGATATAGTTTTATAAGAAAACCTTTAGTACAAAAGTTGAAGATAAACTAATTACAAATAATACAAATAAAATTTCACTACGATGGCAAGCGTAGAATTTGAATTATATCCAGTAAAGTGAACGACTGTAATTTCCAGGTTTGGAAGGGGTTGCGGGGAAAAGCTCAAGGGGGAAAATTGTGAACTTTTTGAAAAAACACGTCGTAAGTGGTTCCATTACGTATAAAAAACTCAGCTTTCCACTATTTAGCTACGAAAAAAGGCAGTTTGTGCGTTTATTGGCTGGGCTAGATGCGATGACGCAGCGCAGAGGTGTTCAACTAGCCCGCATGCGCTCTCTTTGCCGACGCCCAGCTCTTCACCCGGTCACCAAGATGACTAACCAATAATATATTTGTAAACCTTGAAAAACATACTAAAACTTTTGTTTGAACCATATTTGCGTATTATTTTTATTTAAAAGTATACATAGAGAAAAAACAAAATTTTGCACTCTGAAACAAAGCTTTTAACGAAGTTTAAATTTTATATCTCCCTAAGTATTGGTTTTAGAAAAATGTTGTAAATACAAAAGTTGTAGGAAAACTAATCAGAAATAAAACAAAACAAATTGCAGCTCAATAGCTTACATAGTATTCGAATTATGATCAATTAAGTAAAACACTGCAATTTCTATGTTTGGAGGGGGTGGGGGGGAAAGCTCAAGGGGTAGATGTGGGGACTTTGGGGAAAATACACCTCTCATGTGGTTCTATCACATATAAAAAATCCAGCTTTCCACCATTTAGTTGCGAAAAAGGGTGTTTTATTGCATTCATTGTCTGGGCTACAAAGAGGTTATGCAGAAAATTAGGCAGTTCTTAAGTAATGTGAACAAAATGTTATCGTTATAATAAATTATTTAAATACTGTAACTACTTTACTTCTTTGCAATTGCTCAATTTTGAGCAACATGTACACTAGTCTATATAAATACATTATTGAAAACTAAGTACCGTCAAAACTAGTCGTTGCCTAATAAAATGAGTTTTAAAAAGTGTACTTAGTTGTATGTATTTATATATAAAAATAGTAGGCCTATTCAATATAATTTTCATAATTAATAAATATATATATGAATTTGAACGGATTGTGTCTTTGGCCTCTGGGGATAACAAAACCTAAAAGTAAATCGGTCCCGGGTCCAGGTCTTACCACGAGACCTGCGGTAATAGCTTATTCCCCATATTAGAATTTGAATTTGCTAATATTTCCTATAATATGGCAAATTTGCTAAAAACAATTAATTGTAAACTAATTACATTATGGTATGTTACTGTTACCGCTTCAAAAACATATGTATGGTGTCTTTGTTTTTGTTGTGAATACAGTAGATAAAAGTAGTTTTAGATATTTTTATCTATAAATAAAACAAAATAAAAACATGAATTGAAAGTACTTGAAGCAAAATATCTATCTCCTAACTTAAGTACCGAAACATTATTTACAGCGATGAGATTTAATGTAAAACAGCTTGTAAACAACAGACAGCAGTTATTCTTCTGACCCCTCAAAATTGTTAACAAACTATTCAAGTCTGTTAGTTGTACTTAATTCTTTACCATCACATGATTGATATTGACTTATGCTAGATATCGGACTACGCTCAAGTGCCAGACACGTGTTACTTGGCCGAGCTGCCTCGTGGGTGTGTCCAGGAGGCTGTGGAGGAGGTTCCGCCTGACTACACACGCCTTTTTGATCACAGCCTCTACTCTGTACACATGGACATGGTGCCAGCGGTGATCGATGCTTATGACCAGTTACAGGTTAAACATGAGCCACTAAAACTCATCCCTCCGCAGTTTGAGTCTCCGTTGCCTCCTCTACAGCCTGCGGTAAATACAGTATTTTTTAAGAGTTTAACAATGATTACTAAGATTCTGAGTTGAATAACTAAGGTAATATTTCACTAAAGAAATTGCTGATGTTGATATAATAAAGAAAAGAATGTTTGGGTGAGTAGGCACACCCACACCCTAAAAATACCAAATTAAAATATTGCCAGGCAAGCCCTTGAATGGAACCCCTTTAGGGAAATAGAAAGAGAGGAAGAAGGCTAGAGCTGAGGGCAAAGTTAAGGATGGCCTAGGTTGAAGTGCGGTGGAAGGCTTTTATTGCAGCCCTACATTCCCTTCGGGAAGAAAGGTACTAAGTCCAATAAGTCAAAACTAAAGGGTTAATTTTCCTTGAGAAAAGAATTACTTAAAGTAACAGATACACTAACTTCTGTAACGATTTTGTCAACAGTTGCAGAATAAAAAGCATGTTTGCTTCAGTGATTCAAGTCCTTATAAACAACACGTCTCCTAAATATATCAAACTCTAGTGTTTTTTAAACAGAATTTTAAAGTAATATTATTAAATAATAATAGGTTTTCCCACCGTCGTTCCGTGATCTACTACCGCCAGCTCTGGAGTTGTTTGACCTTGAGGAGGCATTCAGTTCAGAGAGAGCTCGGCTGTCGCAGTTGGCCAACAAGTGTCTCGGCCACGGAGGGAGAGCTAGCAGTGGGGGTAGAGTGGCCGGAGCAGCACTGGATGACGAAATAGCAGACCTGGAGTACTGGGTGAGTTTAGCTTTAAATCACCTTTGCTAGCATTATAATCCTGACCTCAGAGATATTTTCATCAAGCATTCTGAAATTTATTTTTAAAAGACACTTGTTAGGTGAGATCATTAATTCAGTTACATTAATATTTTTTGGGCGTCACTCACCTTTTTGAAATCAGGAGAACACAGTCCTTGTCACTACAGTTCATAACAATCACAAACACTAATTAAAAAATAAAATAAAAAAACAGACTTAACTTTTCTAACTCCGATGTTTGCCACACCAATATAAACGTGTGGCGTTTTCAAGGTACTTTGTCACGCAAACGTTGTGAGCAACTGACCACAACTGACGACCCGGCGGTGGTGGAGGAGGGGGAGGGAATGCTTGTTATCTTGATTAGATGATGGCATCTTCCTATGTTTTGACCTCTCTACTCTATGCATCCTTTAATTTCTTTCTCTATTAACGGGTTGTAAACCAGGCTGATGTCGATGGATGTTTTGGCCAATCTGACAAAATAAATACGCCTCTATAATTTTCCCTTTCTTCCTATTGGGCTCCTTGTATAAAATACAACTTTGTTCCCACATTATACAATGCCTGGTGTCATTTTAGAACTGTATGTTACACATGTATCAACCTTTTTCATGTGTTCATCAACTTTTATTAGAGCCGGTTTTGATGATTGGCGGTATTGCACATCACTTATTTCGTTCACAAAATTTAGGCGGTTTTAGGGGAAGAAATCTATCCCCTCTACTTGATCCTACCTATAAACAATAGCTCAACAGCTGAGGCCAAACCTTCTATCAGCTGCAACTAAAAGTGGTGGGGGAACTTCCCCTCAAACAGCTTAAATTTTGTGAACTGACTATAGAACTGGTCGTAGTGCTTTTGTGAGTCAAACCAGACACTGTAATGATTGTTTCGAAATCACAGATAAGGGAGGCAGGTCAGATCATCGGAGTAGGCAGTCCTTTAGACGATGCCTCCAAGATCCTACATGCAGTCACTCTACTCATCGCTGAGTTTAAGAAGAACAATGTTTTTACCAAAGATGAGAAGCTGATCTAACCACACTAATGTGTGACCGTCAGGTGAAAATTAAAACTTTTCAAGTTATAAATAAGTGTTTTTGTATGTGTTAACAGTTTTCAAATGTACATCTCAAGCATCAATAATTAACATTTTCACCTCTCTCTGATGTGCTATATGATTGTTACAAATAAACCAACAACTCATTAATGTGTGCTGATCTGTCCACGCCTAGACCAGTCTTGCACATTAGATGATCTTTTACAAGCGAATGACAAAGCCATATCGGTAGCATATTTTTGGAAAAGCGAATTCTGATTTCCGGACAAGGAAAGTAAGTAAGTAATGTACCACAGTGTTTTTCACCATATACCAGTGGCTAATAAAAGTGAGCCCAACCATTTCCAGCTATACACTGGTGTTTTTTTTTAGCTGTTTAATATATTTAACTAAATTGAGTATGATTAACTAGGTTCATATTAACTTTAATTTAACATTTTGTAAAAAAAAAACAAAAAAAAAAAACAAACATTCTAGCTTAAATTACAAAATTTTTATTTTCTGGGCGTCTGGTTATTCGTTGTTTTATAGATCACCTAAATGGAGCAGTCTTATTTCAGTCTGAAGTTTGAAACACATCAGTAAGCTTAGGCCAAAAAGATTGAATCCTTGTATATGCAGCTGATCATATTGCTGGTGATTTAATTGAAGCAGCTGTGAAGCTTAACACCACTAAATTAACCACAAAGTATAAAAAATATGCCATGATCAAGTTTAGTAAAAATAATACATTTTTTCCAAAAGCAAAGCACGCATTAAACACACATCACAAGAGGCTTGAGATATAACAATAGGATGCAAAACATAAACTTCTGCTTGTTGCAGTACGGTATCAAAAGTCAATGATGGATTTTAAGGTATAACCAAACAATATAAGTGAGTAGTTTGTCCTGTAAACAAAAAGCCATCACAATAGTCCCAAACCTAACAATATTATAATTTTATTACTGTTTCTACAAAAATATATCTGGAAAATAATTCTCATAAAACTTGATATAGATCATATAAACATTAAACAAATGACGGAACTGAACAAATCCCATACTAATAACTTTCATACACTTTCATATAGTTTCACAGTTCCATTAAAGTAATGTTAAATAATGTTTACATTCAGGCGAGTGAAATATTTTTTTATGTGTATGATCCATACCCTTTCTGTTCTAATATCCGTGCAGTATTTAATATGTTTAAAGCAGCAGTGTGGAAATGTGAAATCCAAATTCATTTGACAGTTCTGCTTGTTTACTTTTAAACTGCATGGATTTGTTCTTTGTTACCATGGAGACCAATCAATATTTACTTTTATAAGTCTTACCTCAGAACTTTGAAAGCCTGCGGGGCTGAGTCCTAGGTCAATATCGAAGGGGGAATAGTTCTATACGTATCCTCGGAGCGGTTGCTTTATTTTGTCCAATTTGAGCCCAGTTGGTTCAGTAGTTTTTTAGTTTAGCTCATACAAACACACAGAGCGCATCCCGGGAACACTGACCGGTGCATAAAATGCGTCGTTCTTGGAGACCGGTGAGTTAACCTAGTAAACAAATATTTCCTCTTTTTCCTCCACCGTTGCAAGATTTATGCACTGGAGAGATTGAATGGTGCATAATATACCAGTGGCCTCTGATTGGTCAGTTTCTTGGACAACAGTATGCAGCTACGGCAAGATGGCGGGTCCATCAAAAAATTGTTCATCAGTTTGATAGGTTATACTACGTAATGAGTGAATAATTTGTTCTATGACCTAATAAGTAAACAATTTTCAAATAATTTATTTTGTGATTGTAAGATTGTTTGATGTAGGCTAAATATTATAAAGTAAATAGTAGGTGGATGTGTAAATTATAAATCTAAGTGTACCGTTAACTGATGACTAACCGTTCTGGGATACCAAGACTCTTGCCCCAGGGCGGTACTGGTGAGTAAGTCACCAGTTCATCTGCACTGGTGTACTGGTACATGTTCCCAGAACGCGCCCACAGACACAGACAAACACCAACTCTTCTTTATAATAGTATAGATGGATAGATAGATTTATGATCAATAGGATACCCAAAAGCTAAGCAATTGGTTTGAAGGAAAAAAGATACTCATCAATCAAACATAACGATTGATTATTTGGAATGTTGTTTATTAGTCAGTTATAAAAATATATTAGCCTACATATAACAGATAGGTACTCTAATAGTTTGTTCTGTGGGTCAATCAATTACAACTTAATTGTCAGCATGACTAAAATTTTTCTTTTATACACTGTGACTTTTTGTCAATAAATCTATAATAAATAAATATATTTAATCAACCAGAAAAGCCACAAAAAGGATAACAGTTATCTGATCCTGATTTATTTTTTGTAAAAAAAAATTAACTGGATCAAGTAAAAGATCATACTGGATCAGCGAGTTGCAATCAGTAAAATTACCAAGATGGAATAGGCCTAGTTAAATGCCTGCACCAAACACTAAATTAATGAACTGTTCGTACTGGATAGTGATGGTGCCATCTTGATCATTGTCAAACTGCCGGAATGCATTTGTGACGTTCTGTAAACAAACATAACTAAGTTAGTAAACCATATTCCAGTTAATCCAGGATTTATTTTCGCATATTTTGTATACCGGTACTAACCTATATTTTTGGTGAGCACATAATTAATTTTGCTACAGTTTTGAAAAGTCTATTTCGTTTAAAGTTAAAGCATCAACTCAAATCATAAGGTCTTTACTCACATCTGTAAATAAATACATATTTACATGAATAGTGTCTTACAATTAAATACAAACATATTTAAAATGTACAACAAGAATATTACAGATGGCTACAATCATCATGATTGGTATTAATTGAACTACTTCATGTTACGCTATTCTATAAATTAGATTTTATAAGATCTACTAAATTTGTTTTATAATATCATCAAATTAAATTAATTGCCTTCTGTCTGTATCAAAATTCTTTCAATTTCACTTTTTTGAAACCACTATTATCTAGCATGCTTCCAAAACGATTACCATCACAATACACAAACTGGCTGGGTAGCTGAGTGGTGACACTGTGTCTAAGGAATGTCGGCCTTAGTCACTAACAAGACTACAAGATCGCGCCACTCATCCTACACTCATCTTCAATCATACTTGGCTTAAAATACCTACTTTGTATGGTCGCCATTTCATTGAACAGTATTAACAGTATTTAAATAACTAATATTGGATAATAAAACAGCTGATCTTAGTCAATAACAAAGCTACAAAGAACATCTCAATTCATTCTACACTCATATTTGGATTAAAATACAGACATATGTGGCTTCCCCATCTCAATTGATAATGATATCTACTGTAACCTGATCCAGCAGTATTAATCTGATTTTAGATAGAAATATTTTTAAGCTTTGTTCTTCTAATGGAGCAAAATGAACTCTTTATAGATAAAATACAAATGATTCTAGATCGCATTCAACATTTTAGAAAGTAGTTTAGTAAAAAATAATACCTATATCAATGTTTGCCATTTCAACGTAAAGTATTAAATCTGAGCAGTAAGTCACTTACATGCAGTAACACGGATGCTTGAATGAAATCATCAAAGTAAATTTTTCCTCCACCTGCCCGGTTGAACTTCTGTACGATGGTGTTGACAGTGTCAACGGAGAGTCGGTAACCAAAGGTTTGAAGAGCTGTGAGCAACTCTTGCGTATCAATGCTACCGGAGTTGTCCTTGTCGAAAGATCGGAAACAGCCTTGCCAATCTGTCACATACTTCCAAAGTGCTCCGAAATCTTGAAATGATATTGAGCCTTTCTTTTCTTTGTCGAACATTCCTGAAAACAACCATGTTTGATTGCAAGAGAAATCAAATAACATATCCTGAATTGTAAAAGCGCTCACGTAATCAAAAATTTTACGAATCATTTCATTGTTACTGCAGATATTTTCTAAAACAATTTTTTTTTTTTGTCAGCCTACAGAAAATTTTTTGGCCCAGATGACTGTAAGGTTACGATTATACTAAGACGCTGGCGTCCGGGACGCTAGCGGTGCGTTAAATCAAATGGGGGCGATTAGACTAGGGATGCCAGCCGGATGCTAAAAAAGCCACCGGACGCTCGATTTTGTGCATGCCAGCTGGGACGCTAAAATTCAAACATCCGGGGACTTTTTATCTCTCGGGATGAACAAAATTGGTTTTGGGGCATTGGTTCAAATGCGGTGCATTATACCAGGCTGCTAGCATCCGAGACGCTCTCTTTCAAAATGTGCGGGAATATAGAGAATAAGCTATTATCGTAGGTCTCATGGTAAGACCTGGACCCGGGACGGATTTACTTTTTCAATTTGATGTCCCCAGAGGCCAAAAACACTATCCGTTCAAAATGTTATACAATACATGTTATATAAATATTATTATGTGTCTGTGACACAATAAATTGAGTAATTTTTTTCCGATTTTGATTAAATTTGGCTTAAAGGTGTAATGCAGGATGTACTAGTTGAATGCGTTCGTAAACCAGCATGAACAGACCATGAGAACAGGGTTCTATGGGATGAAAAGGGGTTTTCTAATTTTTGACCCACAAAACACAATATTTCCTAATTTCTCTCTAGACCATTTTTAAGAGATTAAAAACAAATAATTTAGTATGTTAAGTGTTTTTGTACAGTTAATAGTAAAAAAAAAATAAAAAAAAAAAATTTAAAATTCTTGTGTTATTCTTATGGAAAATATTGTTAAGTTAGCGTACCTGTTTTAATTTGCCTGTTTATGGATATATTTTGATTAAACTTGGCCAATTTTTTATACTAAGCTATTAATATTTTACTAATAAAAACACACTTAATTAGCCTCCCTAAAGGAGCAAACTGGGTACTCGTTAAACCTAACGTTATTTAAATAAATATATAGGCCTACAAAAAGTGACAAAACATTGAAATAAAATAGCAGTCTGAGAGGCTAGCATCCCAACACAAATCGGATCATTTTTGGCTTGAAGTGGACGCCAGCGTCCTAGTGTAATTGTTGCCTAACAGTGTGTTATTTGCTATATTATATTACTGTATTTTCCAATCAAATTTTCATAGGCAGCTCCATTGAAATAAGGTATAGGTAGTACATCTAAAAATTAAGATACAAGTTTTAAATGATGGCATTATGAAATTATTCAAGAGATTTCCTTGATCAAAGAGGTGCGTTAGGATTAGAGGAAAGACAAATGATCCTAGTCAATACCTATCATCAGTCGACAAGTCTCTGGATTGAATGGATCCCACGAGCCATTAGAAAGTGCTTGCTGTAGCTCATTGATTGTTATTTGCCCACTCTGGTCTTTGTCCACCCTGAAGGAAAACATAATCTCATGACATTTGTTAAATTTGACTAAATAAAAAAATCTTATATTGATCTCACTACAGAAATAAATCAGTTTCAAAACGATAAAATATACCACAGCACCCAGCAGGGTTACAGTTCTGCAGAAAACCTACGATACCTATACTATGGAATATAATAATAGTTTGATATAAATATAAATTTAAATACCAATATCTTAATCGTTAACATGGAATGTAATTATTAATTTTCTGTTATGGGTATTTTCGAGTAGAGTGGTGACCTCCACTCTTTGATGTTTTGCTTCTGCGGCATTCAGACTAGGTTTTACTGTAACATTTTTTACAGCATTTATTTTTATTTTTATTGTGTCAAAGTTTAATTAGTACATACAAAACACAACACAAAAACATATGCACGTGGGCTAAAAAACTGATGACTGACTGATCAAGCTTTATCACTACAAGAGTGTAGTTTACTATAACTACGCAAACGACGATGGAGTGATCTCCGAAACGGCCGTAGTGCTATAACTTATCAGGATTGCGAGACTGTTGTAGCATATATATTTATACAGTTTTGTGTATGTGCCAGGAAATGAACCCATCCCTCTTGCACCGTATTCCGAGACGCTAACCACTAGGTTAACAACACACCCAACAAATCACAAACATCCTTGAATCACAAAATATTTCAACTTTTTTTATCACTACTTACTAGGCCTGGCCTAAAATAGCGTAACCACAGCAGCACAGAGTGAAAAAATCTTCTTGAAAAAGATACAATCAATATTTATAACGTGTTAAACTATATCAGATATGATATAACTATTGAACTAATATTCATCTTGTAACACATTGTGGGTTCTCTGCAGAACTGTACCTTGCAGTAGGTAGTGCTGAAGCCAGAAACACTGATGGTTTACAGAAAATACTGGTAACGGTCCAAACCCTGGTCTTGTTGCTTTATCTAACATGGACCTTTTATTAGTCAGCATCATTAATTAGTGAAACAATAACAAATGGAACAATGAAGTATAGTTACTGTAATATATTTTCATAGCTGGGTAGCTGAGTGGTTATAGTGCTTGCCTGGTAATCAAAAGGTTGCCGGTCTCATCCTGAGAAAAGTGAAAAAGTTTTTGACGGTTTGAATCTGGACCCAGCTGTTCATGATCATTGGGCTTTTAATAAAATGGTCCTGGCTAATGAAACAGTTGGCCTTAGTCAGTAACAAAGCTACACAAGGCACCTCAGTCCATTCTACACTCGTTCTTCACTCATATTTGGGTTAAAATATGTACCTAGGTGGTGTCAACTCAAGTTAATTATATTATGCCTTGCAATGTAGAATTTCATTTTATTCCACTTTTTAAAAAGTCACATTTTCAAGGATAGAATAGGCCCACAGATAGTTCCCTTAAGTACTTAGCTTTGATTTATTCATTGTTTAGCCAGAAGGGATAGGTACGTTTCTTCCACCTGTCAGCAAACCAAAGAACATCTTCAACTCGTCCGTATATTAAATAAAACTAAGAATACTTGCAAGGTTAAGGTCGATGAAGCTAAGATAAGAAACTTGTCTATATATATAAAATCCAATGTATGTTTGTTTGTTTGTCCTTTATGGACTCCGAAACCGCTCGACAGATTGTAATGAAACTTTCAGGCATTATTAAGCATTATTCAAAGATGGTTTGTGTGAAGTTTGGTGCAGATCCGTCAAAAGGGCTTCACCCCAGTGGCTCTGGAGTTTCCCATGTTAACCTTATGAGAACTCATATAAATGGAATTAAAGAATCCTAAAAGCTGGTTCAACTAAACAATTTGATTCTGTGATGTTCAATAGCATTAAAAAGTTAATAGGTTTACCAACAGGGTGCAGCACTATTATTTTTTTAAATTTATGACAACAGCTAATTTGCAGCCAAAAGGTGAGTGAGCGTAGCAAGCAAACTCCAAGCTAAAGAGGCGAGTTAGCAGAGCGAACGAGCTAACCTGAAGGCAAGTGAGCGCAGTGAACGAGCTCCAACGTAAAGGTGAGTGAGCGTAACGAACGAACTTCAACCAGGACGTGATTGAGACATGCGAACGAGCTCATCTTTAAAATGAACGAGCACATTGGCCAGCTCTTAATATAAATTAATTAAGATTGAAAGTGCACTGAATTCATGTAAGGCTGCTTGGTCCCTGGTAAATAGTAATAGAAGCCTCTTGAAACCAAATATCGCCTTATGCAAGGCTAGCCCTGATAATTTTAATAACTTCCTGTTTAGGTAATGTTGAGAAACTGGCTTCAGTAATCCCATTCGTGGCGGATGATCCCGATGACAGTGTACCACTTTCTTGAGTTAACTTTGTATAGAGGCAGGTTGTAACTCCTATCAAAATAGTCAAAATGGTTTCCAAGTTCAAATGTACACATAGCCCAGATATTTAGGATACCGGTATGTCAACTGTTGTTCTCAAGGCCATAAAACTTAAATGTAATTAATTGCTCAACCTCTTGCCACAATCATAAATGGTTGTCTGTGTATTGGAATTTTTTCCGACCTTTTACAAGTCCCTATCTACAAAAATGGCGACCCTTAGAGCCTAAACAGCTATAGTCCTATCTCTATAATTCCTGTGTTTTGTAAAGTAATTGAAACCACTATGATAAACGAACTTGTAACTTTTTTTGAGACAAACAACTTATTCTTGAAACTCCAAATTCCAATATGGATTCAGGCGAAACAAATCTACGGTGACCAAACTTGCAACAAGAATGCAGGATGCATTTGAATCATCCAATGCACTGTCTTTGATGCTTTACGACCTTAGTAAAGCAATTGACTGTATCTCACACAAAATCTTAATGGACGAACTCAAATGTTATGGTGTAGGTGGCGATGTCCTGCACACTTTGAGATCTTGATCACTTTGATCTTGGCTATCGAAGGCAAGCTGTTTCCTTGAGCGGTGCAAAATCTCAGGACCATGAAATGTGGCTCATGGAGTCCCCCAATGCTCAATTATTATGGGGCCTGTACTTTTCCTAGTCGCCATCAATGACCTCGAGCTCAATGGTATAGCTCATAGATATTTGCAGAAGACACCACCATCTTCTCGTCCGAGACAAATCATACCTTAGTAACCTACTCGGAACGGCTGACATTGTTTAATGATTGTGGCAAATAAATTTAAACTTAATAAAGACAAGAAGGACTCAGAGACTTGTTTGTACTCTGGGCCAACACATACAAGATGTAACCTATGTAAATCTCCTTGGCTTTTCTTTCGATCAAAGGCTAACTTGGAATAAACATATTGAAACAGTTTGTAAAAGACTGGCCAGAGTGGTCAATTCTTTTCCATAGCCATGGAAAAAAATCTATGGTTTTTTTTAAGCTATGGTCTCCTACTCTGGGACCATGCACTAACGTGTGTCATGGTTCTTCCGCCTGGACGGGTTTTCGCTATATTTTCACCAAGTGAGCTGGCGTGTGTGTAATTTACTTTTTTTTTAGTTAATTTGATGGTAAGGATGTTAAGGCAGTTGAAGTGTGGTTTGCAATGTTCATACGGGTCCAACCTCAAGATTGTTCTTACGGTCTTTTTCTGTAGAATTAGTACCTATTCTTTTGAGGTTTTTGGCAGATGTAGAACCCCATGCTGCAATGCCATATCTCAAGTGTGAAGTGAAGATGGAGTGATAGGCTATCATTGTAGTGTCCAGATCGGTGGTGTTGCAGATTCTACAGAGTACAAAGAGTGTGGTAGACAGTTTTTTACTAAGGTAATCTATATGGATCTGCCAGCTTAGGTTTTCATTAATGTAGATTCCTAGGAATTTTGTTGAGTTGACCGTGAGAATGCTCAGTCCGTACCAATCTTCTGTTCTTTTATTGTTATTATTTATTCAGAAGTTGATATATACTGTTTTGTTCTTATTGGTTATGAGGTTAATATTTTCACAGGCTGCTGTTGTTTGATCCATTGTTGATTTTACTAGATTAATATTTTCCGCTTGACTATTTGTTGGAACAACAATAGTGGTGTCGTCGGCAATAAGTATGCATTTTAGGTCACTGTCAAAACTGGAGGGGAGGCTGTTTATGTATATGATGAAGAGGAGGGGGCCCAATATAGATCCTTGGGGAATTCCTCTTGATGTTGTTCTAAGAGATGATTTGGTGGTGTAAATGGTTTTTTGGCGTTCAGATAACTGTCGATCCATTCCAGGGCTTTGCTTTGGATATTTATGTTGATTTATTTTGTTCTGAGGATATCCAAGTCAAGAGTGTCGAATGCTTTCTGTAGATCAAGGAAGATTCCAGAGGCATTTTTTCTTTCCTCCCAGATATCGGTGATATGAATGACTAATTTTGAGAGTGCAGTAGTGGTGCTAAGGGTCTTCCTGAAGCCATGTTGGCATACGGAGAGGAGGTTGTTGGAGTCCAGGTGCGTGATGATATGGGTTGTATATTGCTCTCTCCAGGAGTTTGGAGGTAACCGGCAGATTAGAAATGAGTCTATAGTTGTTTGGGTCTTTAGCTTCACCTTTCTTATATATCGGATGAATTTTAGCAATTTTAAGTTTTTTTGGGAGATTTTGGCCTGTAATGTTGACTCATTTATTATATATCTGATTGGTTTCTTTAATTCTTCCTGGCAAAACTTCAACATTTTTCCTGTTATTGTGTCAAAGCCTGATGAGTTATTTGCCTTTAGGCTCTTGAAGAGATTGCCCAATTATTTTTTATTATGGGCTGAAATGAATGCAATGTTGGTATTTCGTTGGTGTGGTTAGGTATTTGTGTTAGATCTGCTGTTCTATCCAGGTTTGGAGTGGAGAGGGCAAACTGTATGTTTAAAATATTACTGATGTGGAAATCAGTCATCACGGAAATGGTCTATATCAGTCACGATCGGAAATGGTTTTGTTATGAATTACTGTTCTTAGTAATCAGCTGATGTATTTATTTACTCTTTGTTTGTAACAGAGATTTGTTCACCTTTCCAGCTATGTAAGAATTTAAGTTTATTAAAACCTCATTTTCTAAAAAGGTTCAGTTATTCACAACAAATTTAATAAACATAAATTTACTAAGATAAATCAAAATCAAAATGGAAAGGCTTTTAAAACCAGACAGGTTTGATATAAATCCTGAAAATCCTTCTGCAGGTAGAGCATTCAAACACTGGTTCAGGACACTTGAAAATTTCATATCTAACTCAGAAGTTACTGAAGAGAGGAAACTTACTGTGTTGATTAGTTTTCTTTCTTACAATGTTTACGAGTACATTTCCACGTTTAAGTCAGCAGTTGAAATTTTGCAAACTATTTATAATCCTAAAAATAATTAAATTTATGCTTGACATATGCTAGCAAACTGCAAGCAGAAGAAAGAAAAAACATAGACAAGTATATACAAGAGCTTAAACTTCTAAGTAAGGATTGCAATTGTTTCGGATGAAGTGCTTTAAGGTCTCGACCTGCCCCTGTTAGATAAGATAAGATAAGGATTGCAATATTCACGCCATATAGATGGAATACTTATCAAGATGAAGCCGTTAGAGATGCCTTTATAAGTGGAATTATGAACCCCCATATTCGACAAAGACTACTAGAAAATCATCCTTAACATTAAAAGAAGCTGAGGACATTTCACGTTCACTTGAATCTACACAGAAGAGCTGTGCATATGGATCTTCAAACCAAATTTAAGTAACATATTGCAACATTTCCGTCAACACTGCCAGATCAACTGGATGAAAATATAGATCCTGAGAAGAGTCTCCTACTTCAGCTGCTGTAGCGAAAAACTTTAAACAGAAGTGTTTTTACTGCGGTGGCCGGCGTCATTTTACTTGAAACGACTGTCCTGCCAAAGATGCTACTTGCTCTGGTTGTAAGAAAAGGGGACATTTTGTGAAAATATGCAGGTTGATGGAAGCTCAAGGTAAGACCTTTAATGCCTCTTCTTTGGTAGAAGGCCTATCCACGCTTTCATGTGCAGCTGCCTTCAATGGACTGTCAAAAGCAGTTGTGCGGGGTTATTCGAATAAAATAACTGTTGAAGTTTTGGTTGATACTGGGAGTACGGATAGTTTTATAAACCGAGCTGTTGTAATTGAAAATGTTTTTTATGCAATTCCAGAAGGGAAACAGGTATCTATGGCTTCCACTGTTGAAATTAAATAAAATAGCTACTGTTGATACAGGAAAGAATAATTGTATTTAGACATTTTGCTATGTTCACATCTACATACAAACTCATATTATTTGTTTAGGCTATATGACAAAGCTGCATTAATAATAATATCACAGCTGTGAAAAAACATAGAGAAAAATTATTGAAATGACAGATAATCACATATCTTAACATCCACAACCCTAAAGTCACCTATCAAAGGTTATGTTTCTGTGAACTTAAGCACGGGTCACATTAAGCTGGCATCAGCGACAAATTGAAAGTAGCCGCTGCTGTCAGTGTAATGTGACCACAAAATTCGCAGCTGACACAGCCTGTTTGGTGATGGTGGTGCCAGCTACTGATCACTAGCGGCTGGCGAGCAGCCTAGTGTGACCCGTGCTTTAGAGTTCTCTGACTATAAGTTAAGTATGAGAGAATACAACAGTTTTTATTGTTGGTTGTCAAAATTATAGTTACAGCTTATTCATCCACTAACATAGTATGTAATTTTTGGAAGTTTATGTTTTGAAGATAATCTGTTAGTGTTAAAATGACACAACCTAACCGGCTCTTCTATTCTTAGTAAGGAGGAGGTAATTATTAGGACAGGAGGTCCCCTCTGGAATTTCTCAATTATACGTAGGCCCAATTGTTTACATAGGCCTACTTCATTCAGTCCTGGCAATTCCTTGTTTCTAACACGTTTAACTATAAAAGACTATATGTATACATTAAAGGTATACATTTTGGGTTGTATTCACCCATTACCAGGTCTACAGAATCATGAAACATCATCTTTGCAAATAGATCACCAAAGATTAACAGATAGACTTCATGATAGGTTAACTTAACTTATTGATCCACCCCAAATGTATACATAGTTAAATGTACAGTATTGGCAACAAGGAATTGCCTTTAGGAATAAGGCCGTTAACTTGATAACTTAGTTTTGATATTGTGTTCGATAACTGAAGCCAGGGACAGCAATAAAAGGCTTGAATAAAACAATCAATAATTTTGTAGGCCTAAGTTTTTTAATCTACAATTTTGGACCATTCAAAAGCAGAATCTTACCAGCAATCTTTTGATTGGTGGGTAAGTTAGTTAAACATTTTACCCATGGCGCCGACCCAATCATTGTCCTATCCTACCCTCAGGTTAGTTTAGTCTTCTTTAACCTAACCTGTGACAGAGTGCCATGTATGCCTAACTAACTAAAAGCCTCGTTCACACGGGGAGAGTTTACAAGCTACTCGTAAACGTAAGAAGCCGGCGAGTTGGCGAGTGCGCTTGTATTCGTTCACATGGAGCTTGTCCACTCGCCAACTCGCCAACATGTAGAGAGACGTCGGCGAGTGCGCTTGTAGTTGTTCACACGATGCTTTTTCCACTCGCTCAGTAGCTGGCTTGAACCAAATCCTCCGACATCTTTGAGTAACATGTGTACAAGCACAAGCAACTGTGTTCACACTGGGCTACTTTACACGCCTATTTTACTTGCTCAAAAGCTGGCGAGTTGGCGTACAAAGTAGCGGCAGCGCCAACTTTTTCCAGAGCGTTTTTACAAGCAGCTTTTGAGCGAGTACGTCGTTCACACTGAGCTTTTTTACTAGCTGCGTGTAAAAAAGCCTGCGTGTAGCTTGCAAACTCGCCCCGTGTGAACGAGGCTAAACTGTGCTGCCAAATCAGTCGTTCAACAATAGGCTACCTAGGCCAATTTATAACTTAAGCTAAGTTAACTGTAGGTATTAAAGCAAAATCTAGTCACATTGAGATTTTTCTAGAGAACTAAAGTTAAGTTTTAAAAGTTAACTTATAGTAGGCTAATATTAAGCACAGCGCCAAGGCAAGGATGCTAAATCTGGCTTGGTTGACTACTTACTTTTGGAAAACACTCCATAGAAATTGTTGATCTTGTTGGGCCATAACTACAGTATCGAGAAATTTGAATCAAAGTAAGTTTAACTATTCAAATGAAAACTTTAAATATTTAATCTAGTTAATAACGATGTTTACTGTGGTTAGATCAATGAAAAGCTTCACAAAGCAAGCAAAATTTAGTACCGTATTTTAAGGTTAGCTTGATTCTCCCGTATTTTGATCTTGTTTGTTTGTATTTAAATTTAATTAAACAAAAACAAATTAAAATTTAGAAACACTTTTGGTAATTATTTTTATTTCAACATAACCAGGCTACCGTATTCCTATTTCCTACTATGTAGCACCGATATTTACTTTTAATAACGACTGCCCCAGAATTATAAAATTTCAATTAAATTGAAATTGTTGTTTGAATATTTCTCATTCTATTTAAAATACGAATATTAAAATAATATTTGGAAAATTTTATTTTTTATCTAGCCGTGTCCCGTGACACACGTAGCGACTTTGCTCACTACTACTACGATACGATACCTTCCCGACAGACGACCACGCACGGCCGCCTTAAAAGGTGGCCGTGGCAGTCCGAGTCCGGCAGTGGCTACTCCGTGAGGTCCCAGATTATTGACATCCCTAAAGATCGACACTGAAATAGTCCTATATTGTCGACAACTCATAATACCTACAGTGCCGGTGATATTGGATTGTCTGTTTGTATTTTGAGTTGTCGACAATATGGGACTATTTCAGTGTCGATCTTTTGGGATGTCAATAATCTAGGACCCCACGCAAATCCCAAACCCACCCACACACTTTTGTAAACTCACTATTCGACTCCGTTCCGACTCGACTATTCGAATAATTTTGAGTAATCTTATCTGTGTGTTTAGGCCTTCGAATTTGACGAAACGTAATCGTCGAAATCCCAATCCCAATCCCTACATTTCCCCCTGTCATTGTGGGACACGTGTCCATATGAAATTCAGCTGTTAAACTAAACTTCTAAAAAGTTAAAAGAAAAAGTACAGTCTTCGGAACTTCGGATTTTCGGAATCGTCGCCGATGGATGACGGACGATATTATTTAAGGTTCTAAAACCTGCTGGGTGTTGTGTGAAATTTGACGTGTTTAGGAAAATATAGGCCTAGGCCTACGTTTATATTGTAAGCCTACAATATCTGAACATAATGAGTGAACTTAGTGACTGGTTTAACTCCGTGCCAATATTTACTAGATGGTGGTTATCTCTTACAGCTGGACTCTCATTACTGGGGAGATTTAAACTTCTAAATGCTTACCATCTCATATTGGCCTATGAACCATTGATCCACAGATTCCAGGTGAGTTTCCAGCCTAGATCATAATCTTTATAGGTACTTCAGTATTAAACGGAGGCCACATTTTGTCAGCGCGCTGCGGCGGTTATGTTAGGTTGGGTTATCATAATAGAAAGTATCGCTCGATTCATAACGAAGCGAGGAAAGTCCTACACACATAATATTTACGATAACCCAACCTAACATAACCGCCGCAGCGCGCTGACAAAATGTGGCCTCCGTTTAATACTGAAGTACCTCTTTGTATTATTTTGTAAATTAGCCTAGGCTAATCAAACTACTTCAAGTAGAGTCTAGAGGTTTGATTCTGGGCAAATATCACCCTTATTTTGTTTCTTCATGTCTACGCCACGCCATTTTTGCTGGAAGAGTTAGGCCCCTTCTGTAGAAAGTAGGCCTACTTGAAAGCTTTATGGGAAAGCGGTCAAAATCCATGTTTGTTGTGGATGTATTGGTGTGGGGCAATTGAACTAACTTAAGTTAGTACCTCCCGCATCATAGTCCGAGATGCCAACCACTAGGCTAGTAACACTTTTCTGGTAAATTAGCCAGCCTACTTAACTTAAGAGAACAACTGGAAAAAGTTAAAGGCAATTTGATTGATGGGAATTGTGTTGGATGTTGGCCTCATAGGGATTTGAAGGGTAGCCTATCTCTCATTCTTTTTATTCTTTAGTTGTACGTCCTGTAGTTACTTGTATGTAAGACCGGTAGGCATTCTCTGTGTTTGTGAGCATTGGTTTAGTGAGTCTAACAGAGATTTAATGGTGATCGAGGGCTACAATTGTGCATCTAAGTATGTTTTGCTGAACTAATATTTAAGACCAGAGGTGGCGTCGTTATAAGTTATGCACAATGGGCTGTCTGATTTAACAAGACATAAGACATAAGACATAAGATCGATTTATTTCCTGTAAAACTTACAATATACAAGTCATTGGAAAACGTCAAATTCTATATTATAAAATACATTATAAAATATACATAGATCTATGAATAAAAAGAAATTCCTTCAACATCATATATATATATATGATCAAGATATTGATGTGAGCAATTACTGTATCGAGAGTGACTTTGAAGTTGTAGGCCTATGTGTGAAAGTTAGTATGCAGCAACCTACCGTAAGTTACTGTGGAATTAATCTTAGAATCATAAGGCTATTAACTTATATAGGGTCCCTAATGTTAACCACAATGTTTTCCTGGATGGCTTTGATAGGCTAAATGATAGCCTATATTAATCACAAACTACCTAATTATAGTTTACGCGATTTTAATGTTGACATTCTCACTCAAAGAAAAGCCGGTAATTATTCCGTATAGGTGCCTCCAAACGAATTTTTTTAAATTTTGATAGGCCTACTTCTTAGTAATTTACAGTGGCAAACGTGTAGATCTAGAAAACAAATTAAGGCATATTGTTTTCAGATATGGAGACCTTTTACAGCTCTATTCTTCTATCCAATATCTTCAGCAACTGGATTCCACTTCTTGATAAATTGTTACTTTCTATACAATTATTCAATGAGACTTGAAACTGGTAAGTTAAACACCTACTACTGGTAATACGCTTAGCATTTCTGACATGGCTTGGTTAAAAAATGTTTAACAAGTAAAGTTTGAAAAATCTTTACTTACCGCCAAAACCATTATAAGTTATTTGTTTAGACTATTAATTTTTATTTAAATGTTTTTATTTTATTTTAATGTTTATGCTCTCCTGACTGTAAATAAATATTGTTCTGAGCTAAAATCATCACATAAGCCAATCAACTCACTTGTTAAGGGGAGCTCATTTAGATCTGGCCTCATAATAACTTCTTTCTCAGTAACTACTTTTTACTGAGTTGCTCGGCCCGGTAACTACGCTTCACTACAATTTGCCCGCAAAACATTTGTTCACTGCTGTCTAGTGAGTCCACCAACCACAGAATTAAATTATTTATATTTTTTATTCTGTAATTGCTGATGAGTCAGTATTGAGGTTAGTTCAGACTTCAGAGCAGGCCTACTCACTCGACACTCAATGGTTCACTTAAACAGTTGACTCTATGTTCTGTGTTGCATTTTCTTGCTGTGCGTGAATCTACTCTCATACGATTCAGTTAAAAAAAATTTTTACAACTAAACATATGCAGTTCTACTGGAACGATATTATTAATCAATGGGTTGTTAGAAAGGTCACTCCCCAAACATGTTTTCCATGACAAATACATAGAAAACGCCTTTTTTTTTTTTTTTTTTTTTTTTTTTGAGGCAACCTTTGGCTGCCTTTATTTAGTATTTCCAAGAAATGCATTAAAGTAATTTGTAGCAAATTGTTTTCTCTTTCAGAACCTTCCACTTCGGTTGATTTCCTCACCATTTAAAAGTTGTTTGCAAAAAAGCTAAGCAACCTCTGAATTTAAGTGGTGATTTCGTTTTAATTCTAATAATCAAATTCAGTGATTTTAGCTCTAAATTCAGCATTAAACTCTCGACTTGCCATTAAACTCAAAAAATATTTAACACGTAAGCTAAGGTATACGGAATACCCTACACTACACCATAAAGAAGTAATAAAAATTGTTTCTCTATGCCCCTGTCAGAAGCCTGCCACCTTTAACTCCTGGCCGCGGCCTGGTAATTGGCAACGTCGCAAGTGGGGTTGTTTAGTGTTAGATAGACGTCTCATAAGATAACATGGCAGGAAGGTGACATCAGCTCATTAATTCACACTTTATTGGTTTAAATTTAAATTTACTAACATAAATTTATCAAAATACTGAAAATGAAACATGCAGAATTAAAAACCAAAACAATATGAATTAAATATCTATATCTGTACATTTTAAGCGGAGTCAATATTGTCAAAGTCCAGTAACCAATCTTTCGTAAATACAAAAATACCATTAGCTGCTTCCAAACAAAACAGCTGTTACAACCCTACTTGCGACGTTGCCACTTCGAAGGCCGCGGCCTGGAGTTAAAGGCGGCTGTGGTCAGAAGTAGGGATGCGTGTGGACAGTCAAGTATTGGGCGATTTGAACTAATCAACAACTAGGCCCAGTAACTGGGCCGAACAACTCGACTGCCATACTCAACCCATGTAAACCAGGCTTAAGAATGGTTTCTAATACACAAAGCTCAATTTAACAATATAAACTTTTTCTATTTACCCCTATGTTTGCTCCGTTCAATTGACTGTTATACAATCGAAAGGTGCCAACGCCAACATAGTAACTTAGAATCTATGCATTAAAAGTAATGTACTTTTAAATGTCATTGTAATTCTTTGAATTGCTAACAAAAGACAATAGCGTCTGTCAAATTCATTAATTTCTTTGTGTTTCTATGCTTATGGCAATTTTTATCGTTATAAAAGGGAAAGGCTATGTTACTATCTAGCATCAGCATTTTGTTAGACAGCATCATTAGTTTATAGCCCAATGACAAATGGCATCTCTGTCAAGAAACTGGGTCTTGTGTGAAATGGAACCACCAACCTTCAGATTTGAAGGTGAACCATTTGACTACCCAGGCTTAAATTAATAGTATTTCTGTGTACAGTATCAGAGTGGTTTTAGTGCTTCGCCTAACAACCAGAAGGTCGCCATTTTATCCTAAGAAATGCCAGTATAGTTTAGCAAGTTTTTTAAATGAACTTGCCTGTTCTAGATCGTTTGGCTTTTTATAAAATGGTCATGGCTAAAGAAACAACTGAGTGTTGGTAAGAAAGCTACACAGATCATCTCAGTCCATTGTACACACACCCTACATTACATTCAGATTCAGCTTAAATCAAGTAAAATATGTTCTGCTGTCTTACTAGAGTGATCAAGTGATACATTTTGTAGCCAACATAGACTTATCGTTAAACCATTGTTTAAAAAAAAAACTCATCGTTAAACCATTGTTAAAAAAAAACTCATCATTATCTTTGGTTTCATAGGTCAGTATGCTGGGAGATCCGCTGACTACCTGTTCATGCTGCTCTTCAACTGGCTGGCTTGCGTCATCATCGGCCTTGTCGCTGAGATTCCAGTATGATCCTTTTATTTTGTATTAGGCCTACTAATTATTTTTTAAATTGTACAAAAAAACTGTCTGCAAAATGTATGATTATTGATAAGGAAAATGAGAGACAAATTAACTGTCTTACTCTTTAAAAAAATATACAGCATGTGGAACTGTAAATTATTTGGTTTGCATAAATAGTTGTCAAGTGACAAAAATTTGTTTCACTAAAAAGAGTCCAAGGGTATTGCTAACACTCATGAGTGTTTTATCATCACATCATGAGTGATTATTAGCTGATGTAAAACATAACTGTATGTGATCTTCAAGCTATTATTCCACCCTCAAGCAAAGACTACACACAAGAAAAATATACAATTATGATTTTACCGAATTTCCCTACTAGAAACTAGTTTATTACCGTAGGTGGCTTAGTGAGACATACACACGGGACCAATTTACTTTTTCATTTTGATGTCCCTAGAGGCCAAGTTTATCTTACCCTATACCTTCAAGCCAACTTTCGTCATACTCGGACACAAATTATTTAAGTCATCATATATCTTTTGTTGGTTTTAAGAATGAGGTTATGGTAAATATGACTTGAAAACAGTTTCCAAATTACAAAAAATACCCCCACAGCAGCAAACTTGCAGACTAAGCGAATTTCCATTTGCCTGATTGGATTTACACTCAAATATCTCATTAAAAATATTCTCCGTAACTATTAGGTGCATGAGAACGCTTCAATATACTAAATTGTTTGTTTTTTTGAGCCCTACAAAATGGGCTCAAAATAAATTGCAAAATTTTATTTTTTTAGGGTCAACAATTGGAAAACCCTGCTTTGAACATGTTTGACCGCTCGGATACACAAATTTTGATGTTCGATCTTAATATTCTTCATCCCTATAGATCAATTTGAATTAATCCGTTTAAATGTTTTGATTATCCATTTGGGTGTATGGGGTAATACTTGGTTTTCTTACTTTTGGCCTTCAAAACACAAATTTCACCATTTCTTAAACCATTTTTAGAGAGATAAAAAAACAATTACTGTAATTTGTTTAAAATGTTTTTTTATTAAATTTGTATAATACCTGATTAGGCCTAAGTGTAATTTATTGAAGTATTCACTATTTGACTGTTTAATGTTTGTTGAAATATTATACCAGATGTTTGGTTGCTATGTAAATATCATGTTTACATCCAATATAGAGAAACCCCACTAAAATTCAGTTTCGATCTATTATAGCTTCCGTGTATTAAAACTTAATGCAATATTTCTCCATCAGTTTTTCCTTTCATTATATGTGTTGCAATATTTAGCTTATTGTTCTGCAACTAGTTTAGACTTTTCAAGGAAGTAAGGTTTGAGGTGGAAGATATAACAATTTTTGATTAGAAGCTCAGACGTCAGGGAAAATGATGAGCTTCCGATGTCATGTTCTTATCTTATTTTCACAATCTTTGCATTTTAAAAGTGCCAAGTCTAATTTAAATGTTATATTTTTACAGTTGCTGATGGATTCTATGGTGCTAAGTGTACTCTATGTGTGGTGTCAACTAAACAAAGATGTCATTGTAAACTTTTGGTTTGGAACCAGCTTTAAAGCTATGTACCTACCATTCGTTCTATTTGCATTCAACCTGATCATATCTGGAGGGTGAGTAGGCCTGTACTATAATTTCCTTTAAAGATTTAACAGAATTTTCTCAAATCCTGTACAGCATCCGAAGTGGATAGTGCTCGTCCTCAAATCTGAAGGTCGCTGGTTCAATTCCAAGCGAGATCGTTACCGGACCCAGATGCCATTTGTTATTGGGCTATCAATTAATGATGCTACCGTATGTAATAATAAAAGGATGGCGTTAGATTGTGGCATAATGGTGCCACATTTTGGTGACCTGGTCATGTGAATTAAATTCCAGACCAAATCGTTCTTGTCGGAAACGTTAACTGAACACATTTATTGATGCAGAGGAGACAATTTACCGCAAATCACAGGCCCTAATAGCCAGCTTTGATGATTGTTTCATTAATTAATGCATTTATATCACAGAAATATGTACATTGTTCAACTTATGAAATAATTACTGTATGAGTTGACTGGACACAAAGTGAACTAATATTTTATTTAATGATGAATTACTAATAATGGAAAGAATGTTATAGTGAATTGATACCATGATCTGAAATTACATATTATCAATAATTAGTGCTACGACACAATACCTTAAGGGGGCGTCCCCCCATTTCCCAAGAACTTAGCCTTCCATGGTGTTTGCAGTCAGGAGCACGACACACGACAGACGTTTTTCACTCGTCTTACCCGCTTGCCTCCTTGCGCATGCGCGAGCAGCGGTAGGGGTTGAGATTGGCGGGACATTCAGTGTTGTGGAGATTGACTCCACAAGATCTCCCCCCCTCCCCCGAGCAGCAAAAACGGAAGAAAGGGTGACCTCCATGGTTGGGGTGTCACGTTGGTCCATTAAAAAAAAATATATATGCTGTTGAACACAAGCAAATTAATATAACATATAACAACAGTAAATATACAATAAATAGTAACAAATAACAAATAAATATATTACACAAACATCTGAAACATGAAATATAATATACGAATTCCGGTAACTGGTGTAATGTTGTGTGAGTGTATGTGTGAAAGTGTAAGAGCTCTTGCCTTCCTCCCTCCACAAGTCACAGTTTGCAGGTTCGAGCTGTTGAAATTAAAAAAAATTAAAATAAAGGTTATGGCTCGACCGCAAATTTCAAAAAATATAAAAAATTAGCTAACCTGTGACTGTGTCAGGGGGTTGGCGTGTGGGTGTAAGTGTAAGTGTGAGGCTGTCGGGGCGAGCGACACACTGGCGACCGCTACTGTAGATGACACCTCAGAGAAGTGACACCCTAGACTCAGTGCGCTTCGCCAGTGTGGATGCCGGCGACAGGTGTTAAGTGTGGTGTGAGGGTGGTGGTCTTACAAACTAACTAACCTAATATCACTGGTGCCTGTGTGCGGTTTCATTTAGATACGTGTGCAATGCGGTTTTTGTTTTGGTCGTGTGTTTCAATTTTTTGGATGAAAAAAGGATTTCAATTGAGAGACATGAGCTCTCCTAACTGTTTTCCCTGACTTTGGGTCTACCAAAATTACAGTTACTGGTGAAGTGAAGGCTTGAATTATTAGGGGTTCGGACCAAACTGGTAAAAGTTTAGCATTCACTTTGTTCACTGCGCTACTTTGATGATTTAATCGATACATCACCCAATCACCTACTTTATATTCAACTGGTTGGCGTCCTTTGTTGTATTGATTTGTTCTGGTTTCTCTGGCTTTTCTGAGGTTGCTGTGTGCCTGTGCCCATGTGTGTCTGATATCTATTGGTTGGTCCGGAATGAGACGGTCTAAATTCCAATTTAGTTCAAGGGGGTGATTGATTTGATAGCCTAGGAACAATTCTGCTGGTGAGAAACCGGTGCTGTTGTGTTTGGCTGAGTTTAGAGCAATTTGGAAAAAGTGAAGGTTTGTGTCCCATTGTGCTTGATTTTGAGAGTGATAGATTCTGATGGCTATTTTTATGTTTTTGTTTACACGTTCGGCATGACTGGGATTTGGATAGTAAGGTGTTGTTGTGATGTGTTTAATTCCGAATTCTAGGCACATGTCAGAAAAATCTTTTGACTGAAAGGGGGATGCGTTGTCTGATACTAAAAATTTGGGGAAGGCAAAATAGGCAAAAACTCCTGTTTTTAATAGTGATATGGTGGTTTTGGCTGTTGAATTGCGGGCTGGTAAAAATATTGCAAATTTAGAGAATGCGTCAACAACTGTGAGAATGTATTTGTTTCCTTTTACTGATCTGGGTAACGGGCCAATGTAATCGATGAAAATTTTCTCAAATGGTCTGGTAGGGATTTCTGACGACAACAAACCTACTTTGGTGTTTGGTGCCTGTTTGGCGCGTTGGCAATCTGTGCATGATCGTACCATGTCTGATATGGTTTGTTTTAATGTGGGAGACCAAAAGTGTGGTTCAATCCTGGACCATGTTTTGTTAATTCCTAAGTGTGCTGTACTAGGTGCTAAGTGGTAGTATTTGAATAATAGTGGGATTAAACGGTCTGGAATGACAATGCGGTGTTTGGTTTGATTCGGGGACTTGTGTGTGAGAATGTTGTCTTTAATGAAGTAATTTGGGGGTGGTTTGTTTGATCTGAGAGATTTTATAATTTTTTGAATTGCGGGATCTTCTTTTTGGTAAGTGGGGATGTCTGTGAACGCGTCAGGGAGTTTGAAAAGTAGGTTGACTTGTTGTGTTTGTGAGGGTGGTGTATTTGAGTTGTCAAGCTGTACTTCTTCAAACATTCGCGATAAGCAGTCGGCGACGACGTTATCGCGGCCTTTTACATGTCGTACGGTGAACTGGAAAGAGTTAATTAGTGTTACCCATCTAGCTATTTTTCCAACTTGCCTAGGGTGATTGAGAAGCCATGTTAATGCGTTGCTGTCTGTGTATAGATCAAAATGCCTATGTTCCAAATATGTACGAAATTTGTCGAAAAAGTGTGTAATTGCCAAGGCTTCTAGTTCGAAAGCGCTGTAGTTTTTCTCGTGTTCATTGGTCGCTCGGGAACCGTACGCTACAGGTAACAATGCGTCGTCATATTGTTGGGAGATGATTGCAGATATGCTGTTGCGACTGGCGTCTGTATGTAAAACGAAGGGCAGCTCGAAGTTTGGCATTTTAAGGATTGGGTCTCGAGTGAGTGCGGCTTTAAGTTGGTCAAATGCTTTTTGCTGATTTGGTCCCCAAATAAATTTCTGGCCTTTTTTCTTTAAAAGATTTAACGGTGCTGATATGCTGGCGTAATTGGGAATAAACTTGGAGTAAAATGCTGTCATACCTAAGAATCTAGACACTTGTTTGAGATTTTTTGGAACTGGGAAGGTGTCGATTGGTTTTGTTCTTTCTCTACTGACTGATAACGTGTTATCCTTTATCACATGTCCAAGAAACTCAATTTGATTGGACGCTAAGGTCATTTTGGAAGGATTGACGGTTAAACCTGCTTTGTTTAATCGTTGTAGTACTTCCTGTATGTGAATTAAGTGTTCTTCGAAGGTGTTTGAATATATTACTAGATCGTCGAAAAAATTGTAAATGAATTTAAATTTGATGTCTCCAAAAACCTTATTCATCAGATCTGTAAGAACCATGGAACCATTTGCCAGTCCGAAGGGTACGTAGTTAAATTCGTATTGTGCCCATGGCACAACAAAACTTGTGTATTTTTTGGAATCTGGATGCAAAGGTATTTGATTGTATGCTTGGTTCAAATCTAGCAATGTGTAATATTTAGCTGTGCCAAGGTGTTGGAATGCTGACTCTAGGGTTGGTACTGGTGTGGCTTCAAGTGTCAAGCCTTGATTGAGCGCCTTATAATTAATTACCATGCGGGTCTTACCACCTTTTTTTGGTACTGTGAACGCTGGACTACTAAATTCTGAGGTTGACTCGCGTATGACACCATCTTTGAGCAGTTCCTGTATGTGCTGTCGCAAAATTTCTGTTTTGGGGGGTGAAAATTGGTATGGTCTGCAACGTACTACGTGGTCTGGTTTAATGCTGATACGATATTGAACTAGATTGGTTCTGCCTAATGTTTTGGTAACTGTGTCTGGGAACTTGGACAACAACTTTTCTAACCTACATTGTTGTTCAGAGTTCAAGTTGGGACCGAATTTAGGGGCTGATGGCTCCTGCTTGTCGTCACTTTGTTGCGGTTGACCTAATGACAGAACTAACGGCGTGGTGTATGGAAATGTTATGGAATTTTTTGCTATGTTTATTACTGCTTTTGTTGAATTTAAAAAATCTAGGCCTAATATGATTTCTACGGGAAGGTGACTAGTGATATAAAATTTTTTGGTCCATGCGAGATAATTAACTTTAAAGTGTAGGTGTACGTAATGTGTTAATTTTAGTGGAATGGAGGAAGCTGTTGTAACGGTGGCATTGACTTCGTGTATCTGTCCAACTATAACACCCTTGATTGATCTGACCCTATTTAATAATGCTTTCGATATAATCGAGCATGAGGCTCCTGTGTCGATGAGTGCTGGTATTGAGTGATTGGCTATTTTAATGTTTAAAAGTGCGGAATCATTTAGTGGTGCTGTTATAGATTTAATTTTTGGTGATGATAATTTTTCCTGAGGTTTGTATGCGAAGGTTGGTTTATTGTAACAATTGTTTGTTTTAGCGGTTGTGTGGTTGTGGTAGGGAGAGGGGTAACCGCCTATTGTCCTCCCCCATTGGGGTTTAAATGTGGTTTTGGGTAGGTGTTGAACGGGGGAATGTATGGTGCTCTAGTGTGTGAAGCGTGAGACTGCCTATTGCTTGGTGTGGTATTTATGAGGTAGGTAGTGTGGTTTGGGCGTTGAACTGGGAAGGACTGTCGTGGGGGAAAGTTATTGTTTTGAAAAGATTGATGGTGAGGGGTTCGGGGTTGGAAACTGGGTTGGTTTGGATAATTTCGGGGTTGGAATGCAGGTTGATTTGAGTAATTTCGGGGTTGGAATCTGGGACGGGAATTGGAATGATGATTGAGCTGATGGCTATGAGACGTTCGCTTTTGATGGCTGAATTGATTGCCGTT